ATATTCAGCTAAGGTTATTGCTTTTTAGTAACACTCTCATTCAGGCGCTGACAGCATCAGCATCCAAGGCTGTCAGGAACCTTGGGGTTCTGTTCGACCCTGAGCTGTCCTTTCGTTCTCATATCCGCGCCACAACTGGCACCGCCTTCCATCACCTCCGGAACATCGCCAGACTACGGCACTACCTCACCCCTCACGCTGCTGAAACTCTGGTCCACGCCTTTATCACCTCAAGGCTGGACTATGGGAACTCTCTCCTCGCCGGCCTTCCCGCCACCTCCCTCCACAAGCTGCAGGTCATTCAGAACTCTGCAGCTCGTGTACTGTCCCGCACCAGGCTTCGCGACCACATCACTCCCACCCTCGCTCGCCTCCACTGGCTCCCCATCCCCAGAGGATCGAATTCAAGATCCTCATCCTCACCTACAAGGCCATTCACGGCCTCGCTCCCTCCTACCTCTTCGACCTACTATCCCCCTACTTACCTGCCCATACCCTCCGTTCCTCTGGCTCCGGTCTGCTCCACATCCCCCGCCCCAACCGCCCTACCATCGGTGGCCGGGTCTTCAGCCTCTCAGCCTCGAGGCTCTGGAACTCCATTCCCCAGTGCCTTCGCCGCTTCCTCCCTTTCCTCCTTCAAGGCTGGTTTCAAGACCTTTCTCTTCGACTGTGCCTTCAGCTCCCCTCTCGACTCTCTACCCCCTCCTCGCTCCCTCCCTTCCCTCCCCTCACCCTGACCATTTCCCCCCTGCTCGGGTCCTGACTCAACTGTCCAGCACCTTGGGACGTCCTCCCGACGTGAAAGGCGCTCTATAAATGAAATCTTGTTGTTGTTGTCATTGTCAACATTGCAAATGAATGGCCTTTCCTTGTGCTTAAACCAGCTTGACAATCTGGACTAGCTCAGGGAAAAGGATGTCTCTGCTGCCAATGACAAACAATTGGGAATTTTAGCAGCTCTCTTCATATGGAACATGCTACCCTCATCCTTTGGTCCTTGTCACAATTTATAGGAGCCTGGATTGCCTCCCTTTAACCCCTCACTCAATAGTTAAGTATTAATCTTATGAACAAACCATTTTATTAGTGTTAAAAATAAAAATAATACAATTCAAAATTGAATTTAAGGGTGGTATGTTTTTAATATTCTTAATATGTTTTCATTAGAGATTCAAACTTAGCATTTCACATTTCCATACAATTTATTTAGGATCTTATAAAATTTAACAGCAGTGGATATCCATTCTACCTGAGAAGCATATAACATATTATCTTGAATGTGCGTTCAACCCAAGCGCTAAATTCAAGTGAGTAATTGACTTGTGCAATTCTTCACAGTGTTTACAAATGTCGCTTCGAACAGCACCTATTTTGACATTAAGGGTATGGTAGATTGAGTGAGCAGTTATTGTAAACACATTGCATCAATCAAAGCTTTGAGGGAGTCCAATATTGTGCAAGGTACAATATTATTAGAGTTGGTGTGCTGTGAGCCACATGATACTAAATTCTTAAACAAAAGCTGAGCTCATTCTTGATAGAAATTAGGGTCTATATGGAGCCATGGAATCATCAGATGTTAAAGAAACAGGCCATTTGGGTAATCAATACTGGCTGAGTTTTTTCTCTACATGAGGCAGCTAATCTAATCCCACTCTCGTGCTAACTTCCTTATATATTTAAAATTCCCATCACAGCATTGGGGTGTTTACTGAATGATCCCGCTGTGCTGACCTCAACCATTCATCATGTTGTTGTACAGTATTCAAAATTTCAGATGATATCAAGCTGGTAGGTATAGTGCACAGTGAGGAGGATGGCAAGAAACTGCAGGAAGACTTAAATATATTAAAGCAATGGGCTGCAGCGTGGCAGGTGAAGGTTTATGCAGTATTGATCACTCATCGGGTTGTTATTTATAGGATGTTGTTGGTGCAAAGTAGCTGCAGCTTATGCCTGATTAACAATATTCACTTCAGTTCAAATTTTGTGTTTGTTTAAATGAAAGATGTTGTGTAAATGTAAGCTGTTGTGTTGTTAGCAAAATTTTGTAGCAGTTAAGATAGCCTGAAGGGATTATATCGTAAATCATGTTTGAAAATTGTTACAAAACTACGTGTTGATTTAAAATATTGCTGTGCGTTCCCAAAAGGGAGTGTGCAGTATCTGTAAGTCTGTGTTATGAAAGTGGTTCTCTTACGGGAGGTAGTTATGATACATAATTTGAGAGTTCACTTCTGTTTTGCTTCAATTTCAATTGAGCAATGTTCGTTCTAAGCTTGCTCTAGTACTATACTTCCCCCTTCTATTCTGTACATTACCTCTCACTCCCCTTTTGAGACAAGAAGACAGCCATCTTGAAAATCTCCTGAATCAAATATTGAATGCAACAACAACAAATTGCATTTACAGGATGAACAAAAAGTCGTGATATGAAGTTGTGGTATTTCGTGAAAAGTATGTAGCGCCTTTCACGTTAGGAATTCATGCCTCAGGCTTAATTAGATTAACTACCTTTTGTTTTACCAATGAATCATGAAGCTAATGTAGGGTTCTGGTTATGGCTCATCTAGAAATGTTTAAATACATACATATACAGTATATATGGCACCTGATGCACTGAGATTCTCTCAGCAATTTAGTTTCATACGTAATTCGGCAAGTGTATTGCTACTGTAACAATGCTGAAAATCATTGCAAGAGAAGTAATACAAATCTTTAACTGCTAAACTTCCAGAGATGAATAATATGACAATCGCAAATGTATTCCACTTCAAAGTGCACAGTCACTACACTTTGCGGTAAATTCTGTGAAGCACTTCGAGATGTTCTTCCTGATGTGAGAGGTGCTCTATCAAATTCAAGGATTATTATTAAAATATAATTTTTGTACTGCACAGTAGCCAGACTACACAGTATTATGTAAGCTTCTTACATCGGGAAGTGAAAGCAGTAAGGCAAAAATAGCGTATGATTAAGTTGACATGATGAGCTTATTACCACTAATTCCAAACAGACCAACTTGTTTTCTTCCAGTTCCTTGAAGGGCAGCCCTCAAGTTCAGTGCTGCCAACAGCACTAGCAAACAACCAAGAAGATTAGAAGTTTACCACATTGTAGCTGGGTGCAGCTCATCGCTGGCCCACCGCATTAAACTACCTGTAATTTTGCTAATATATCTGTATATTTTACTCTGACATAGCATAAGACTGGTTGGTGGAAAATGGATACACTCTCTGTGATACAACAGAGGTGTAGTTGATTGCATAAATATTGTGTGACAAAGATGGAGCTTTACTGTGTACTTAACTGATCTGGAGTGCTTGTTACTCTGTAGTAAACACCTGCTGTTCACCAAAGCTGCTCTTTCACTTTGATAAACATGATAAACATAAAAAAAAATACCAAAGACGCTTTTCAAATATCTTTTAAAACCAAAGTAGGTTGCTTTACTTGTATCAGCTCAGCTCAATTGGTAGCACTATCACCTCGGGATCAAATATTATGGGCTCAACCCCATATCAGGACTTGACCTCACAATCCACGTTGATACTTCAATGCAGTCTGGGGGAACACAGCTGCCAATTTGCACACAGCAATGTCCTACGAACAGCCAATGGAGTGAATGACCAATTTTATCTGGGTGTCAGTTGGCCAGAATACCAGGAGAGACTCAGCAGCTTCATCCCTTCTCTTTTCAGGTTGTGCCATGGGATCTTTTATATCCACCGGAACTGGTAGGCGTGACTTCGGATTATCATCTCATCTGAAGGATGGCATCTCCACCCCCACAACACTGCACTCAAGCATCAACCTAGATTGTGTTCCTTCCAATATGGGGCTTTAACATGTAGCCTTCCAAGAGGTGTGAGTGCTACCAATTGAGCCAAGTTGACACCTGATTACAGTATATATATGGGTATATATACACACAGTATTAGGTCTTAGCCAACATCCCACCGATTACATCTCCACAATCACAACCATATCCAATGGCTTGTTTTCTATGACTCTGATCAGGTTTTCCCCCATTTCTTTTACAAGAGCCCACATAACTTCCAAACAAGTTGTTGGTGTGTGTGTGTGTGTGTGGTGGGGAAAGAAAAAAGAGAAAAGCCACATCCACAACCCTTAACAACACTCTAACAACTCAATCACAGCTGAGTTTGGAATGGGGTCGATCTGCATACATACATTTAAATACATTTATATAAAAAAAGGGGTGGTGGAGAGAAACAGGAGGAGAAACAAGAAGCTCAACTCGAACTCAGCAGCTTCATCTTTTGTGTGTGAGCCTTTTCGCCGCCTGTGGGAGCAGCTGACAGCTGCTCATCCGCACAGTCACACACCAGAGAAAATAGCTTCTGGACTGATTCATAATAATAATAATAATCCTTGCATTTGATATAGCGCTTTTCACGTCGGGAGGACGTCCCAAAGCGCTTCACAGAATATACTGTAAAGTGAATTGACTGTATATTTGTGGGCGAATAGATTCATGCAACAGAGACACAGAGAGAGAATGGGAAAGTGAGGGGAAAGGATAGGGGGAGGTTAAAGGATTGAGGTCACTTGTGTCTGTGTGTGTGGGGGTGGGGGGGGGGGGTTACAAAAAAGAAACAAGGAAGAAAAGAAAAAACAGAGAGAAAGGGCAAAGAGAGAGGAACCAGAGAGAGAAAAAAGGAGATAAAAAGAAATACAGAGAGAGAAAAGAAAAAGAATAAAGAGAGAAAGACAGAGGAAAAGAGAAAGAAAAATACAGGTAGAAGAAAGAAAGAAAGAAAGAAAGAAAGAAAGAAAGAAAGAAAAGAGAGAGGGAGAGAGAAATAGAAAGAAACACAGAGAGAGAGAGAGAGAGAGAGGTGTGGGTGGGTGAGCGGAGTGGTACAACGACCTCCTCCCCCGGTGGAGCGGCGGTGCGCAGAGACACACACAGCAGCCTGTTCACCGCTGGACAACTTTTACTCCTCCCTCTCCCTCCTCCTCTCTCTCTCTCTCTCCTCCTCTCTCTCTTTCCTTCCCTTTCTCTCTCTCTTTCTCTCTGTTTGTTTTTACGCTTCCAAGACCAGCACTTCCCCTCCGCACAGCCCCTCTCCCTCTCCCCCTCTCCCTCTCAGTGCAGTTACATGTTCAAACGCCGCAATGCCCGGGATGATGGACAGAGGGTCGGAACATGTGGGGAAAGGTCGGTCCAACGGGACCAGGAGTCCCGCAGGAGCTTCATCTAATGGGCATTACTCCGAGGACAGTGGCAGCGACGACGAGCGCTGTGGTAATAACCTCCAATACTGTGCCATGTTTCTTTAACACGTACCCTCTCTCCCTCACCCTCTCCCTCTCCTCCCCTCACCCTCATCCTCCCCTCACCCTCATCCTCCCCTCACCCTCACTCCTCCCCTCACCCCATCCTCCCCTCACCCTCATCCTCCTCCCTCACCCTCCTCCCCTCACTCCTCCCCTCACCCTCATCCTCCCCTCACCCTCCCCTCACCCTCACCCTCCCTCACCCTCCCTCACCCTCACTCCTCCCCTCACCCCATCCTCCCCTCACCCTCATCCTCCTCCCCTCACCCCATCCTCCCCTCACCCTCACTCCTCCCCTCACCCTCACCTCACCCTCACTCCTCCCCTCACCCTCACCTCACCCTCACTCCTCCCCTCACCCTCACCTCACCCTCACTCCTCCCTCACCCTCATCCTCCCCTCACCCATCCTCCTCCCTCACCCTCATCCTCCCCTCACCCTCACTCCTCCCCTCACCCTCATCCTCCCCTCACCCTCATCCTCCCCTCACCCTCACTCCTCCCCTCACCCTCACTCCTCCCCTCACCCCATCCTCCCCTCACCCTCATCCTCCTCCCCTCACCCTCACTCCTCCCCTCACTTTCATCCTCTCCTCCTCCCCTCACCCCCATCCTCTCCTCCTCCCCTCACCCTCACTCCTCCCCTCACCCTCATCCTCCTCCTCCCCTCAGCCCCATCCTCTCCTCCTCCCCTCACCCTCTCCCTCTCCTCACCCTCACTCCTCCCCTCACCCCCATCCTCTCCTCCTCCCCTCACCCTCCTCCTCTCCTCCTCCCCTCAGCCCCATCCTCTCCTCCTCCCCTCACCCTCTCCTCCCCTCACCCTCACTCCTCCCCTCACCCTCACTCTTCCCCTCACCCTCACTCCTCCCCTACCCCCATCCTCTCCTCCCCTCACTCCTCCCCTCACCCTCACTCCTCCCCTCCCCCCATCCTCTTCTCCCCTCACTCTCTCCCTCTCCTCACCCTCACTCCTCCCCTCCCCCCATTGTCTCCGCCTTTCCTCACCCTCCCCTCACCCTCTCTTCCTCCCCCCACCCTCTCCTCCTCCCCCTCCTCCTCCCCCTCTCCCTCCTCCCCTCACTCCTCACCCTCTCCTCACCCTCATCCTCTCCTCCCCCCTCACCCTTTCCTCCCCCCCACCACCCTCTCCTTCCCCCTCCCCCTCCTTTTCTCTTACCCTCATCCCCTCGTTTCTCCTAATCCTTTCCTCTCACCCTCTCCCCGATCTCCTCCTCCAACCCTCCCCTCCTCCCCTCCTTTCTCCTAACCCTCTCCCCCTTCCCCCTCAGCCTCTCCCCATCACCTTTTCCTCGTATCCCCCCCCAACCCCTCGTTCATTCACGTTGCAACTTATTAATGCTAATAACTTCATGCTGCTTTTGTTGCCTTTATCCCCCTCTCTCCCTCCCTCCCTCCCTCCCTCTCTCCCTCTCTCTCCCCCCAGTGCAGCTCCTAATATTTGTGTTTGTTTTGTGTTTGCAGATGTCGGAATGCGAGTGGGTTCGGATTTTCAAGCGTCAGTTCCAGAATTTGATGCAGGTAAACCCCAAAATAAAAGCAGAATAATCTCTTGATGCTTTAACCCGACGTTTCGATATTTTTTTTTAAAAAAAACATTAAAAAATTCCTGTGCTGTTGCTTTAGGATGGCTGCTGGAGGGTGCAATGTGTCTCCACCCCCCCCCCCCCATCCAATTGCTCCCAATATCTTGTAGAATGAGGAAACCAAGTACAAAAAAAAACTTTTATTTGTATTGCCTTCCCCCCTCTGCCAAACTGGTGCATTGGAGCAGGAAAAGGCCTATGGTGTCTTTCATATTTGTGTGTGGAGAGAGCAGGGATCTCGAATCCGCCTCAGGAAGGAAACAGAAGCTCTTTAAATAGGGTTAGACATGCGCGGTTTGCGGGCACTTGGGGCAAAACGAGGCCACTGACACACACTGATACGTGTCGAAGTGTCTGTAAACACAGCGCTGGTTACTGTGACTTGATTCTGCCATTGCAACCTACTCTGTCTGATAACTTCCAACACTTGGAACCCCCTTGTGTGTGGGTGTGTGTGTGGGTGTGTGTGTGGGTATGTGTGTGGGTGGGTGTGTGTGTGTGGGTGTGTGTGTGGGTGGGTGTGTGTGTGTGGTGTGGTGTGGTGTGTGGGTGTGTGTGTGTTGGTGGGTGTGTGTGTGTGGGTGTGTGGTGTGGTGTGGGTGTGTGTGGGTGGGTGGGTGTGTGTGTGGGTGGTGGTGTGGTGGTGGGGGTGTGTGTGTGTGGGTGGGTGGTGTGTGGGGTGTGGTGTGTGGGGTGTGTGTGTGTGGGGGGTGGGTGGGTGGGGGGGGGTGGGGTGGGTGGGTGGGGGTGTGTGTGTGTGTGGGTGGGTGTGTGTGTGTGGGTGTGGGTGGGTGTGGGTGGGTGGGTGTGTGTGTAAACGTTTTTTTTGGTCTGCGTCTCTGGGTAGTACTGCTTTGAAACTTTGGGAAAAGTGCAAGATCAGGGCATGTTTACCTCATGCTATGCTTTTTGACGATCGGAGTCCTTTGTGTGTGTGTGTGTGTGTGAGAGAGAGAGAGAGAGAGGGAGAAATTTTATTCTGATATATTTGAATTTTATTCAAAGAGTTGCAGTTGCTTTTTTTTGTATTTTAACTGCAAAGCCTTGAAAGCAGTAATCTAAAATTGCAATAAATAGTCTTGAAGACTTAGCTTAATAATACAGTAATGTAGTTTTGAGGAAAAAAATCAAATATCCCTTATACTCTTTCCTCAAATAGTTTTTGTTCTTTCAGGCTACTTTGAGGACTGAGGCTGTGTATATTGACATCAACTGAGGTCAGCTCATTTCTCATACATCAGGGCAGTTTTCTGGTCTGGTTGATGTAGTGTTGATTGTATTATGTGCTGAGTTAGGCTGGATTGGGGACATGTGGCTCTGGGAAACTTTCCAACATCCCCTGCTGAAACCCTAGGCATCATGAAGATCAGCTTTATTGAGCCCACCTCCCCCATGAACCCACATGCAAAATACTCACTGGGTTGAGGTACAGCAAACAGCTCCATATCTGCACTAATTGGAATATGGAAACAATTTGAATAATGGATCTTTGTGTGTGTTTGTCTTGCTCTCTCTTTACCTCTAACTCTGTCTGTCTGACTCAATTCCTGTATATTTATTGGATTTCTTCCCTTGACCTACGAATCTCTTCCCTTTATCTCGTCCCACTCCACATACAACAACTTGCACTTATGTAGCACCATCCACGCAGGGCAGTGTCTCAGAATGCTTAACAATGGCGGAGTCGAAAAGGAAGGTTTTCAGGATAACTCCAGCACAAGACTTAGAAATAATTTCCCAACATCACGGCCCGACTTGCCTTGATTAGGTGATGTGAATAGTGAGCGCGAGGGCTGTATTAAAGGTCCACACAGGCTAATGGAACTGTACCTCATCATGAATTGCCACCTCCAAGACACAGCTTAAGAGATAATGAGAGGACAAAAGTGGAGGGAAGAACAATAGGGTCAGTCTAATGGAGTTTACAAGGTTGTTTTTCCTTCCTAATTTTTTTAAAAAAGGAACTAAATGAGCCATAATATACTATCGATAAACATATTAGCTGCTCTTTTATGTAACCACTCATTTGCGTGGTAGTTGATAGTGTCAAATTAAGTGAATAAAATATTGTTTAATTGCTAATGTGAATATTTTTCTAGCTGTTTTTAAGCTTAGGATTCTTGTGAATTGCGTCCACTTTTGTCCATTATTTCCTATCCGGATCTTGGCCGCCTATTTTACGGGAGAGAGTGGAGAAAGGGTTCCTCACTGTTTAAGAGGATAGAGCGTTGAAGATCTAAGTAATCAATGTACATACTGCGGGGTGTGTGGTTGCCAGCTGAGATCTAAGATTGCTGAACCTCATGTAAACCCAGCAAGTGTTTTTTTCCAGCTGGTTTTGGGGTTAAGGCACACTAATTGTAAACAACAGCTGATAATTCTGTGCAATAATGCTGATACTTTTTTTTTGTTTGTTTTTTTTCTAACTATTTTTTAGTAGTTTCACATTGTATATCTTGTGAAGTGTCATAACAGTTTAGCCGGTTCCCTCACACAGCAGATCAAGTTGGGGCAGTTTACACTGTGAAAGGGGCATTGAAGCGATGAAGCTGGTATGTCTGAGGAGAAGGAGAGAAGCCAGTTGCTTGGTGAAGGATGAGGGAAGGTTGCCACAAAGAAAAAGGAACAGGCCAGTAAGGGAGCCTCTACCAGAAGCAGGAGTCTGAGACGCTTGGGAAAGTCAATGCTACGAGGAACCTAAAACTAGATAACTTGGATCTTGTCATTCCAGTGACAAGACCCATGAAGAGGGTCTTGTCACTGGAATAATTCATGGGGACACGAGGTAAACTTGTGCATGTTTTTTTTCCTTGTGTATCAATATTTTAAAGATTTCACCCACAAAATATAGAGTCAATTCATTACAGTATATTCTGTGAAGCGCTTTGAAACGTCTTGAAGACGTGATAAGGACCTATTTCAACTGCAAGGACTATTATTATAAAGAGAGTTTAGTTTTTTTTAAACAACTACAAGGTGTTTAGTATTTAAAGACTTGGACAGTATTGCTTAAGCCCATGTGATAGCATGACTTCCAACACTACTACAACAACAACAACAAAATGACATTTGTATAGCACCTTACATGTCGGGAGGACGTCCCAACGTGCTGGACAGTCTGTGTTTCGGACCCGAGCTGGGGGTTGGGATTGTGGAGAGTGGATGTCAGGGGGGGGAAGCATGGTGATCAAAAGCACAGTCGAAGAGGAGGGTCTTGAAGGAGGCAATGGAGGGCGTGAGGCAGAGGGACTGTGGGATAAAATTCCAGAGGGAGGGGCAGAGTGGCAGAAGGCCCGCCAGCCAGTAGTGGGGCAAGCGAGGTGAGGGACGTGAAGCAGACTGGAGCCTGCTGAGCAGAGGGAGTGAGCGGGATGGTAGGGGGTTAGGAGGTCACAGAAGTAGGTGGAGCAAGACCATGGAGGGCTTTGAAGGTGAGGAACAGGATCTTGAACTGCATCCTCTGTGTGATGGGAAGCCAGTGGAGATGGGCGATGATGGGAGTTGCGGAGGGCGACAAGCAAGGAGTTTGCATAGTCGAGCCTCGTTGTAATGAAAAAGCATGTATGAGGGTTTTGGCGGCCTGTGGTGTGAGATAGTGGCGGAGCCGGGCGATGTTGTGGAGGTGGGGGAAGGCATAGCGAGTCATGGCGCATCTGTGGGGTAGAAAGGATAGTTGAGGGTCAAACAGACCCCAAATTTCCAGACTGGCTTAGCAAGGTGGACCTTGCAACCATGGACAGTGATGCTGTCAGTGAGGAAGCCTTTATCACCTCAAGACTGGACTATGGGAACTCTCTCCTCGCCGGCCTTCCCGGCACCTCCCTCCACAAGCTGCAGGTCATTCAGAACTCTGCAGCTCGTGTACTGTCCCGCACCAGGCTTCGCGACCACATCACTCCCACCCTCGCTCGCCTCCACTGGCTTCCCATCCCCCAGAGGATCGAATTCAAGATCCTCATCCTCACCTACAAGGCCATTCACGGCCTCGCTCCCTCCTACCTCTCCAACCTACTATCCCCCTACTTACCTACCCGTACCCTCCATTCCTCTGGCTCCGGTCTGCTCCACATCCCCCGCCCTAACCGCCCTACCATCGGTGGCCGGGCTTTCAGCCTCTCAGCCCCTAGGCTCTGGAACTCCATCCCCCAGTGCCTTCGTCGCCTCTTCCCTTTCCTCCTTCAAGGCCGGTCTCAAGACCTTTCTCTTCAACCGTGCCTTCAGCTCCCCTCTCGACTCTTTACCCCCTCTGCGCTCCCGCCCCTCACCCTGACCATTTCCCCCCTGCTCGGGTCCTGACCCAACTGTCCAGCAACTTGGGACATCCTCCCGACGTGAAAGGCGCTCTATAAATGCAATCTTGTTGTTGTTGTTGTTGAGGCGCTGACGGGAACCAATCAGGAGAGCCTCGGTCTTGTTGATGTTCAACTGAAGAAAATTAGCTCTCATCCAGGACTTGATGTCTGACAGAAGGTGTGGAGGGAGGGATGAGTAAGGACCGGGGTGGCAGGGGGAGATGGGGAGGGTGTAGAAGATGGAATGGCAGAGGCAGCTGAGCGGATCCCCTTGACTTTGCATTCGAGGAAGTCCAGCACTAGAGGGATTTAGAGGTATGCTGGACAGAATATCCCTTGTTTGAGAAAATGCTCCCGCTATACCAGACAAATGGAAACACTACACTACAAGTGTGGAACTCTTTTGAAGACTTGGATGGCAATGGGTTTCCTTGTGTCCCAAGACATCTAGCTGCATCCCCACCTCCCCACCCCCCCAAAAAAAATTGTTCTTTGAAGTAGTGAGCAGAAATACTTTTTTTCTCTGCAAATGAAATGAGTGGCGGATGGGATGTCTGGATATTTTGAACGCCTAACATACACTATACCACTACATCAACAGTATTGATTCTCCTGCTCTAAAAATCCAATGAAATGAAACGTGACTGTGGTGGGGGAGGATTACGTGCATTTAGCCATCGTCTATTGGATGAGGGAAGAACTGGTCTATTCATGATCCGTTAATAAATAAACAAACAAACAAACAAATGATTGGTAGCTGGGATGTTTTTGAGATAAATGGTCTTTTAATTCCACAAAGAACCGGCCATGGCAAGTCAAATATTGTAGCAGCTGAAGAGATTGTTTAGTCACGGTTTTGCTTTCCGTTAACTCGACTTCCTGAAAGGTGAAAAGGGGGGTTGTGTTTTTGAGCAACATGTTTGTAAGCAAATCAATTTGTTTGCCAAACAGCACAGCATTGCAGCTTGTAGCAAGGTGGGTCTATGTCAGTTACAAGGTGACATTATTGTGAATGCATGAGGCTTCCCCCCCCCCACCCCTTCCCTAACACAAATGATTAGCTAAAATGTTTTTTTTGCTGAAGTTGCTGCCCTCTTTGTGTATAATACTGTAAAGAGCCTGTTGGTAGAAGCAGACTCAATGGGACAGTTGATGTATTTTACAGCCAGTTTAGAGGAATATATTAACAAGCATTTTGTTTTGCTCAACTGTTGACTGTGATTTGATAAATTTTAAGTAATTATGTAGCAACAGTTAATTGCACAGTGTAAATATTGTCACATGTAAGGGACACTTGCACTTAGCACTGAGCTGTTTTGAGACCAAAAAAATAATAAATAAGCAAATGTTTTCATGACATTGACTGCTTCGAATGACACGTTAAACCAATGTCCCGTGTGTGCTTGTTCAGGTGGACGTTGAAGATCTTTTCATTCAAAAAGAGAAGGGAATTTCTCCAGGTATCCTGGTCAACAATCCATCAAATAAAATATTGGTCATTCACTTCATAGCTGTTTGGGTGGCATGCTGTGTGCAAATTGGCTGCCGCGTTTGCCCACAAAAGACAAAGTCACTACACTTACAGTATATCCTGCGAAGCTTTTTGCGATGTACCCCCGATGTGAAGGCACTGCTGTATACCAAATTTAAGGATTATTATTGTTATAATAATGGCCCTGGAGTGATTCGCAGGTTACAATTACATTTCAGGATCCAGGTGACCAAGCAGCTGGTATATGAACCTGAGTATGGATCATATTTACCATTTTGAAATCGCTCCTCCAGAAAGACTAGGAGTTGAAATTGACTTAGTCTGTACGACTTAACAATTAACTTTTTGTACATCAACCTTACGTGTAATTTAAAAAAAAGTCTGGACAAAGGTTGCATTCAGTCATTTTAATAGGAATATTTAATTGAAGACAGCAACGAAGATGAGTCTTTAACATTTAAAACCTCGGATAGAATTGGTTGCTGATCATGTAGGAGCTGATGAAATGTCATTCTTTAGTCAACATAATACTGTATTTCCTTTAATCTAAGGATCAGTCAAATCTAAGACACTGGCAGATTTTACAGGGGTTTTTTTGCGAGGGGAGGCAACTTTCTTGCAAATTCAAGTGCACTATTGCAATTCTCCGTTGTCACTTATTCTAAGGATATTGCAATGTTATCGGTACTTTTTAATAAAAAAAGTAAGCCTTAGATTTTCTTAAATACTGCACTTGATATATTATGCAGACTTTTGGGGTGGGGGGGCAGAGTAAGTTATTTTACCACTCTATGGAAGGTGCACTCACTTCTTAACTAACTTGTATTTATTGTGTATCAGGAATCGTTGCCTTCTGCAGCTCTTGGTCTCTGAATCAGGTTTGAGGTGGCAAGTGACGTTACAAATAGGAATACAATAAAATAACTAAGATTTATCCTTGAACAAAAGCACTGACTTTCACCATCCAGCACTGGTGCAAACTCTGGACTGTCCAGTGCCTTGGATGTCTTTCCAAAGCGAAAAGTACTGTATAAATATAAGTTTGTGTCGGTAGTTTAACCAGTGCTTTTTCCTCCTGTAAAGTTTTTCCTCTCCTATAAAGTTACTGTATTCACTGTTGCAACTAAAAAATGTGCACTCTATCTCAAATGATTAACTCGAGTTTTCTTCACACAGGTGCCACAAAACACAGTGACAAAGAAACCGGTGGTATGCTGGTCTGGTCGCCGTTTCACATAATACCAGATATGAAGTGTAAGTAACATTTTAGAATGGGTTTTTATGGCAATGACTGTCTCACCGGCAATTTTTAAAGGTATTCATTGTTTTCTTGAAACTAGTAACCATTTCTAGGAATTGTATAATTCTCCCGGTCCCAGGCATGTATTTTAGGTCAAAGAATGGCAATACATGTGTTGGTAACTGTTGCAGTATCCAATTTTTGCCGTGAAATATCAGAAGCCAGTTGGAATAGCCCAAGAGCAGCCTACAGCAGTTAGTACTGATAAGTATAAAAGTACACTATTGTAATGTACATTTTATCTCGAAACCTTATGATTCCAAGCCCATCAAAGGGCTTTCTTTTGCACAGAGGCACACTGTGTCTTTATTTGTCTTTGTTCTACAGTGTTTTGCACAGATCAAAGCATTGAACGTACAAATAATCGAATAATTCTACTAAAAATCATTTCTTTTAAAAGTGAAATATTGTTGATACTTTAATTTTAACGTTGCACGACTGTCCTGCTTATGAAATTAGGTGGTTGGATTACAGGCTGCATTATTGAGGTTGAGGGTTTATAATCCTTGCATTTGATATAGCGCCTTATCATGTCTTCGAGACGTCTCAAAGCGCTTCACAGAAAATATATTCAAGTTAATTGACTGTATATTTTATAGGCGAAATGTGGCAGCCAATTGTGCTCAGCAGTCTCCCACAAACAGTCATGGATTGAGTGACATATTTATTTATTTATTTTGAAGGAATTATTACCCCCAGAAAAGCAATCCACCAATCGACTAACGACCGGGTTCCTACTAGGTAAACAGAGGCGTGTGGCATAAGGAAACTTGCCCAATCTTTCGCCCTGCCCGGGAATTGAACCCAGGTCTCTCGCTTGCGAGGCAAGTGCTCTAACCACTTAGCTACAGAATAATGCACATAGGCCTGAAATTCCACCAAGTCTTGGTGTGTTAGGCTATTTTGTTTTAAAATTTAAATTTTGCAATATACTTAAAATTAGTCTAAATTTGGAAGCTGGATATCCACAGTTGTGAAAAGAATTTAAGAATTTTCACAATTTTGCATGACTTAAACTACAAACAAAAACATTTTAACAGGTTAAGATTAGGTGGAGTTTTGGATCTATTGCTGGAAGAAAGACTGAACACTACTCTACGGTATTCAGGCTGTGCCCATAATGTACCTTCATGAGATCCACTTTACTCTGCACTGTGCTCTTCATGTACTTTTACAAGCTCCATTTTACTCTGCACTGTGCCCTTAATGTATCTTTCTGAGATCCATTTTACTCTGCACCATGTTCAGTCTGTGCTTTTAATATACTTTTACAAAGTCTACTTTGCACCTTGCTCAGACTTCTTCATTTTTAAAACTCCATGTTAAAAGTGGCTCCATTTTGCAGCTTTGACATCTGTCACTTCATTGAGCACAGATAGGAAGCAAATGGTGCAGGAAAAATATGAGGCTGTCTGTAATTCTTGCCTTTCACAGAGTATAAAGGGTATATTCTTGCTTCACTGTTTCCAAAGCATAATGTAAGAAAATAATGATGTTGATGATTGATCCATTGTTGCGTACATAAAGCATATCCATGGAGAATTAACCCCATTTTCTTTGAGTACTCTGTGTGCTTGTATGAAAATGAATGGATTTATAGATCGTTTAATGGTATGCGGTTTTCAAAAGAACTCCCTTTTCTCCATCATGTTTTCAAACAATAGTAAGTGATGTGCAGACACACACATGATGATGATGATGATGATGATGATGATGATGATGATGATAGGCACCTTGCAGCACTAGTTTGTGGAATTCTTGGTTGATTTCTGCTTTGTTAGGTTGCCTTTTCTTTAAAGCATAACAATATAAAAAGTATGTCATCTTTGCTGCATCCAATACCTAATCTTAATTCATTTTGCAATGTCATCAGCTAACCAATTGAGTAGAACCATCAACATGTACAACACAGAAGAAGGGAATTCAACGCATTGTTGAATTCACTGAGCTCTTTGAAACAACGATCCATTTATTCCTGTTTCCCTGCTTTTTCCCCACCCCAATGCAAATGATTCCATTTTAGATATCTATCCAGTTATGTCTTGAAAGCTGATGTGGATTCTGCCAGGACTATCACACCTGGCACGGTGTTTCATATCCGATCAACTCTATGTAAAGAAATTCCTCCTAATTTCCCTCATTTGTTCTCTGTATGTGCCACCAATGCCTTGAAAATGTTTAAAGGATTTGATAGCAGTTGGTACTACCTCATTCCAGAGCGTAATAGTGAGCCATTGCATCTTTCATTGGCTGCTTGGAAACAGGAAGTCAGGCTTAGGCAGGTGGTAACACATAACTGCATTCCTCTCAACTTCCCCAGGAGCAAACCTTCAGTGCTGGATACTTAACCCTGTTTCTACTTGCGGTAGTGTGGTGTTTGTATTTGGCAGATTGTGTGCGATATTGTCACGGTTTCAATATTACACTCCGTAAATTTGCAGTATTTAAAAATTACTATTCTAATAAAGCATAACGAATTATTTATCAGTTCTCTAGTATCCTGGTGCACCCAGTTTCACTTTTCAGTCCAATTCCCATCTCCTACCGCATGTTGGGAAATCATGGCAAAAGTGTCAGTGGGTAAAGTTGAGAGAATATTTCAAGAAGGAGAAAAAACTGGGGTGGGACAAATTTCGGAGTTGAGCACAAAAAAATGTCTTTATATGTATTCCATAATACGGGTATTAACATTGCCACTGTATTTCTGTTTTACAGTAGATGAATATGTTGCAGTGGCCAAGGAAAAACATGGCTACAATGTGGAACAGGTTTGTAGAAGTACCTTCTTTACCAGGCTCATTCAGCACCAGAAAAAGCTACATTTGACTAAGTGACCACATAGATTTTCTCATGCAGTCAAGCACTAAACCAGTTTCCTTCCATAAAGCTTTAAAAGAAAACATTGTTCTCTGACAACACTTTGATATAAAGCACTCCTGGCCACATTTTAGTTAGTATAAGAAGGTTGTTCTGCTTCAAGCTGACTTAGTATTTTGAGTTGTCGAAAAGCTGTTTGTGTAAATTCAGCAAGAGTTAATGTTCTATGTAGTTGGGGGCATCCTATTCTGTCTTGGATGCTGACTGATCGGCAACAAGTTATAATTAAAAGTTGAGTCCATCCTAAGTGTAAACATTCCCGTGATGCGACTCATGCTGTGTGTAGATATTAGGAGTCAGCTGGTGTACTATCCTCCATGTACAGCTGAAGTATTATTTGATTCATATTCAAAGTTTAAAAACTTGCAAAATCATCTTTGTAATCCTCTTTCAATGCCTGATTTCCCTTACCTTCTCCCAGCATTGCCACCCTCAATATTGCTGATTCCAATGCAGGTTATAATATTGTTTTTATTTTAAAAATCTTTGCTTTAGTATTAAATGCTAAATGTTATCGATTATTATTGCTGAACACGTGCTGTGATTATATCCCTGTCATTGTAACTTTCAGCATGGATATGGAATATCACAGTTGTAGGTTCCTATCTCACACACGGTACTGGAGGCGAAAAAGCTCCAAAACTGAAAGAACTGTTACCACTGGGTTCATAAAGGAATGAAAACATAGGGCAATTTCAAAGCATTAATGCTATCTGTAATTAAGGTGGTTTTGTTATGAATCACACTACTTGGCTTGTATATCTTCTGCATCTTTCTGTTTCTTGCTGTCTTTCCACTTGTTAATTCTGTGTAAACAGCATAAACTTTGGAATTACAAAGATGAATTATCTAATGATCACAGATGTCTCTTTACTGTTCGATTTTCTTTGGCCTTATACTGGCGATGAACTCTGTGCAATCTTATGAAAACTTTTTCCAATTTGTTCAATCTTTTGCTTCCTCAGGCTCTGGGAATGTTATTTTGGCATAAGCATAACATTGAGAAGTCACTGGCCGACTTGCCTAACTTTACTCCTTTTCCTGATGAATGGACTGTGGAAGATAAGGTGCTCTTTGAACAGGCCTTCAGCTTTCATGGCAAGAGCTTTCACAGGATTCAGCAAATGGTAACTAGACCCTTATGGTATGACATCAAAAATTGCACCTTACATGCTTTCTACTAAGTTTAGATTGGATTTTTGTGGAAGAAGTTGACAGAGCATTTAAAACATAGTGCAGTACACGTTGGAATGTAGCTCAGTGATCGAAATCTTTAGGAATTACAAGAGCAAGAAATTGTACGGTGCAAATTATTCAATATGTATAATGATTGCAGACAAGGTTACCAATCAGGACTATTAAAACAATCATCCATGTAGCTATTTATAGAAAAGAAACACAATTCTGCTGATAGAAATCCTCAGGTTGAAATGTAATCCTGTTTTTGTCAATTATAAACATGGTGCTTTGACTTATATCTTGAGTGTAGACATTAGTGTTTATACCTTTGAATCCTGGACCCAATTTGGATCTTGAACAGTAGGATTGTGGCCCAAACTTAATTTTTGCAATAATAATAATAATCCATGCATTTAATATAGCGCCTTATCACGTCTTCGAGATGTCTCAAATCACTTCACAGAATATACTGTAAAGTGAATTGACTGTATATTTTGTTGGTGAAACACGGCAGCCAATTACACACAGCAGTGTCCCATGAACAATCGTGGATTGAAGTGACCAATTTTATTATCATTATTTTATGACAGAACTATTACCCCTGGAAAAGCGATCCGCCAATCGATTAACAACTGGATTCCTATTTACTGCTAGGTAAATAGAGATGTGTGGAGTAAGGAAACTTGCTCAACATTCCACCCTGCCGGGAATGAAACCCAGATCTCTCGCTTGCGAGGCGAGCACTCTAACCGCTGAGCTATAGGACTCCATTAAAATGTATAGTATATCATTTTAACAGAGTGAGCCATATTTGCCGATGGTAGCTCATGAATATTTTTGTCGCAACTGCAATGAAGATTGTGCTTTCAATATTGCTTCTGTAATTCTGCAGCTGGATGAAATATTTATGCCAGCCCCTTTTATCAGATTACTGGTTAGGTTTCTTTGAGCCAACTGCAGGGCTAGTTCCCACTTCTTGTTAATAATTTCCCTTTTTCGCCCACACCACATAACCTGTGTGTTACCAGTCACCTTTGCCAGGTCACTTTCTCAGGGCTGCTTGAAGGAAATTTTGTTTTTTCAGTCAGTGGAGATAAGAAAAACAAATCAACTGTATTCAATGGAACAGAATTTTTCTATGACTCATTTGGAGAGACCGACTACATTAAATGACTGATGGCCCAAATGTTCTTAAACGACTGGGACTCCTTTCATAGGATGTAATTCTCTGCTGCATACTGTGTTGGAAGCAGAATCCATGAATTGTTTTAAAATGGCAAACAGATGTATGGTTGGAAAAAAACACATTTAAAAATTGAGGATCAAGCAACTGCAACCTGCAGGTTGATCTCACCTAGTCTGGGTGGACTGGTTTGGGGTTTGCTGTTTATGCAAGTTTCGGCTGCTCATTCCTTCTCAAATGTGAAGTTATTCCTTTTAATAGATTTAATAGATTTAATAGATTGATTGACAAAAGTGCCTTTGTCACCTCAAGGCTGGACTATGGGAACTCTCTCCTCGCTGGCCTTCCCGCCACCTCCCTCCACAAGCTGCAGGTCATTCAGAACTCTGCAGCTCGTGTACTGTCCCGCACCAGGCTTCGGGACCACATCACTCCCACCCTCGCTCGCCTCCACTGGCTCCCCATCCCCAGAGGATTGATTTCAAGATCCTCATCCTCACCTACAAGGCCATTCACGGTCTTGCTCCCTCCTACCTCTCCAACCTACTATCCCCTACCTACCTGCCCGTACCCTCCGTTCCTCTGGCTCTGGTCTGCTCCACGTCCCCCCCCCCGCCCTACCATCGGTTGTCGGGCCTTCAGCCTCTCAGCCCCCAAGCTCTGGAACTCCATCCCCCAGTGCCTTCGCCTTGCTTCTTCCCTTTCCTCCTTCAAGGCTGGTCTCAAAACCTTTCTCTTTGACCGTGCCTTCAGCTCCCCTCCCCTCCCCCCCCCCCCCCCCCTCCCCTCACCCTGACCATTCCCCCCTGCTCGGGTCATGACCCAACTGTGCAGCGCCTTGGGACGTCCTCCTGACGTGAAAGGCGCTTTATAAATGGAATCTTGTTGTTGTTGTTGTTGATTGAGCCCTTTTGATGTGAAGTGAGATTGTATTGATTGTTTATGTGGGTCAGAGAACCTGAGATGATAGTGGCAATATAATGACCAAAGGCCAATGTGAATCAGTTCTATGAGTATTGAGCATAAATGATGTAGAATGAAATCATCATAATAACTTCACAATGCCTATTTTAAACTGCATTAGTTGGCACGCAGAATCATTCTATTGCTCTTTGCCTTATTTCCTCTAAAGGTGAAGTGGTATTTAGATAAACTGTTTCCTAGTGTATTTCAAAGTAAAAAAAAACGAACAAGCTGAGGTTTTCACACGTCCTACCTACACATAGAAATCCCAGAGATAGATTGTTGAAATTGAATGTGCGCTCTCTCCCTGGAGGATCGAATTCTGCTTACCTAATTCTGGAACGTATTAGGCACAGGTTGGCAAGAGCCAAGGCTTGGGGTCCTCAGAGTGTCCGTTGGATTACTGCTGGAGTCTAACCAACTAAAACCACATAGCTTGCCATTGCCATCTGGCAAGCCTTCTCGCTGCTTGGCCAGCTAGGACCACCTCACCATTAGGGCTTTGACTTGCAAGGCTAACAGGAGTTGAATGGGATGACACCCTGCCCCCAAGTGACTGGTCTGGCCTTCCAGGTGTTGCCGATGAGCCAGGCTTGCTGTGCTGTCACCAGCATCGCCCTGGAATACTGCATACCCACCTGGTTCAGTAACCGGCCCTAATGAGACCGTCATAGAGGGCTGGCTTGATTCTTCCGTTCTGTTGTCAGGCATGTCACCTTGGAGCAAATTCAGCTCCAAGGAATCCCCACTTAACCCCCCCTCCCGGAGAATAGTCGTTAGACAATGGATTTCAGGCACTGTTCACGAACGTGGACTCCAGTTAACACCTTCCAGCAGCTGTCACCCCAAGCCTCAGAGTTTGCTCATCAGCTATCTGATGGGCATCTGCTTTCAGCGGATGGGAAGACCTTGATCCAGGCAATTGCTGCCAGAAGCAGTGAATGATCGCAGTTGAGTGCATGTCAGATCGTCTAGTTGCACTGAAATGTTGGATATCTATCAGGTCCACTGATGCAAATCATGAAATTAAATTTTTGTGCATTACCACATTTTAAACAACTCATCGCCCTTCACGTGGGATAAAGTCTGATAGTGTTTTTCGTTTCCTCCTTCCCCATCAAATTAAAAAGATGGTATTTCATTATTGAATACACTTCTCCTTTAACAGTTATTTTTGTTTTAGAAGGTTTTGAGTATTTTAAAAAAATGCTTTTTTCTTTTCCTCCTTCCCCTTCAAATCTGTTATATTCACATGGTTGAATTTCATACTGGGGTCATTGGTAAATGAATTTGTAGAACATTACTGCATGGAAATGGGTTGGTAGTCCCAACAGGTAATTGATCAGTTCTCTGTGTGTGGTTTCTCAGCTACCAGATAAGTCTATCGCAAGTCTTGTGAAGTACTACTATTCTTGGAAAAAAACACGGTCACGAACCAGTTTAATGGATCGGCAAGCACGAAAATTAACAAATAGAAACAATCAAAATGAAAGGTGAGTGCAAGTCCAATGTGTTTCGACAGCACAAACTATTCTTGGCTCAGCAAAATTAACTTTGTCAAAACTTTTGCATTAAACATGTGTTTAATGCAAACTAATACAATCGTTAGTCACATGGCACTATTCAAAATGAAAAGGAAATTTCTCCTGGTGTCCTGGCCAACAATCCACTTCTGGTACAACAATAAATATTATTTCTCTTATTACTGCTTGCAGAAAATCAGTCGTATTTATTATCCAAGATCTGTGAATGTATCATAAAACTATACACTGCAGTTTCCCTCCCCACCCCAGCATTGTTGAGCACTTTGAGACATCTTCCTGATGTGAAAAGTGCTATTCAAAAGAACACCCAATTTGAGTTTTCGAGAGTCTCATTGTATTTTGTGGTGCTGAATTGACTATTTAAAAACTATTTTGGACTGAACAAAATTGACTTTATCAAAACATTTGCCACATCAGTGAACAAACATTAGTCATGTGACACAATTCAAAATGAGAAGGGAGTTTCTCCTGGTGTCCGGGCAAACAATTCCATTAGTAAAATGGTCATTCACTTCACGGCTGTTTGTGAGACATTGCTATGTGCAAATTGTCTGCCATGTTGATTTCTAAAATACAAAGTCAATATATTTTACAATATATCCTTCAGAAGCACTTTGAGATGTGCTGTGCGCTTGATGTGAAAGACTATATATCAAATGCAAGGATTATTATTAATATCCGTTTAATAAGGATAGACACAATCAGCTTAATGGATTTTGTGATGTGTCTTTTTTCAGAACGTTATATTTGCCTTTTGGCACAAAACAACATTGTGCGTGTGCCACCTTAAGTAAGATTCACATTAGCTTCTTGATTTCAGTGATAACGAGATGGAGGAAGGAACTGTGCACAACATTCATGATCGTGATTACGATCCCACTAAAGAAGCTAAGAAAGAGGTGAGACAACTTTTAGGAGCATAACTGAGCTAGATATTCAGCTCTGAAGTTTCATCAGTGCAGGGCTATAAAGGTTCAAGCATGTTTTTGGAACGGTTGCCTGACAAGGTCAAAATTAAGGGTGTGTTGTGGGGGTGTTTGGGCTGCGGTAACAGAAGGTTGCTTTCCAACCAAAATGTTGTTTGTTTACAATTTCAACCTAGAATGTTCAAATTATTGAAACCTCAAGCTCAATACTTTGAAACTTCATGGTCTTAACTTAATCAGATACTTTAAAAATGTAAATTGTTTTGTTTCGTCTTTCATGAAATGATAAAACGTAAAGCACAAAAGGAAGCCGTTCAGCCCAACGAATCAATGGTGAATCTGGCTCCTCTGCTGAAGGTTATTGCCTGGGCCAATAGAAAAGTGTGTCTGCACTTTATCCACGGAATCCGCTACAAACACCATCCTTCGCTATAAACCCGCTGTAGATGTAGTTTCTGGCCCGCAACCCTAACCCTAAACCCTGTGGGTCGGGCAGCTTAGGAAATGCATGCGCAGTGTGGCGCAAGCGGCAAATGGGCTTCACTCGGAGGCCCCGCTGTTGTGAATTATCTGTGTCTTTCTCTCTCTTGTCTGTGAGTGTCTTGTGAGTATGTGTGCATCATCTATGTGTTTCTGATTGTCTGTGTGTCTCTGTCTGTGTGTGTTTCTTTCTCTCTTTGTTTGTGAGTGTCTGTATGAGTGTGCATCTCTCTCTGAGAATGTGCATCTCTCTGTGTTTCTGAGTGTGTGTCTCTCTGTTTCTGTATATGTGTGTGTGTCTCTCTCTGTTCTGTGAGTGCGTGTGTCTCCCTTTGTGTCTGTGAGCATGTGTCTCTCTGTGTTGAGTATGTGTCGCTCTCTGTGTCTGAGTGTGTGTGTATGTGTTTGTGTGTGTACGTGTGTGTCTCTCTTTCTCTCTGGGTCTGTGTGCAGTGCTGGACGCTGAGAGCTCCTGTAGCCTAGCTAGTGTCTCCCCTCCCCGCCCCCAAAAAAGGCCACCCAGTTTTTCTTAAAGAAGGCAATAAATATTTTTTGCAGCAATCTAATATGTGTTATTTCTTCATATTTAGTTCAAAATGCGGCTCTCAATAGCACCGATCAACCCTCCGCAATTTTCTGAGAAGCCCAGGAAATTTCTCCACGAGTTTCTGCAAAGCACTCTGCACTTTTGGGCAAACATTTCCATACATTTCTATTAGTCCAGGTTATTCCTTCAAATGAGGGGGTGTTAAGAAGGAAATACTTAGTATTTATGAGCAGTTATTATTTGTTCCAATGTAGTTGTATTGTTTATCTTTGCAATTATTTCCAGGTTACATGTGTGTGTGTGTGTTCTCACATCTTGTGAAAAGTTGTTTTAAAAATCCTAACCATACTGTATAGCTAACTCTTGTCTCCCTGCGTACTTGGTTGTAGGGTAATCCTGATCCACCTGTACAGATCAGCAGAGTTGGTTCAGTCAGACGGGAGCATCCAAGCTTGCAACATCGCCACCATCCTCTTCGGTCCAAGTGTCGGCCACCAAAGGGAATGTACCTCAGCCAGGAAGATGTGGGAGCCGTGTCCTGCAGCCCAAATGCAGCAAGTACCATTCTTAGACAGCTTGATATGGAACTTATCTCATTGAAACGCCAGGTATTTGGATACCTGTAGTGTAGTTACCAAACTCCCAAAATTAACATTGTGTTTTTCTTCTATTACATATTTGTAATCTGAACTGCGGATTAACTGTTCATGAAAGAAAATTTAAATCTTAAACTCAGTGAAATCAAGGTGCATTTTAAGCAGTCCAGCACTTGGGAGTATTTCATTTTGAGGACCCAGGTAATTGGGTGGATGCCAACCACACTATTGTGTTTCACATTTGTTGCCTTACCTATCAAGGTGATATTGGACAACCGGACAGCTAAAGTAGAGTTGTGCATATTTAACGGTTCTTGAGTAGTGAGTAGGTTGTGAGATTGGTAGAAAAGTGGTGTGTTTTATATCTAGGTTCTATGATGCAGTTGGATCATATAACATTTGATAACTGTCCTGAGCGGTTCTTGACAATTGAACCCTATTTCAGAAAGAAAGTGTCGAGTGCATTTGCTAAATGAAACCCATCTGTAGTGTGCGGACAGCTGCTTATTTAAATATTGTTGCATGCAAAATCTTGCTCTGAGGAAATTGCTGCTTTTGGCTGCTTGCAGTTTCCTGTGGGCGTTGAGAGGATGCAGTAATCGCAAGATGCAATCCACAGGGTAATCTAATTCTTGGGTTTTATGTGATCTTGGTGTTCTTTATAGTTGTGCAGAGTGTAGCACTTTGATACATGGGTAGCATTGTGAGGAGAAACTGAGTTTGGAGATGCCAAATTGGCTGTGAGTGCAGATGCCCATGTTGGGAATGGCTTGAAGGAAAGAGCACCTTATTGTGAAAGGTGTAAGAGCAATACTGTCAGTGGAATAAGAACGTGAAACCCAGACATGTACAGTCATCATGTTAGCTGGAGTGAAGCTTGCATTTACAAATTGAAAAAAAATCATTGCAATAGTAATTTTCTAATCTGTAAAGATATACTTTATTAACTATATTTTGATTATGTTTTCTTTTTCCTTATTTGTACACACTTGCACCTCAATCTGATTGGATGCCCTAGGCCCCTGGTGCCTTTGGTAAACAATGGCAGAATAGTCAGTGGGCCTATTTTTAATTCATGCTGTCAGTTTCTTTTATCATAGCATTTGCAATTTTCACATGTCTCGCTGTTTGTCGTTCTTTTTTGTGTCTTCTTTTCTTCCCCTCTATAAATCTCCAGTCTCCTCTAGCCAGCTCTTTTGCCTGATTTCCTTGGAAATAATAATAATAAAAAAACTTTTCTTCTCCTCCCCCTCCTTCCAATTGCTTTCAATCTGATCTGCAAAGTATATAAACAGCATATTCGAGCTGCATTTTGTAAACTGCCTAAATTAATTGAGTGAAATGGGGATGCAGGTGGGATAATGTAATAAAATAGTTGTCTAAATGGCTAATGTTAATTTCGAAATTGATTGCAAAAAAATAGGTAAAAGTCTAATTTTTGAAATGGTTTCCCAGGTACAAAATGCCAAGCAAGTTAACAGTGCTCTGAAACAGAAACTAGAAGGAGGCATAGAAGAATTCAGACCACCTGAGGTAAATTATGTTTTTGTTTGGTCAGCCGTGTATCTGACACATGCGGAAGCCCATCACCATGTTTAAGAGTATCCAAACCAAGCTGAGATTTCCATGCTTCCCACCTACACATGGAAATCTCAGACATAGATTGTTGGAATGGAATGCGCTCTCTCTCCCTGGTGGGATGCATCCTGCTTACCTAATTCCGGAAAGTATTAGGTGCAGGTAGGCAAGAGCCAAGGCTTGGGGACCAGAGTGTGCGTTGGGGCACTGCTGGAGACTTAACTAGCTTGCCATCAATATTGCTGTCCGGCAAGCTTTCCCGCTGCTTGTCCAATTAGGACCACCCTACCCAGTAGGCCTTTGGATTGCAGGGTTAACAGGAGCTGAGTGGGGTTACTCCCTATCCCCAGTGACTGGTCTGCCCTTCCAGGTCCTGCCAATGAGCCAGGCTGGCTGTGCTGTCATCAGCCGTGCCCTGGAATACTACGGACTACCGAGACCACCACAGAGAGCTGGCTCGATTCCGACATTCAATTACCAGACATGTCACCTTGGAGCCAATTCAACGCCAAGGAGATCCTGCTTAAATGATGTATTGTTTTAACTTCACAGTAAAGAAGTGAATGTAATTCTCCACGTCTTGTTGCGTGATAGTTAGTTCGTAGATTAATATATGTTATTTGAAAATATTCTTCTGTGCATTAGCCGGAATGTTAGAAAACTGTGGCAAAGGTGAAAAATAAGCACCAAGGCTTAAATCTTTTGCTGGGCAGTGCAATGCTGGACTAGGGCCACAGTCTGACTTGGTGCAGCTGGGTGTTTTTTTTTTGGGCTGATTGTATGTGCACTGGTCCAAATGCACTTTCTACATTCAGGCCTGGCTGAATGTGTACATAGACAATGATACATATTTCAAAGAAACTGGCTAATTGCATGGACATTTTCTGCTCTCCCCCTCCCCTCGGTTCCTTCGTTTTATCTGTGAGAATTTATGCGTGAGAATTTAAACTTAAATTTAAGCAGTTTAGACCTGGGAAAAACAGACTTCACTTTTTCAAAAATTAGACATCTATGGAATAAATAAATGGCTCTTCTGAGATACAATCATCCTAATGGAAATTTGGGGATTTGTATTTAATTATCAGCCAAGGCTTCATACTATCACTGCTTGGGATAAGAATTTTAGAATTTTTTTACGGAAACACTACTTCAGTGATCGAGTAGTAAATGTAAAGAACAGGCTCTGTAGGGAGACGTGGAAACAGAAAGTGACGATTCTTTCAAGAATAAATTAGATAGATTTCTGTTAGGAAATAATATCTCGGCATACAATATATAGTATGGGACATGACATGGAACTGCCAGGTTGGTGGAAGGTGAACTGGATGGACCTTGATCTTCTTTTGCACAGTAAATTCTTATTTTCGTATGGGATGTCTTCTGTCCTGTCCAGCCCAGCTCATGCCTGTAATATGCATGTAACTCATTTGATTGTTGGCATTGGCTCATGAACAAAGCCCAGCATGTTTGAGGCAAAAAACTGTGTTTTCTTTATGTATTAATGTCCCAAGTATGCCTGGTTATGACGAGAGAATTTTTTTTTTTAACATTTGTTTCATAAATGTTTTTGTAATTCTGCAAAAAATTAGAATATATGTATTTTTTAATGAGCAACTTATAAACTGAAGCTGTGGGTTTTTAGATTTCTTTGCAAGAATGCGCAAAAGTAGCCCAAGGTTAGAACATTTTGCTATCCAGCGGCTGCCACTTGGCAACCCCCTACTGGCAGCGGTGTTCTACAGTATTATGTTATCTCAATGTCTTCTCTTTTTCTGACTGATACAAGGAAGGAAGTGCAAGGCTAGCGATGGATCAAATCAGTGAGTAAATTAGAAATATGGTTTAATTCGGACACAAGTATTTGTGTTAGAAGTAGTCGAAATAACCCGACACACCATTTAGCAGCTGAGAAGCACACAGGAAATTCTGGAGGTTTGGTGTGTTTCTGTGGAGAATAGCAAGTTGTGCTGCAATTTGTGAAGCACATTCCATCGGCACAGGATTGCTGGGGTGGGGGGGATCCACTAGACCATTTCGGAATTCACACTTAACAAAGTTTATGAAGGAAAGTTGCTGCTCATCTGTTAAATTTGTATACAATCAAATCTTGATTGTTCAAATTTAGATTGCAGTCTTGCTGATTCATATAACTAATGGTTTCAGTTTTATGGTTAGCACATTGTATAATTTTTTTAAAAAAGAAATTGCTCATATCTTTTATGGCTGTATCTTTACCAAACACAAATTTTGGTGATGAGCAATGAAAGGGTATAATTCCCTATGGTGTTCTTGCAGTGTACTGAAGTGCACTATAGCCAGGTCAGACTGGAGTTTGAACAGAAAGTACTCCTTTCTCCTCCCCCTCCCCCACCCCAACCTCTTTGGTCGGATGTCCTGTAAGGTGGAACGGCCTGTAAACATTGTGGTATTGTCCCCCTACGAGATGCTAGGTTGTATGACTCTCGCATATTACTCTCTGCCTTGTTACTGTTTTGTGTTGAGGGCATTGTCTATATTAGAAGCTGTTAGAGGAGTGTTTTTGTTTCACAAAGGTGTACTCCAGTGGAGGGGTTCCTTTTGATCTCCAAAATTGTGAATAGAAAGGAAAGATTACCCGAAGTACTTTTTAGAGCAGAATATTCCTGCTTTAATGTTTTTAAAAATTGCTTCCTCTGGAAGGACACATTTTAATTTGTGCCCAGTATCACTTGTTTGAATATTTTATCTGGTTGGCCGTCTCTAGCTGGCTTCTCCTTAGCTACATGGGAAGAAATTGGCACTGTTTATTCTCAATGTTGATCCTGGCAAAACACAGCTTTAAAAATCCTCAATTATTTCCAAATAATGCTTTCAGCTACGTCAAGTTTACGGGCGGGTCCCGCGCTTATAAGTGGTACAATGACCATTTCTCTTCTTAAGGAGCAAAAAATGTTGCAGTCTTTCCATCGGTGGTATTTATACTCAAATGATATGCCCCTCTTCCTCTCTGAACAATATTCCTTTTTAAAGTATTGCAAAAATCTCCAAATTATATTACAGCCTGTAAAATCCCCTTGTACAACTTTTACCCTTGGACCAACTTTAGTTTAGAATTGGACTTTATTGGGTTAGTGGTTGGGGGGACGGGGATTGTGGGGTGGGATAAGAAAAGAGGAAGACACAAAATTGTCCAAAATAACAAAACTAAAACTTGCCACTAAAATTGAGACCTCACCAGCCACAGGACAATGTCGCCTATGTCATTCTTGCAGGTGGCTTACTATTTACTTTTGAACAATCAGAACAAAGTTGTGTGGGGCTCATTCCATTTCACTGCACTGAATTGGTGCAGTTTTATATTAAGCTACTTGCCCTGAGGTTTTATTCGGAAAGACTTACAGATGGTGGGAATGATACAGGGGATCGAGAAATAGGGACTAAAAAGATCCAGAGTCTAAATCCGAGCACTGTTTCGTGATTACTTTCAAAACCTCTGGGATTCCAGGCAGTAAATCTCTATAGATGTGTTGTGTCATTCATTCCACGTGCTTTAAAAAAAAAAAATCTTTTCATGTTTGATTTGAGAAATGTCTTGATTTTTCATTTTCCTAATAATAATAATAATCCTTGCATTTGATATAGCGCTTTTCACGTCGGGAGGACGTCCCAAAGCGCTTCACAGAACACACTGTAAAGTGAATTGACTATATATTTGTGTGCAAACGCGGCAGCCAATTGCGCACAGCAATGTCCCACAAACAGTCGTAGATTGAAAATGACCAATTTATTATTGTTTTGTTTTTTGGAAAGTAATGCGAATCCAGTTTGTGAATTATTCACTCCTTTTTTTATTCTCCTCTTGTTGCTAGGGTACAATTCCATGATCTGCGTACAGTATGGTACGTTCCCAAAAAGTCCCTCTTCATTTGCGAGCCTGAACCGATTTATGGGGTGCAGGTTGCCCTTACTGTGGTTAGGTCAACACAAATGCATTTGCAGCAGGCAGGCATCACTGCAGGACTCTTGACTGTTTCTGTTTTGTCTCCTCTCTTGCTTGAGAGCTTTGATGAATTCTAGTGCTTTACTCCACGAGAAATGTGCAGTCCCTGATGGAACCAAAAATGTTCAACTTGATTGTAATGGTAAGGGCAGTAATCAGAACACAGTTCAAAAATATATCCTCTAACCTCCTCCTCCTCCTACACCACCTCTTTTAACCCCACCATTTCCAATCGGCAGTGAGTGTAATCAAATTCAGTCTACGTAGTTGAATTTCTTACACTCTGCTCATTAGAAAAATCAGTCGACATGCTTTAATTATTGGAACAGAGGCAGCAGCAGCAATAAAGTGAATACTTACTGGTAACTTTTGTAATGAAGATTTTTAATGTTTGCTTCAGCATCTGCAAAGGGAATAACATGGATTTCTTTTCACTGGAGAGTGTTATGGAAAAGCATCTTGCCCTGATTTCTCCCCCCCCCCCCCCCCCACTCCTTGCACAATGGAGCATTGCAAATCCTTGCTTGAATTTAATTGGGACAGGGGCTGATTCAGAGCAAAGTACCTCAATGCAACTTATATTTATTTGTATTCTTCTGAAATAAAATAATTGAGACGGTGGTCAGTCATTTTCCTTTTTGTTTGTGTGGAGTTTTTATGCTGGAAGGTTTCTTTGCTCTTTAGTTCTTTGTTCACTAGAGACAGTGGATGCAATTGTGCAGTATCACTGACTTTTATTTTTCCCCCCTCCCTCTCTTTCTATTTAATCTGAAGTCTGCTCAGAAAATCAATGCACGTTGGACAACCGAGGAGCAGTTACTTGCAGTGCAAGGTGGGCATTGTGTGGTGAGCTTTTAAATTCTCAAACAAACATTGCTATTTCCATTCTGTCCCATTTACTTTTCTATCTTTTATTGATGACTTATTCTAAAAAGTCCTTTTCCATTGGCAAACCTTAGTAGCGTTCTCTCTCTTCCATATCTTAACCACTGCTTTGTGCACCATGGCTTTTAAAGGCGGTTGTTTACTCAAATCTATTGTCTGCTGTTAACAAAGAATTTTTTTTTAGTTTAGGTCTCCTTTATCCTCCTCAGAAAAAAGTACTTTAGAAGCCTTGAAAGTTAGGTAGCAGCGTGCACGGAACATGCAATTTTTCTCTTGGAGGGAAAACAATAACTTTCCGATGTTCCTTTTATTTTTTTCCCCACATTTAAAAAGTGAGTGTCTCAATCGTTTTGGTTTAGAAAACAGTAGTAAAATAATTAGCTTTAAAAATATATCGAGGCTTTACTACGTTTCTGCAGTAGAGTGTGGCAGGCTGATGGGGGCAGAGGGTGAGCAGAGATCAAGTTGAGGAGTTACTTAATTGGGCCACATGAGGGAGCTACAGACAGTCACTGGCCTGTGGTGTGAGAGAATTTAGTTTCTCACACTCTGGTACAGTATTTCCCCTCCCCTAGTTATCTCGATGATATGAAAACAATACCAAACCTCCCCCCCCCACCCGCCTCTCCCATAAGTGGATAGAAATAAGTGTGCCAGTCAGTACATCTTAAAATACATTTAAAAAGAGGTATCAATTGTCACCCTTTTTTTAAAAAAAAGATCATTCCAAACTTGTAAAATCTATAAGGTTTACAACTGGTAAAAACTTATTTTTTTACAAAATGTATTCCCACACACACAAACAGTTCACACACTTTTTTTTAACCCCCCCCCCTTTTAGACCAGCTGTGTTCTTCTGTTCCTGCTAAATATTTATTGTTTCTTGCTCTGGGTCTGCCTCTCCCCATTGTTATGCACTTTTGAGATGTTCTTTCACAGCATTTGTGCTGCGTGAATGACAAAGTTGACAAATGTGCTTTCCCAAACGTGGCTTAACACTAAAGGTGTTATACGTGCATGTCCCAGGTGTTCGCAAATATGGGAAGGATTTCCAAGCCATCGCAGATGTGATTGGGAACAAAACTATCGTCCAAGTGAAGAACTTCTTTGTTAACTACAGACGTCGTTTCAACCTTGAGGAGGTGCTACAGGAATGGGAGGCAGAGCAAGGGACGCAAGAATCAAATGGAGTTTCCCCCACTTCAGGGAAGGAAGCAAAGCCAGCTTCAAATCCTCCATCAACCAAAAGTGTGGATGAAGAGGAGCAGGTATTGCTCCATATTTTCAATGGAATGCTTGTCGGTCAGGACACCAGGATAATTTCAAGATAGTTTTGGCATTTTAGATCTTTTAATCCCATTCCTGTTTTTTTCGTCCACAAAATACCCCCACCCCCCCACTTACATATCTCCTCTCAGTGTAACTATCTATCTCACTTGATTTTGCCACTGTGAGACCTTCTTGAACTGTGCATCCCACATTTTTACATCCCTGTGTGTGAAGATATGTTTCTGCCATTCAATTCATGGGGTGTATGTGTGTGGGTGTGTTCATGTGGCTTTCTTGTGAAATAATTTTTTTTTCTTATAGGTCCAGCCTCCACCAGCCGCTGCTCCTCCAACAGCAACTACTCCACTTACTGTCGCCGTTGCGTGTATCGCCACCTTAAATCAGCCTCCCCCACTGCTTCGACCATCACTGCCTACAGCCCCCGCTCTGCATCGACAACCACCTCCTCTCCAGCAGCAGACTCATTTCCTACAGCCCAGGCCTACTCTTAACCAGCCTCCACCCCCACTTATCCGTCCAAATAACCCAATCCCACCTCGCTTGAACTCTAGGCCGGCATTGCAACAGCCTCCATCACTGATTGGGGTGCAGCCCGAGTCACAGTCTTCCTCTTTACACTGACTTGCTTTTTTATTTAAGAAAGATGGAAGGAAAACATTTTTTTGAATATGAATCCAAACTTTTGTGTGTTGGTTTAATTACGAGGCTTGGCGTTAATATTAAAATTTAGACTGTACATTTTTTTATTTTACATTTTATTTTTTAAATACCAAACAAATTTGAAAAAAAATCAATTCCAACTTTGCTATTATGCTTTATAATTGTATACGTTTTTAACACTAGAATTGTATCTTGGGCATAAATTCTGAAAAGGTCCATCCCTCAAAGTTCTACCTTTTGATGGATGCTGCACCTGATGACAAAGACAATGAGATGGTTTAATGCCTGCCTAAAATCTTTTATTTTGTATGGTAAGAAAGTAAGATTTAGCAACTGAGCATCTGAGAGAACACCTATGCTTTTCGTCACAGTTCATGAAATCGATCGTGCCCATGACTTTTTTTAATGCACTGTAGTTTTAATTTATTGTATTTGAAAATACAGTATTCATCATGTGGAGGTATAAATCAGGAAGCATTAAGGTGGTATGGTGTACCAAAAGGGTTCTGTTTTAGTGTTTTTAATTGATTTTTGGGCGGGACATGGATGCCGTCAATTTCTGGTGTGTGAATCACAAACTTGTTCCCAAGGAAGTGCACTTATTTCAACCCAATTGCAAAGTAGTTTTTCATTGTTTAAAATACCAAAACAAATTTGAAAATCAATTCCAACTGATCTAACATTGGCATTATGCTTTATAATTGCATAAAATTGTTAACTGTGGCAGAAATATGCAGTAGTTCCTGCGTTTACTTGGTTTTAGTACCAAGAAAGTACACTTAGTTCAGCATAACTCAACTTGATCACTTTGAGAAACAGTTGAAGATCCAAATTTATGAGATTTTCCCTTTACCCCTACGTTTTTAAACTTCAGTTTGCAAAACTATCAATAGATATAATTGTAATAAGATACCATATTTGGTAATGCACAGACTTTTATAGATTTTTTNCTGAATTATGGCTTTTGTCTCATGAGGTACAGTGGTTATCCACTCTGATTTAAGTAGCAAGTCCCGTTGGCACTGAGATGAAGCATCATTTATTGAAAAAGGTACATGCATCATGTTATCAAGTTGACGACTCTATCATTAAAATAGTCTGGAATTGTGGCCGAGTGACCAGGTCTTGAAACTATTGTAATTCCTAGGCTAGAAGGCAAAGGAATTTTAGTAACACTTCACTGGACTCTTCCTTCCAGTTCTACAGGACAGAGTCTTGTTAATTTTCAGCCAAGATTATTTGTACAGTTCATAACACCAGCCAATCCAGCAGTTCCCCTTTTGTTTAGTACAAACATGTGCCTTCAGTTAACTGCAGCCACACACACAAAAAAAATGTTAACCGTGGTCTCCTAGCTGAAGGAGGACTTAACATGTAGACAGTGGCTCCAGCAGGGATTTTTTTTTATTATTTAAAAGTGGCTCACGACTGTACTGGTTTAGATTTTAATCCTCTTGATTTTCAGTGTGAGATTTTTGAAAATACTAAAATGAAATGACTGTCATTTGTTGTAGAACATAGCACAAAGAAGAACCTATAAAACCTCAAACTAATTTAGTTTTACTGTATATATTGACAAATGTCATTTCAGTTCTGCTTTATTTTTTCAGTTTATAGGATGTGTACAACTAACTGTGCATGTACTGTAAAAGCTGTCCTATTTATCTGTTTAGTCAGCACATTTGCATGTACTTCAAGCAGCAATTTATGTAAAAACTCATTGTCTTGCTGCAGCATTAAACATTTTATCTGAAAAATGTGCTTTTATTTTTCTTCTCTCCCTCCCCCATTTTATCACTTTTTTTTACAACTTTTTTTTTACATTTAGCATTTGCTAAAAAAAATTACCCTGAGGCTTTCGTATATCTATTATTCAGCAGTAGTGGGGAATTCTAATCTGTAGCATTGCTTAAAACGTGCAACTCCAATTTTTTTTTAAAAAGAGAAACTTCCAGCAAATTAGGAAAAATGCAGAAGTTTTCCTTCCTCGGAGTAATGGGAATTTGTCACCCTTAACTTTTTTGGGGGGGAACTAAATCTTTGAATCATTCTAGTTGTGTTTGAGGCTTGTTAAATTGCCCTTAAAATCATTTAGTGCTGCATAAATTAACTCTTTTCTGTATGATTAAGAAATGGATTACTGGTTTGGCTGATCTCGGGAGTCCTGTATCTCAGTGGTTAGAGCACTCACCTCACAAGCAAGAGACCTGGGTTCGATTTCCGGCAGGGCGGAACCTTGGGCAAGTTTCATGACTCCACACGCTTGATAATAATCTCAAGAAAAAGAAACAATAATAATTTGGTCACTTCAATCCACAACTGTTTGTGGGACACTGCTATGAGCAATTGACAGCCGTGTTTCACCCACAATTATACAGTCAATTCACTTTACAGTGTATTCTGTGAAGCGCTGTGAGACGTCTAGAAGTCGTGAAAAGCACTATATCAAATTCAAAGATTATTATTTTCTCAGTTCAGTTAGGGCAGAGGTTTGTAATGCATCGACATGGGTCTCCCAGGATTAGAGGGGATGGTGAGTGGTGTATCCTTCTCGCCGGTATCAACAGACTGTTAGAGACCGCTGCTAAAAGTGATGAATGTTTGCATGAGATCAGGATCAGTTTTGACTCCCAGAGGTTCCAATCGTGTACCAAAAAAAAACAATTACTGTAATAACTTAAAATAACTCAGCCAATGTGCAAGTCTCTCAAATGTGGAAGTCACAACGTGTTCATATATTTATCCTGCAACATTTCCTGCAGTGCTCCAGTCTCTGGTGCTCCAGTCTCTGGAGCAATTAGCAACTCTGCAATATTCTTTGAAAAAAAAGGCACTGACTTAAGCTCAGCCTTGGGATGACACCATGCTATCTTTGCACAGGATGTTAAACTGAGGTTCCATCTGCCTGCTCAGGTAGGTGGAGATTAAAGATCCTATGACTGTTTAAAAAGGGAGTTTCTCCCAATGCCCAATAATCCTCCTCGTTAACAATTTCATTCACTTGGCAGTAAATGCCAATGAAGCATTTGGACATGAGACAATTTTTTTTTAAAAAAGCAGGTTTATCTATAAACTTAAAGTGGGTGAAGGAATCTACCTCCTGTTGTGAATTCTGCAGTAGTGTAAATTACCCCTCCCCCCAAAATATAGTCTGGTGTATAAACAGAACTTGTCATGGTTTGTTGAGAATTCCCATAAAAATACAATAACCACAGCCCCTTAAACCCCCAAAATGCACGATGACATCAGGCTAAAGTCAATAAATTTGCCCACAAATATACAGTCAATTCACATTACAGTATATTCTGTGAAGCGCTTTTAAGATGTCTAAAAGATGTGAGAAAATGCTTTATCAAATGCAATGATTATTATTGTTTTATTATTAAATATCACTTGCAATCAAGCGCAGTTATAACTACTCTTGGTCTGAACTAAAAGGTCCTTCTCAAAAGTATATCCATCCTTTCTAAAAGATAGAGGGATTAAGGGATATGGGGATAGGGCGGGTAAATGGAATCAGGTTAGAAGATCAGCCGTGATCTTATTAAATGGCGGGGCAGACTCGAGGGGCCGAATGGCTTACTCCTGGTCCTACATCTTATGGTCCTATGGTCAACACGGATCTTTACTATATAACTTACACTCAGCAGTACGCCCAAGTCATGCTCTGGGGTCCCCAAGTCTTGGCTCATGCCAACCTGTGCCTAATACCTGGTGACAAAGGCGTGAACCCTGGTCCACGCCTTTGTCACCTCAAGGCTGGACTATGGGAACTCTCTCCTCGCCGGCCTTCCCGCCACCTCCCTCCACAAGCTGCAGGTCATTCAGAACTCTGCAGCTCGTGTACTGTCCCGCACCAGGCTTCGGGACCACATCACTCCCACCCTCGCTCGCCTCCACTGGCTCCCCATCCCCCAGAGGATCGAATTCAAGATCCTCATCCTCACCTACAAGGCCATTCATGGCCTCGCTCCCTCCTACCTCTCCGACCTACTATCCCCTACCTACCTGCCCGTACCCTCCGTTCCTCTGGCTCTGGTCTGCTCCACATCCCCCGCCCCAACCGCCCTACCATCGGTGGTCGGGCCTTCAGCCTCTCAGCCCCCAGGCTCTGGAACTCCATCCCCCAGTGCCTTCGCCGCCTCCTCCCTTTCCTCCTTCAAGGCCGGTCTCAAGACCTTTCTCTTTGACCGTGCCTTCAGCTCCCCTCTCGACTCTCTACCCCCTCCTCGCTCCCTCCCTTCCCTCCCTCACCCTGACCATTTCCCCCCTCCTCGCTCCCTCCCTTCCCTCCCCTCACCCTGACCATTTCCCCCCTCCTCGCTCCCTCCCTTCCCTCCCCTCACCCTGACCATTTCCCCCCTCCTCGCTCCCTCCCTTCCCTTCCCTCACCCTGACCATTTCCCCCCTATGCTCGGGTCATGACCCAACTGTACAGTGCCTTGGGACGTCCTCCCGACGTGAAAGGCGCTCTATAAATGCAATCTTGTTGTTGTTGTAATACTTCCTGGAATTAGGGGAGAGTGCACATTCCATTCCAACAATGTTTGTGTGGGGTTTCCCTGTGGGGGATGTTTGGGAATCTGTTTGGGTTGGAATACTGTCAGTTTGGTGCTGGGTTTCCTGTGTCAGACCCCCCCCCCCCCACACCCCCCCCCACACACCCACCCCCACACCCCCTTCAAAAATCCTTACACTGACTGCCCTTCGGAAGGGGTTACAGCGCCTGTAGTGGGTGATGTACGGCGGGTTGTCTGGTGCTCACCGCTCGGCTGCTGTGTGTGTGGGGGGGTGTGTGTGGGGGGGGGGGGGTGTGTGTGGGGGGGGTGTCGCGGGCCAGGCGGGCCAGGCGGGCCGGAGCGGTGGGCATCGCCGGCGCACATACACTGTACAGCAAAGCCCTCGCCCGGGCCGGGCCGAGCCGGGCCGAGCCGGGACAGGACAGGACAGGACAGGTAAGAGCATTAACACCTCCTCTCCCCCTCCGCCTCTTCTCCCGGTCTGTGGCTGAGTCCCACAGCGGCTCGTGGGACCCACTGCCCTCCGGACACTGACACTGACACTGGGAGAGGGAGAGGGAGAGGGAGTACCGCCGCAGCCGCGGAGAGCAGCGCAATGGCGATCCCCGGGACCGCCGACCAGCGGTTCCCCTTTCGTTACAACATCGGTCCGACTGCAGCGCTGCACTGGGGATCGGATTTCTCTGTTAAAATGGCGCATCGCTGAGGTGACTCGTACCGGAGGGACCGCAGCAGTTTCGGCCTTTATTTGCCATTGGAAACGCCGCGTGAGATCACTGATCAACAGCGGTGATTGTGGCACTAACTCTGAGCACCGCCGACCATCAGCTGCGGCTCCCGGTGCCGCCCCGTGAGGCTGAGATACAGCCCCGGAGGGAAATAATAACCCTCAATAATAATAATAATAATCCTTAATAATAATAATAATAATCCTTAATAATAATAATCCTTAATAATAATAATAATCCTTAATAATAATAATAATAACCCTTAATAATAATAATAATAATCCTTAATAATAATAATAATAATCCTTAATAATAATAATCCTTAATAATAATAATAATCCTTAATAATAATAACCCTTAATAATAATAATAATCCTTAATAATAATAATAATAATCCTTAATAATAATAATAATCCTTAATAATAATAATAATCCTTAATAATAATAATAATAATAATAATAATAATAATCCTTAATAATAATAATAATAATCCTTAATAATAATAATAATAATCCTTAATAATAATAATAATAATCCTTAATAAGAATAATAATAATCCTTAATAATAATAATAATCCATAATAATAATCCATAATAATAATAATAATAATCCTTAATAATAATAATAATCCTTAATAATAATAATAATCCTTAATAATAATAATAATCCTTAATAATAATAATAATAATCCTTAATAATAATAATAGTAATCCTTAATAATAATAATAATCCTTAATAATAATAATAATAATCCTTAATAATAATAATAATAATCCTTAATAATAATAATAGTAATCCTTAATAATAATAATAATAATCCTTAATAATAATAATAATACTTAATAATAATAATAGTAATCCTTAATAATAATAATCCTCGCATTTGATATAGCGCTTTTCACGTCGGGAGGACGTCCCAAAGCGCTTCACAGAACACACTGTAAAGTGAATTGACTGTATATTTGTGGGCGAACGCGGCGGCCGATTGCGCACAGCAATGTCCCACAAACAGTCGTGGATTGAAAATGACCAATTTATTATTGTTGGTCAGAGGGAAAGCTGCCCTGACCGGACTTGCAGTCTTTTTATATAAAAAAAAACAATAAAAGTAATTGCAGAAGGACAAGTTAGAAAATACCTTAACTTCATAAATATTCCGAACCTCCCGCAGTTACCGAGCAATTCAATGCAATGTACACGGTAGTGGTTTCTTTTTTTAAAAAAAACCCATTAGATTGACCGCTCTGCTCCTACTCCACTCACCAATTATAATTTGGCAACGCTTATTTTTGTTCTGTTTTTCGCTTTTAACCGTTCTCTGTTTGGGGTTCAACTTAATTTTTACTCTTTCAATCAACGTTAAAATGTTTCTTTTAAAAATTGGGTGGGGGGCAGAGAGTTGTGAAGAAAGGCTAAGTGCGGGACAGAGGGAGGGGTATATGGTTCTTGCTGCTGACTCTATCCATTTGAGGATAACAAGTGACTGCAAGATCAAACTTGGCTGTGATGACCCTTGGAGCAAACCACAATAATTTTGATTTGGGGTTTAATAATAATAATAATAATAATCCTTGCATTTGATATAGCGCTTTTCACGTCGGGAGGACGTCCCAAAGCGCTTCACAGAACACACTGTAAAGTATATTTGTGGGCGACTGTATATTTGTGGGCGAATGCGGCAGCCAATTGCGCACAGCAGATTTTGAGGAGAATATATGAATATATCTAAGTGTGTCAGCCCATCTCATTTGGTAGCTCTCTCACCTCGGAGTCAAAAGGTTGTGCATTCATGCACCACATCAGGACCTTGAACTCATTTAATCAAAGGCAAGGTAACACTCCCAATGCAGTGATGGAGGAGCAGTTCCTCGGATGAGAGTTCAACCGAGGTTCCATCTGTGTGTTCATATGAACGTCAGAGATCCCATGGGACTATTCGAAAAGAGAAGGGAGTTTCTCCCATTGTCCTGACCAACAGTCCCCCCAAATAAAATGAATAACTCACTTGATGGTTGTTTGTACAACATTGATTTGCATAAATTACTGCTGCCCACAAAATGTATGCATTACAATAAATAAATAAAGCTTTATAATAATTCCTGTTAAACATTTCGAAGCATCCTCCCAACCTGACAGCTGGGATATCAAATGCAAAAATTACTATACTAGCTCTCAGACAACACACAGTGTGGAGAACTGCAAACATTTACAAGCAGCTATTAATAGATTAGATAATTGGGCAGAAGTATGGCAAATGCAAGTCAATATATCCAAATTTGAAGTAATGTATTTTAGCTGTAAAAATAGGGGTTAGAAATATAACAAAGGACTGATATAAAGCACTTGATTATCATGCAAGGTTGCAGATCCTGAAAATCTAAAATGAACGTATCAGCTGACTTGGAGAAGCTAAAATGGCCAACACTTCCTGTGTGTACATGCTACAGAAGGCAGCAGCTTTAACTTTGTGCACTGGCTGGTGTTTTGTTTTTCTGCACATGTGCACAGTGACAACCGCTGGATGTCAATCTCGCTCCCACTGGGTGAGATTTTACGGATCCCTGACTACCACCTTATAACCAGGCGCCATTATATAAGTAACAGGCGCAGTTCCTCACTGCATTCACATAAAAGCAAAGGCAAAACACTGCGGCAGGCCAAATCTCTGTACAACAACAACAAAATTGCATTTGTAAAGTGCCTTTCATGTCGGGAGGACGTCCCAAGGCGCTGGTCAATCAGTGTTTCCGACCTGAACTGGGGGTCGGGATCGGGGAGAGTGGAGGCCAGGTGGGGAGGAAGGAGGGTGATCACTGGCATGGTCAAAGAGCAGGTTCTTGAGTTAGGTCTTCAAGGAGGCAAGGGAGGGGGGCGAGACAGAGGGACTGCAGGATGGAGTTCCAGAGGGTGGGGGTAGCATGGCTGAAGGCCCACCCGCCAATGGTGGTGTGAGCGAGGCAGGGGACGTGACGTAGCTGGAGCCTGCTGACCGTAGGGAGCGAGCAGGTTGGTAGGGGGTTAGGAGGGCGCAGAGATAGGGGGGAGCAAGACCATGGAGAGCTTTGAAGGTGAGGATCAGAATCTTGAACTGTATCCTCTGTAATGGGAAGCCAGTGGAGTCGGGCGAGGATGGGGGTGATTGGGTCACGGAGCCTGATCCAGGAGAGGACAGGGGCTGCAGAGTTCTGGATGATCTGCAGCCTACGGAGGGAGGAGTTGGGGAGGCCACACAGCAGGGAGTTTGCATAGTTGAGCTGGATGTTATGAATGTGTGTATGAGGGTCTCGGCGGCCTGCGGTGTGAAACAGTGGCGGAACCAGGCAATGTTGTGGAGGTGGGGGAGGCAGAACGGGCCGTGGCACGGATGTGGGGTACAAAGAATAGTTGGGGATCAAACAAGACCCCAAGGTTCCAGACTGGCTCAGTGAGGTGGAGTGTGCATCCGTGGATGGTGATGCCGTCAGCGCCTGAGGTTTGGAGGCGTTGACTGGAGCCAATCAGGAGAGCCTCGGTCTTGTTGATGTACAACTGTAGAAGGTTAGCTCTCATACAACCTTCTTGCCCAGGCCACACCATAAAATGTAACGTATGTACATTATAGGAATGAGAAGCCATCTTTAACCCACAAGAGAATGAGGCTGAACAATCACTAGCGACACATTAATATTTAGCCCAAGACTTTTTATGCTCTGTTATCTTATTCCGTCTTGGGAACCACAAATTTACTGCAAATAATTAAGAAATGAATACAGCTTGTGCCTTTCACCCCCTTCCCTTCCAATCCATTTAAAATTGTCATAGATGAATAGAAAGATTACAGCACAGAAGGCCAGTCAGCCCATTCTGTATATGTTGGTGCTAGCTTACCCATCTGGCAATATCCACTGTAGTCTTATCCCTCTGCCCTTCCCTTTTTACAGCAGTCCTTCTTACTTATCTTTGATTATTTCTCCAATGGACTCTGTCTCACCAGCCATTTGTAGTACATATATTCTAACCTGATGGTAGCAATAACGACTGTTAAAGTCTGGAGTGACTTATTCTCCTCTTCTTCCTTCCACGCTAGCACACCATGAAAAGGTTCCTGATCCTTGTATACTATGCACACGCACAGTAGTCAATCCCCAACCATACTCAATATTGACCAAGTCTCGGGACCTCAAAATTGGATCTCTATCAAAACGTATGTTAATAATCCTTGCATTTGATATAGCGCCTTATCACGTCATTGTGATGTCTCAAAATGCTTCACAGAATAGACTGTAAAGTGAATTGACTATATTTTATGGGAGAAAGTAAACTCAATGAATGTTTCTGAACACGCCTGCAAGTAACGTACAATCTTGACTGTATCACGACCCAAGGTTGAATGTAAACATGAACCAATTCAGTAATATTTTTTGAAAGAGAAACCTGATTTTAATACCTCAACACTTGGGGTGGGGGAAGGGGAGGAAGCAGACAGAACAAAAGGCTAAAATTAAACTACTAACCCCACCCAGTCTGTGCAAGTCTTACTGATGGTTGGTGTCAATCCTAAATCAACTCAATAATATTTTAGACACAAGCTCATATGTAACTTGTCATTATGCCAGAAGGAAGACTAAAATTACCCTCCCCTCACCCCCGTGCTACTGTGACCTGCCTGTGCTACTTTTGCTGGTGGTGGATCCTGACCTTTCTGCAGTGTTGTTTGCTTTGCACACAGTGTGAGTTTGCTGTTGTGCTGGGAATGATGTGTGAGGCGAGGCGAGAGGGGGGAGGATGTGGTCTCTGATGCACTGTAAGTGCTGCTACCACTGCTGTTTGAATGTGGTGCGGAAAACGGGGGTTTCCACACAAACACACCAGCTCTGGGAGGTAGATTCCCAAGCACACACTGCAGCCCACTTCATCATTTCAGATGACCTCCTCTCCATGAAACTTGGCACGATTTATATGGTATGTTTTTTATATATATACGTATATACTGTATTACAAAGGGCGAGCGAGACAGCAAGCATAAGCGATGTATTGTTAAATGGAAAGTAAGTACATTGTCCCGTATCAACTGTTATATCGTCTCAGACACACCACACCCATCATCAGACAACTCGCTTCTCTCTCACTCCTGTTTATTGGGAAGTTCATAAAGAACAAATCTTTAGAATGATTTATGCTTTACTGTTTTGCATGGGGTGGGGGGGAATAATTGATTCTATTTGTAATGTTATTTTTGTTGATTCTATTTGCTGTGTGTCGTTTTGTAACAGAGCACAGACTTTAATGGAAAATAATTGGCAAACAAACCAGCAAGATAGTTCCCTTTCTGGTGGGTGGGGGGAGGGGGAGTGTGACTAAAAATATCATTGCATCCCACTCTGTATGATTTTTCGAGCAAAAATGTGATGTGCTTGTGAATTGGTCACTCACTCCACGGCTGTTTGTGGGACATTCACTGCTTGTGCGCAAACTGGCTAACTGTATTTGGCTACAAAATACAGTAAATGCTGCAAAAGGCTTTGAGACATTTTGACAATGTGGTAAAGCACGATATCAAATGCAAGGGTTATTATTGTTAACATCAGTTTAGATCAAGTGGAGGCTGTGTACCCTTCTCTCCACACAGTTAAGTAACTTGTTGACACACACTGCTTGTGGCAGAAGGGAAAGAGAAGTCAAAAGCTTGTGGGGGATGGGGGCGGGCAAAGATTTATTTAAAATAAGAAAATCTGTTAATTTCAATGGGTTGACACGCTTTTTAATCATATGACCTTGGCAATACTATTTCTACAATAATACAGTAGGTGCATATAATAGACACTTGGTGGAACGGATGAGATGCATCCTGGTGTGCTCAAAGAAAAGAGAGTAGACAGGTAATGCTTCAATTAGTGTTAGGGGCTCCTTAAATACAAGGTCTGTACCTTGGAGAATAATAATAATCCTTGCATGTGATATAGCGCCTTATTACTTCTTCCAGACGTCTCAAAGCGCTTCACAGAATATACTGTAAAGTGAATTTACTGTATATTTTGTGGCTGAAACCCGGCAGCCAAATGCACACAGCAGTGTCCCACAAACAGTCGTGGATTGAGTGGCCAAATTCAATTTTTTTTTATTATCTCTAATGCTCAAATAAAGAATGAGATGGGAATGCAGGAATTATAGATCACAATAGGCTTCTGAGCATTGTACTATTCAGCGTTTGTTTAAAGAACACAAAGTCAATTGGCATTGTTGTAAAAGCAGGCGGTAATATAATAATAATAATAAATAATAATAATTCTTGAATTTGATATAGCGCTTTTCACGTCTTATCGACGTCTCAAAGCGCTTCACAGAATAGACTGTAAAGTGAATTAACCGTATATTCGTGGGCGAAATGCGGCAGCCAATTGCGCAATGTCCCATAAACAGTCATGGATTGAAAATGACCAATTTATTATTGTTTTTTTTTGGAGGGATTATTATTAGGCGTGTGGAGTAAGGAAACTTGCCCAAGGTTTCGCCCTGCCTGCAATACAACGCAGCTCACCATTTCAGGTAATCCCTTGCATGGAATAGAACCACAGGACCGATTGAGAAGATAAGACAGAGGTTTAGAGCTTCAGAGCACTGTAAATGTGAGTCAAGGAGCTCTTTTCTCCTGATCTGATTTAGTTTTGAGTGTGTGTACTGTTGATCAGAAGCAATCAAAAGAGCACAAGAGAGGTTCACATCAAGAAAGCCCTTTGGTCCATTTGATCTTATCCTTCCATAATATAATCCCTGTCAATTTGCCATCACTGCAACTAACAGCTTCTTAAATAAGTCTAGGGTCCTGGCCTCAAACAACCCTTCCTGGTAACTCGTTCCAGCACTGCAACGGAGTTCTGTGTGTGATGAATATGTGCCTGTGAATCAGTATCTGATGATTTAATGCAATGTGAAGTTTCCAAAAAAAATTGGTAAAATTCCACATGCAAGATGTGTTAGGAAGATTAAGGCCTGTAGAGCTAAAGGCAAGTGAACTATATTATAAACTGTCATGACGATACAAAGAAGAAGGTTATGAAAAATTAACAAATCTATATCTGGCAGCATTGATAAGTGGAGTTCCGTTTGGGTGTGGTCTAGATTATGCTATTCATAAACTATTTGGTCCAGGGAGTTTTCAGCAATTTAAAAAATTAATGTTGACACCAATCTGTGTGGCCCACTGACAAGCATAGGATCAAGGAGATTAATAGCATTCATTTGGGCTGCGGAATGATGGGTGGATTTATATATAAGGTAGGGCACATTGAACCAAGAAACATTGAATGGTGTCAATTAACAAAGGTGCTGAAGGAAATAATTGCTGTGAAATTATTCACAGTAATTTTGAATTTGATGGATTGAAATGATTATTTACGCAGAAGACTTTTTCTGCCATGTAGTATCTTGTGGGGAGCTTTCTGACCAAGTGATTGTGATAATAATAATTCTTGCATTTGATATAGGAATGCTCTCACGTCGGGAGTACTTTTAGCGATTCACAGGATATACTGTAAAGTATAGTGACTATCTATTTGTGAGCACAGCAGTCAATTTATACATAGTAATATCCCACAAGCAGACCATGAAGTGAATGATCAATTTTATTCGGTGGATTGCTGGCCAGGATACTGGAAGAAACTCTTTTCGAGTAATGCAATGGGATCTTTAACATCCACCGAAACAAGCAGACATGACCTTGGTCATCTGCCACCTCCAAAAATATAGCAGCCCCCCCTCCCCCCAGCACTGCATTGGAGTGTCAGCAAGGACTATAAGAATTCCAAGTCCCAACATGGGGCTTGAACCCACAACCTTTTGATTGAGCGAGTGCTACCAATTGAGCTAGACTGACACTTGAACTTGGAATAGACAAAATGTAAGTGCACTGCTTCAGACAGCACCTAGAAACAGAATCAATTTGATTGTGTAAAGGGGAGATCCATAGATGCTTGGATATTAAGGCGTATGGAAAAAAAATGAGGAAGTGGGATTAGAGGTGTGCCCTGATGTAATAAACTGGAGCAGTTATGCATTACAGTGACACCTTGGGATGTCCTCCTAATGTGAAAGGTGCTTTATAAATGTAATTTTGTTGTTGTTGTTGTACAGTACTATGTTTTTTTTCAATCTATAGATTGGTAATGATGGCCTCCAATGAAGAACCCAGAGTTGGAACATGCGTCTTTGCTCGCCAAGATAGTTCCAGCACTTCACTCTCTTTAGGTTTTGACCCTTATCAAGTTGGTTTAAAACTCCACTTTGTTGAACCATTGGAAGATAGGTACAAGTGTGTAACTTGTTCATTCGTTCTTTGCAATCCATTCCAGACTGGGTGTGGGCACAGATTCTGTGAAAATTGCATCAAGGAATTCATGTAAGAAGGAACTTTTATTCTCTGCTTTAAAGTTTGTTAAACTTAAATTTATATGTTTTGATGATAATTATAATAATTCTTTCACTTGATATAGTGCCTCATCACATTGTCGAGACATCTTATAGTGATTCACAGGATATACTGTAAAATGGATTTTCTGTGTATTTTGTGAGCGAAATGCGACAGCCAGTTGCAGTCAATTGCACACAGTAGTATCACACAGCAGTGTCTCACAGACAGTCGTCAAATGAGTGACCAATCATATTTGGGGGATTTGCTGAACTTCTTATACGTTAGCAAAGCTCTTCATCCACCAAAGGAGACAATTTAACACAATTAAACTGTATTCGTGATTACATTTCTTTCAGTAAAACATTGTAAAAATATGAATGATTACTTTTTCCACGTACTGATATTATTTTGACTGATAATCAGGATACCTCAATAGCTTCAGTCCCCTGGTTTAGAGGTGCGTCATCAGTACTTCAAACATTGAGATTGGACAGATGACAATCATTGGAGAATAGGGTTCTTCTGGTCCTAAACATTTTCTATGTAGAAAACTCTTCTAACTCAGAGTTAGAAGACCGCCACCACTTTGTTTTTCTTTTTAAGAAGAGCATTACCTACGCTTAGCAATTACTGCATATCAAAGCATCTCTAATCTATAGCTCAGCACAGTGTAGGTACTGAACCTGGCACTTTGTTGCCCATTGTTGCTTCGGTGACTTTTTCCATCAAACTGCAAATCAACAACAACTTGCATTTATATAGCGCCCTTCACACAGGGCAGTGTTCTGCAGTGCTTTCATTAAAAAATACAACTAAATCACAAACAAAACATCAAAACATTGAAAACCATCTGGTATCCCAGTTAGGATGGCAAAGCTACTTTTTCTTATTTGAGTTTATATACAGAGCATTGAACCAGACTGGAAGAATCCGAAGTTCACTTTGAGTTTTGATGTGCAAAATGTGGAAATTCAATTCCACCTTACATTCAAGGCTGTTTTAAGAACTGCAGAGAAATGGCTTCCAAATTACGACTGAAATTGAATACTTTTTTGTGCAGTCCCTTATTGGTCTTTTACTGTTACAATATTGTATTGCTTTTTTTTAATTTTAGGAGAAAATGTTCTTGCAGGCAAAGAGCAGGAGCAATTTTGTACTGTTAATTTCCCACCACTTCGAAACTCTCCAAATATATTGTCAAAATTCAGAGACAAACGTAAAACCTCAATGGAGATTTAGGATAGAGGCTTTCATGCGGTAGGACATCTCAGAGTGCCTCACAGGATTTACTGTGAAATATAACGTGATTGTATTTTGTAGGCGACAAACAGCCTCAATATGCTTTTTAAATGATCCCAATGCCATACCTCAACCACTATAACCTGTTCCAGTCGTTAGTTACCTTCTGTTATTGAGCACTGGATTCTTAATTACTCAGGATTACATCTTTCACAGTAGTGTAGTTACATACTAACCATACTGCCTGTTACTAATATAATTCAACATGTTTTCTTCTCTAACCTAGAGATATCAAATCCATTGCCATTTGTCCTATTGATCATGAGAGGATTATTCCAAGTGGGGTAAGCGATTGATTCTATTTTAAAATTTAAACACAACAATGAAAAACACTTCCATATTTGGATAAGAATCTAAATGACAGGGTGAATGAATGGCCTTTGCTCATTTTGTGTAGCATGTGTATAGAGGGAATTCCAGGTGCCCTTAGTTATGAAATTGAAAAACAATGAAAAGGATTTATTCAGTATGCAATTGTCAAGCAAAGGTCTGTGTTTGCTCTTGTCCCTGGTTCTTCCCGTGACCAACAACAAACAACAAATTACATTTGTATAGCGCCTTTCACATCAGAAGGACATCCCAAAGCCCTGGACAGTCAGGGAGATCTGCACCTGAGCTGGTGTTTGGGATCAGGAGGGGTGGAGGGAGGGTAGGGATAGGAGGGTGACCAAAGGCATGGTCGAAGAAGGAGGTCTTGAAACAGGTCTTGAAGGAGACAAGGGAGGGGCCAAGACGGAGGGACTGTGTCAGACTGACCACCCACAGAGCTCAGGATTTATATACTTTATTTTTAAAAATTAAGATTTTGGAAGAAAATCACCTTTATCACTAGTCAGCTTCATTAATCTAAGTTTACCATGCCATCTGTTTAAAACCTATCTTTTTGTTGTTTTGTTGTTGTTGTTATCTCTGAAATGTAGACCATCTTTTGAAAGGTGAAAATATAATCCAGAGTTTAGCTATACCTTTATTTTCTCCAGATACTGGTTCTGAAAGTTTGAATGATACTGATTCAGGAGAATAATATTTGACAAATTCATGCTTATATCATTTGTTTTTAAATAAAAGGTGTTTAAAGATGCTTGTTGCAAGAGGGAAGTGTGGAATTTGATGTTGTACTGTAAATATGCACCAGACTGCAACGTAAAAGTGTCACTGGGACGCCTAGGGGTAAGTGCTAAAGAGAAACTTTTATATTTTTTATATAGGTTGCTACAAACTTCTATAGATGTTCTTACTGTTTCACACATAAAACTGTAATTTAAAATATTGGATAACACATTATGAAAGTCGTATCACGGACCATCTAACTTAAATACAGTACAATACAAATTTACAAATGTATAAATCTGTGTGAATGTTCAAGAGGTTTTGGGTGCTACCCAATGGCTGAGTACATTTTATCTAGTGAGCAGCCTGGAAGTGCATATACATGAGAGGTTTGTGTTGAATCCTCGTGTGTGTTGAGATCCCTGATCTCAACGAGAGAGGCATCAGTGTTGCTACAGATGGCTTCAGTGCCTTTGGTGTATGACAGGAAATTCAGCCAGGCTTCTTCCCTTTCTGGTTATTAACCAGTGACCCATGTTGATGGATGCTGGATATGGGAGAGGAAGAATTAGGCTGCAATAAAATGCATTGTTGCTGCAGAATAGTTTCTCTGAATATATGCCTCATTGTGTGCCCTTGAGAATAGAGGAAGCTTTAGTCTGCATCTTTGACCAATAAAATTGGTCAGTCACTTCATGCCTATTTATGGGATATTGCTACAACAAGTGACATTTGTATGGTCCCTTTCATGTTGGGAGGACGCACAATTGGGTGCCACACTCACCCACAAAATACACTCAGTCATACGTTTTACAGTATAATCTGTGAAGCATTTTGGGTTCTCAACAACATGATAAAACGCAACAATTATAATTATATATTATTATCTTCCCCCATCTTTTGAGTTATATATGTTGAGACTGAGTGACAAAAGGGGGAACATGTTCCATTTCCCTCCCCCAGCATTGGTATCTCTCATCTCATCTTGCTGAATAAAACATTATCATCACAGCATTAGATTACAACTTTTTCTTTTGCTTATTGTTTCAGGATCACCTTAAGAAGTGCCTGTTTGAATCTGTGCCGTGTTCCAACGGTTGTGGCCTTGTATTCCGACGAAAAGATTTAACAGACCACGTAACAACAGCCTGCGAGTACCGAGAAGAAGTGTGTCGGTACTGCAAAGTAACTCTATTATTTAAACATTTTAAGGTAAAACTACTTTTTAAAAGTGAATATTTTATTATTATTTTAGCTATTTTGTGCGAGGTAACAGTGGAACGTATGAACAGGGCACAGGAGTCTTAAGTTCACGACGGCATTTAACAGGGAATTGGATAAATAAATAATGAAAAATATTGAAGAATATTGGGGAAAGAGTGGAAGAATGGGATTAGAGTAAATAGCTCCAGTGGGAATCTAGCACAAGGGTAGACACAAAAGCTCAATGGTCTTTTATAACAGATTTTACCAATCTAGCTATGTGAATGGAAGGGGAAAGGTAGTGAAGTCAGGCTGTGTTGGAGGACAGAACAAAAATATTCCGGTTGTTTTTATGTATGTATTGCCCCATTTTTAAAAATAATCTCTTTGGAACATCCTTCCTATGTAAAGTGGTTTGCGAAATATAATTGATTTAAAATGTAGTGAATGTTGCATAGGCAAACACTGCAGGTAATGTGCTATAAGCAATAATTAGATGCTATTTGAAATTTATCAGTACATTTGGAGGGGAATGTAAACCAGATTAACTGGGAGAAAGACTCAAAGTTTCTTTGAAATGGAAAAAGTATCTTTATGTGCACCTGCATCACTAGGCAGAAGGAACTCAAAATTAACACAGCCAAAGAAAGGAACAATGATGTAGAAATAATTGATGTTGTAAAAATAATTCACTGAATGTTCAATAGTTTTGCTTTTGTAAAGGAACATGAAGAGGATTCTTGTCCAAAATATCCCGTTCAATGTCTGTATAATTGTGGGGAAAGTGTTTCGAGAAATGAGGTGAGCGGAACTTTTCTCATAGTCTTAATTTGTCGGTGATCAATAATAATATTTTTCAACTAATAATAATAATCCTTGCATTTGATACAGCGGCTTATCACGTCGTTGAGACGTCTCAAAGCGCTTCACGGGATATATTGTAAGGTGTAGAGACAGTATTTTGTGGGCAGAACGTGGCAGCCAATTGCACTCAGCAATGTCCCACAAACAGTCATGGATTGATTCACCAACATTTTTAATTTATTTAGGTTTGTTTTGTTTTGAAGGGATTATTACCCCAGAAAAACAATTGGGTTCCTAATTACTGCTGGGTAAACAGAGGCGTGTGGAGTAAGGAAACTTGCTTAAGGTTTTGCCCTGCCCGGGAATCAAACCTGGGTCCTCTCGCTTGCTATATGATTCCATAAATGAAGAAAAATTCAATAAAGATAAATGTAATTGGTTGGTCGACCATTAAAGTTAGATACCACTGGAGTCCTGTAGCTCAGTGGTTAGAGCACTCGCTTTGCAAGCGAGAGACCTGAGTTCAATTCCAGGCAGAGGGCGAAACCTTGGGCAAGTTTCCTTACTCCACACGCCTAACTTTAATCCCTCCAAAACCAAAAACAATAAGAAATTGGTCATTTTCAATCTACGACTGTTTATGGGACATTGCTGTGCGCAATTGGCTGCCGCGTTCGCCCACAAATATACAGTCAATTCACTTTACAGTGTGTTCTGTGAAGCGCTTTGGGACGTCCTCCCGACGTGAAAAGCGCTATATCAAATGCAAGGATTATTATTATTATTATTATTATTTAGCCTCTGCATATGGTATGGTACAGGACAGACATCCTCACAATCACTTCTAAAAGATTATTTCACATTTATCTGAAATATCCTAACAAAACATTCAATGTTTTACTTAACAAATCTGTAATGGAAGATTTTTTTAAAAATTCGAATCTGCCAGAGTAATATCCATTTATTATTAATGTTATTAATGGCTGGTGGACACCAGATTGTGCAGTGGGGCACTCCTGGAGTGTGAAACCAAAAAGCTAAACCTGCAAAGCTTGCTATTGAGAGCACTGTCAGGCAAGTTTTCCTGCTGCTTGTCCAGCTAGAACCAGCCTACCTATAAGGGTTAATGCATAGAATGATGGGTGTGATTGCTTTTAATCCCTCTACCCTAACCCCCTGCCCCGGTATATACACCCTCACACAAACATGGACACACTTTCTGCAAGGACGGAATAGCAACAAGGGACAAACATTGCTTTTGCAAAATGGAAGAACGAGATTTCAGTGTGACGATAAAAAGCCCCAGTATTGTAACTACTGGATAGTTTCAACAACAACAACAACTTGGATTTATATAGCGCCCTCCACACTGGATGGCGTCTCAGAGAGCTTTGGGCACAGTTACATGGGCACAGATATCATTATTCCGAAAGCTTATGTGGGAGGGGGAAAATGTACTTCTTGGGAGCAGTGTTAAATAATAATGAAGTATGAATTGAACATTAAGCTTCCATGCTTTTAATAGCCACACAGAAAAAGTCTAATGTCTGAAGTTTGAGAACATTGACTGGCGTTGATGCTCACATGACAGCTATCGTGGAGAAGTCTTGAATCATTTCCTGTAGTAGATACAAAGTTTGTTACCACAATTTTTCCGCGCATTTCGCTTAAGCTCTGTACACCAGTTTTTAGCCTCTGAATGATACAAGCTGCAAAGGTTAAATAAAAGCACTTGCTTTTGATAACCCTGATCAGTCCACAGCATAATATTGGAGTCCTAGAAACAAAAACAAGTATAATAAAATAGTAATAATAATCCTTACATTTGATACAGCGCTTTTCATGTAACAAGGATGTCTGAAAGCCCTTCATAGGATATATTGCAAAGTGCAGTGGCTGGGTATTTCATAGGCAAATTATAACCCAATTGTAAGAAATGTGGAGTCCTATAGTGTAGTGGTTAGCACGCTCACCTTGCAAGTGAGATGACTCGGGTTTGATTCCAGGGTGGTGCAAAACCTTAGGTATGTTTCCTTATTCCAGACCCTCAATTTACCTAGCAGTAAATAGAAATCTGTTTTTTAGTCAACGGTGGATTGCTTTCCCGAGTAATAATCCCCCCGCCAAAAAATGTGGGCATTCAATCCAAGACCGTTTGTGGGCTACTGCTGTGTGTAATTGTCTGCCGAGTTTTGCCCTCAAAATATACAGTCAATCCACTTTACAATATATTCTATGAAGTGCTTTGTGATGTCTCAACAACGTGATAAGGCCCTATATCAAATGCAAGGATTATTAAATTATTGTTAATATGTCGCAAGTGTTCCAGCTTTTAGATGTATTTGTATATTCCCATATCAATTTTTGTGAATAACTTTTTTAATCTTAGCATTTATTCAATATAGGAAGTATCACAAGCGAATTTCAGTTCTCCACCTGCCTCATTATCTCTAAAGGCGTAAGGGATGTGGTATAAATGATGCACATCCCCTCAACTTGGCAGCATTCAAGGAAGATGTTTCTTGATAAGTTGGTGTGGAAATAACATTCATATTACTTTTGTGAACTGTCAGCAATTTATCAGCAGCACCTCCGCTAAATGACATTAAAAACTCCAATAGCTCCAGTTGTTTTAAGAAGTCCAGTCATTTCACCCATGTGGCTTGGAGCCAATTGGGTGTAGACTGATGGGATTCCGTGTAAAATGAAACAGGAACACAAAGAGCTGGAAATGCATGTTAATCAATGAAAGAGAAAGATGGGTTAACATTTCCGTTTTGACAATCCACGTGGATGAAATGTTAACCTCTGTTTTTCTCTGCTGAGCATTCCCAGCATTTGCTATTTTATTTTAGACCTTTTGACTTTTGCTTAAAATCAGGGAGTCTCAATCTACTCTGCAGAAACAACTACATTTTGGTAAATTGGGGGGAAAATTGGCATTCTTGGAGCACAAGGATGGTTAAGGAGGTACTGTCACGTATCACGTATAAAAATACCTTCAAAAAAATAAAATAATAATAATTTGTTCATTTAATCCATGACTGTTTGTGGTACACTGCTGTGTGCGATTGGCTGCCACAATTCGCCCACAAAATATACAGTCAATTCACTTTACAGTATAATCTGTGAAGCGCTTTAAGATGTCTTGAAAATGTGATAAGGCGCTATATCAAATGCAAGGATTATTATTATCACAATTCTGTGAGTGGAGCTGTGCTGTAATGCTGTAATGTTCATATTATCCAATAGTCGATGTTTCAGAGCTTTTGTGTTTCTTTTCTGTAGGTTGCTGCACACCTACTTGAATGCCCAGAAGCTGAAGTAGAATGTAGCTACAAAAAGTACGGGTGCCATATCAGGGTAAGCCTTTGACAGTTTGACTGACTAAGATCTTACCTTGGCTCAAACGGTAGCACTGTTGCTTCTGGTTTAGAAGATTCTGGGTTCAATCCCCATGTTGGGAGGGAGCCTAGGCTGATACCCAGTAGGGCAGTGCTGCACGGTCAGAGGTGCCATCATCTGGTTGAGCGTTAAACTGAGGTCCTGGCTGTCTGTCTTGTGGCACTATTCAAAAAGGAAATAAGTTACTCCCAGTGTCTTTGCCAACACACCTACAGGCTAATTGGTTTGTGGAACCTTGCTTTGAGATGTTTCAGTGTTTAAGGCCTAAGAACGCACTGGAAGTGCACAAGTGGGTCAGTGTCTAAAAGAGAAATGTTGCCCTGTGACCCTTCAACAGGTCTGATATCTGCTATTGTTTCTCCAGGAAAAACGGAGGAAGATGCAGGAGCATGAAGATTCCTCAATAAATTCCCATCTGTTGCTGGTTATTGCAAGCAGTAGTAAATTAGAAGGACAGGTAACACCATCACTTGTTTTTCAGAACCTTGGAATAAATCACAAAAATAAAATAGGGATTCCACTGAAACTTTAACTTTCAATGCGGCCTTTGAAGGTGAAGGTTTATATAACTCACGAGTGACAAAGCCACAAGTGTTTCACGGTCTGTGAGAGAGTGCATGTTTGTTCTGTCTTTGGCCTATGTATTACCACTTTTAAAGAGGAACTTCAGTGTTGGAGTAAGCACAGCACATAATGTCAATGGCACTTCCTTCCCGTCCCAATTCACTACTGAATATCTGCAAAAACATGAATAGATCATCATCAAATTAAACCGTTTTTGAAAATCGTAGAAAGATTGCAGGAGAAAACTATGCCATTGCATCTGTACTGGTGCTCACTCCCCCACTGGTGCTTGTTTCCTCACCTAAGCTCACTCTCCCACTATATTCCTATTCACCTGTTCTTTCCACATAACTTTCAAAAAATCCACTGCTTTGTATTTTCTGCATTGAATTTCATTTGCCACTTATCAGCCTTTCTGCTGAAACTGAACAGCAGATGCACACGGGATTCCTCACTGCTAATCTTAGTTTCTCTGCGCCACTTAAATCGTTTTATGTAATGCTTCTCTCAAATTGCAAATATATAAAAATCTAGTAAAGAGGGAAAATAGCCCAGTATGCATCATTCTTTGCATTTGACCCAACTTTCCTCCCCTGTTAGCACATTCTCATTGATATGTTTTGTGCAATACACAGAAGTGCTCTCTTTTCAGGACAGACTTGAAATTCCATTTGTACAGTTGAGGATGTGCACAGGTTACTGTTGGTTTCACTGGCAATGTTTGCACTTCCCTATTGTGACACAAAGAAATTAGCTGCATTCCCGTGATAATTACCTAGGTGTTGAGGGTGTTTTTTTCAGTATGACATTTAAGGCAGTATGGAGGCTAACGTATACAACCGTTCACTTAACTATTTTCACTTTCATGTAATAACATTGCTGCTTGCAAATTATTTTTCTTTGTTTCTTAATTGTAGATTATGGATCTTAAAAATAATTTATTTGAACGGAATCAATTTGTCAGTCAGCTGGAAGACAAAATCAAGAAACTTGAGAAGGACCTTGCACAATTAAGTCAGCATATTTCCAAAACTGATAACACTCTTACAAGCACACAGGTAAGGAGCTACTTTGTCGTGTATTTTGGCTCAGTTGGTGGCACTGTTGGGGGGTGTGATGTGTTGTTGGAGGTGCCATCCTTCGGATGAGATGTTAATCTGAGGCTCCGTCAACCTGTTCAAGTGGACGTTAGCTATCCCATGGCGCTGTTTGAATAGAGAATAGAGTTTCTCCTGGTGTCATGGCCAATAATCCTCCAGATAAAACTGGTCTTTCACTTCAGGGCTGTTTGTGGCATAAATTGGCTGCCATGTTCACCTACAAAGAACAAACTCATTACCTTTAACAGTAAATCTTGTGAAGTGCTGTGAGTTATCTTGACAATACAACAACTTGCATTTATGAAGCACCCGTCACACAGAATAGCGTCCCAGATGATATGATGCTATATCTAATGCAAGTATTATTATTACATCATCTTTTTGGCCATTATATTGAATACAAAGATTATTAGAATGTGTTACTCAGTCGCCCTTGTTGACTTGCTTCATATTTAGAAACTTTTAACATAATCATCAATCTTGAGATAAGTATCCTGTCATCTGCCTGCTGAGTAGAGGGAGTGGTGGGCTGGTAAAGGTTTTAGAAGGTCACAGAAGTAGGGGGAGGCAAGACTGTGGAAAGTTTTAAAAGTGATGATAAGGATCTTGAACTCAATCCTCTGGGGGATGGGGAGCCAATAAAGCCGAGCGAGGATGGGTTCGCTGAGCCTGGTGCAAAAGAAGATTTGGGAAGTCTTAACAAGCACAGAGTTTGCAAAGTCAAGCCCGGAGGTGATAAAAGCATGAATAAGTGTCACAGTGGCCATGAGAAGAAGTGTTGGCAGAAGGCTTTTAACAAACTTTTGTTTTGGCAAAGTGGTCAACTTTGGTGGCTAAGAAAATAACAGAGGGAGCAGCGGAGACTAAAGATGCAACAAAAGATTTATAAACGATTGGTTCTACATTTTACCCAATATGTGGCAAATAACCGGATAAATATAAAGTATTACACTTTGGTAGAAAATGTGGGAGTACAGAATCAGATTACAGCAAGGAAGCTTGTGCCCCATTTAGTTCAAAGCCCTGACATTGGCAGCTCTAGTAAAAGCTAAACAAGGCAACAATACTGTTGCCTCCAGTCACACGAGCTATATCAATAGAAATTTACAACCCACTTTGGAACCAGCTGAAATATGTACTGGAGAACATTCATAACACCTCCAGCATGACGTTGGGGGTTGCACTTTTATCCACCTCCAGCAGCAACAGCAGGTGGTAAATACCTCCTGTATTGGATCGACTACACGAAGGCTGGCAATGAACTTGTCATCAGCATCTGCTGCTGGCAAAGAAAAATAGTGAAACAGCTGCTGGGCTTGGAATAATAATAATATAGTAATTAATATACTTGCAGTTTGCAATCAGTGGATGAAGCTGAGCATGAGATGATGCCCAATTCACATAAAGCTGTTCTTTTGTACCTGAGCTGAACCATTATTGAAAAGATCAAACAAAAGCTTTAAGTGGTACAATGATGATTTGTTTGTTTTTCTCTCTCTCTCTCACCCTGGCTTTACCTATTCATTTTTATATTATTCCATTGATATAGAAAAATCTGGCAGGGCACATGGACAAAATCCTGACCACTGAGGAGAGGTTAAGACAGTTCTCCAGAAAATTAGACCAAGCAGAAATTAATGATGCCTCAGGCCTGAAGGAAATTGTCAGTGTGTTGAAGAAAAAGGTGGAAAATGTAGAAAATAACATTCAGTCACTAGGTCTGTATTGAAATTTTTTTAAATTTATTTTCTTCAATAGGATTAAGAATATGTTCTTTCTTAAAAAAAATCTTTTCAATAGACCAGTTATTTATTTAAAAATTACTTTACAAAGTTGTGTCAGTCAGTTCAAAGAGGAATGATGTTTAACTGCGCTGTCCTGTTACTCACCACAGTGACATTGTACATTTGGTGTTCTCCCCTTTAACGCATCTCAGTGATGTTATTGATGAACATTCTGCCCAAGAGGAGCCCAGAAGAGCTGCAGAAACTGTCCTCTAAAATAGAATCATAGAATCTTACAGCACAGAACGAAGTCATTCAGCCCGCCATGCCTGTGGCGGATCTTTGCAAGAGCTATCTAATTAGTCCCACTCTCTCACTCTTCCCCACAGCCTTGCAACTTTTTTCCTTTTCAAGTAAATATTCAAGTTTTGAAAGTTATGATTGAATCTGGGTCCACCGCCCTTTCAGGCAGTGAATTCCAGATTGTAACATCTCGCTGCGTTTAAAAAAACATTCTCCTTGTGCCCTCTGGTTCCTTTGCCAATTATCTTAAATCTGTGTCATCTGGTTACAGACCCACCCGCCAGCGGAAACTGTTTCATTTTATAATTTAATAATAATTTAATAAATTTTAATAATTTAAGTATTTTTCCTAAATTTGAAGACAACGGTCTTAAGCTTAAGACGATGAGAAATTTCAGGCTTCTGATGATGTCTGACATTTAGTGAACTCCACTAATAGAATGGATTTGGAGTTGCAGTGAATTTCTGTTCCCACTGAAATTCCCACAATTAAATCGCTGAGCTGTGTATTTATTGCTATCAACAATATTTTGAAAGTCATGAACTCTTTCAAAGACCAGTTTGATCGTGTTGAACGTTTTCTCTTTTTTTTAAATGCTCAAGGTGTGCTCGAATCCCGTTTGAAGCAGCATGAATCGTTATTACGTGCCCATAAGGATCTACTGGAAAAGACAAACGAAAGGTTTCGAGTGCTTGAGACCACCAGCTATAGCGGCAAACTGATTTGGAAGATCTGTGATTATAGAAAGACAAAACAGGACGCAGTAGAGGGACGCGTGTATTCTCTCTACAGCCTTCCCTTTTACACTAGCCGTTGTGGATACAGACTGTGTGCCAGAGTGTACTTGAATGGAGATGGACTGGGCAAAGGAACTCACTTGTCTTTATTTTCTGTAGTTATGAAAGGTGAGTATGACTCCTTGCTGCCATGGCCATTCAAACAGAAGGTTACACTGATGCTGCTTGACCAAGGCCCGAAGAAAAATCACATCCTGGAAGTTTTTAAGGCAGATGCGAATAGCAGTAGTTTTAAAAGGCCTGAGGCTGAAATGAACATAGCGTCCGGATGTCCACGTTTTGTCTCCCACGCTCTACTCGAAAGCGGGAAAACTGCAACATATATAAAAGATGACACATTATTCATCAAGGTTATTGTAGATCTAACCGACCTTGATGACCTTTGAAATCATTTCCAAAAAACACATTCCTATTGATGTGGTCCATGAAATTCATATTTATTATATAGTTCAATGCTAAGGACGTTAATAAAAACAAAGTATATTTTATTTGCCATGTTTGTGAGTCTGATTTGTTTTAATTAAACCTGTTTTGAAATGTTGGAATCATTCAGCTGATGTGGATAAGTTCCTTGCTCAAAACAAAAGATGTTTAAAAATAACAATCCTTGCATTGCTGCAGCGCCTTTCACAGCGGAAGGGTGTCTCAAAGCGCTTCACAAGATATACTGTAAAGTGCAATTACTGTGTGCTTTGTAGGTGAATATGAATCATTTAACCCTCACCATAATGTGGTCCACCTCACCATGAGAGACTATCGGACAATTAACACACATGAATGAAGAATTACATTACAATCACACACAATTCTGTAGCACAGGAAGAGAGGCGATTCAGCCCAAAGTGGTTCCAGCTCAACCCAGCTCTTGCACCCTTTTCAAATGTTTTTCCAGCTCTCTTTTTAAATGCTACTATGGTCTAAAAGTTAAACCACGGCAGCCAGATCTGGAGGAAACACGTTCTTTCTATTTTCCTCCATCCCCTTTCCCCCCAACACTTGTCCCCAACTGTATCAATTACAATCTTAATCACACTTTACCTTCTGTTGTGCAGTGAAGCAAGAAGGAGTTAAACCTGGAATTAATTATACCCTTGAAGAGCACCAGTTTAACAGCAGTGTGAACACCTGAGGCACAGAAAGGCTATATTGGTTAGATGCCATGTTCATGGAAGTGTTCCTGTGGCGAGCAGTGCCAAAACAGTGCCAAAACTTGTCAGAACAAAAAGTATGTACTTGAAACAATTAAGATTGTACATCATAATTGGGCATGCTCACTAATGTAACTGGAGAAATCTCCAGGTATCTGGATCAAACGTTTTGCCTCAAAATTTACACCAGTTTTCTTAGTTAGATCCCAGATATTTATATTATACAATGGAAGAGAACCTGCATTTGATATAGTGCTCATACATGTCAAACTGCTACAAATCACTTATTGGGAGGTGTGGTACCTATATATTTGTAGCTTGGCTAACATTCAGTGCAATGCTAAGAGAAGCATTGCATTGTCAGAGGTGCTACCTTCCACAGAGAAATTAGATCAAGCTGATGGTGGCAGGCTTATCTTTATATGTTAATGATCTCAGAGAAGGCAGTGCTCTAGCTAACAACCCTTCAGATAAATCAATCATTCACTTCACACCTATCTGGGGGACAAAGCTGTATGAAATTGGTGGTTGCACTTTCCTATAAATACAGTCACTATACTTAATAATCAATACTCGATAGCAATTAGAGGTGAAGTATTTTGAGATATTTCAACGTTAATAGGAACTGCATCTATCACACAAAAGGATTATTAGAACTTTTAATTATAATAGGTTGTTTATCTCCAAGTCTAACATAACATTAATTATATCACAGAGTTCCAACCATGTGAGCTGCTCCTGGAAAACCTATTTAGCGTTGCTCTTCCAACTGAGTTCATTGCCAATTTCCCATCTTACTGTTTTAGCTGCTCTTTTGTCACAAGATGAGACCAGCAAATAACAGCACAGGGTGTAACAAATCTTCATCATGGAGAGAAAAATGTTCATCATGGAGAGAAAAGGGGGGGTGGGGTGAAGAACAATAATGTCCACTTCTACGGCACCTTTCACATAGGGAGAGTGTGCTTCACAGGATATATTGTGAAATGGATTTTATGGGCGAAACGCAGCAGCAGTGGTGCACAACAATATCCCACAAACAAAATCTACATTATACATTATAAAAATATATATTAAAAAAATTACATTATTGCATCAATAAATCGAACGGGATTCTCTCCCACAGTAAAGACATGTTAACAGAGATTAAACAAATCCTAACACGAGTTGCCTGATTCCTAACACTGAGAACTGATGCCACTTTGAGTCCAGGCTCTCGGGCAAACAAAGCACAGCAGTGAATGTGTGAGTGTGAGTGTGTGTACACATGCCGGCCCAAGGTCACATTTTACAAAGAAATACACACGAAGAAATCTCACTTCCATAGCCCAACATGCAAATGAAACAATAAACAGCTATTTATAGCTAATGACTGTTAGAATCACACCAGGGCAGCCTCAGCAAGAGAGACCAGCGGCATCGAGCTCTGCTGAGCCTTTGCCGTGCGAAGATGTGGAAGTTGAAGCGTAAGTGTATGTTCCTGTGTGTAAAGCTCACTCACTCATTGTCATTCATATATATATATATATATATATATAAGTCTTGTTAGACAGGAGCTCAACAAGTGGAGTCCTGTAGCTCAGTGGTTAGAGCACTCGCTTTTGCAAGCGAGAGACCAGAGTTCAATTCCAGGCACAGGGCGAAACCTTGGGCAAGTTTCCTTACTCCACACACCTAATAATAATCCCTCCAAAACCAAAAACAATAAGAAATTGGTCATTTTCAATCTACGACTGTTTGTGGGACATTGCTGTGCGCAATTGGCTGCCGCGTTCGCCCACAAATATACAGTCAATTCACTTTACAGTGTGTTCTGTGAAGCGCTTTGGGACGTCCTCCCGACGTGAAAAGCGCTATATCAAATGCAAGGATTATTATTATTATTATAACAACGTTAAAACTCCCGGGAAAGTCATTACAACTAACAACACAGTAATTGGAGCAATTGCCTGAATTCTGTAAGGTCGGGATCAGTGTTGGCACAGAAGGAATTCCACTGTTCTTTCAAATCAAACATCTCCTTTTCACTTTCTTGTGCGTTATTCTTGATGTAAGGTCTGTGCGCGTGTACTCTAGAGATCTCGTTGACATTTAGCTGTGTTTTCCTGACAGCGCCCTTGGACACGCCACTTAGTCTCAAGTACAAGCACATTCTGGAGGTCTGTATTTTAGAGTAACGTGGAGGTGTGTTCTCGCTTAGCTTTGAATTAACATTGCATGTGAAAAGGGAACCCCTGAGAGGAGGTTTTACTCGTAGCTCTGCTAACATCACAGCTTTGCTGTTGCAGCAAAAATAGTATATTTAATTTAAATGAAATCTACTTTTTTTTGTAATCCTTACGAATCTTCATAACAATGTAGTATATGTCTGTGTGTGTGTGTGGGGCGGGGGGGGGAGTGTTGTTCTGATCTCTGTTAATATCATAGAATTCCAGCTGCTTCAGACAATAACTTCATGTTTAATTTAATCTAATTCTACGAAGGTTTTGAAATCCCTATAAGTCTTGATTATAATGTATGTGTATGTCTGGTATGTCTATGAAAGGGAGGGGGCTACTGGCCTGAGTTGAGGTAGCTTTTAGACTGTAGCTGGGGTCAGGCTATCTCTCTCTCTCTCAGATTATACTGTGATATCTCTCTGTATTCAGCACTCACTGTTTACACACACACACAAACATACTCAAACAATATTGCATCACTGTATGTAATTCTGTGCAACAAGGAACAAGTTATGAAAATACTGTAATCACAAAACATTCATTTGCAAAAAAAGAATTGGCTGAGTTTGTACAATGGTGTTTAAACTGATTTTCCTGCCTCATCTTGCAAATAGATTTCATAGGGACTGTATTCTTCCCGTTATTCAATGTATGGGGTGCTCCAAACGGCTATTTCTGACATGCTTCCTTATGATTTTTTTCCTTTAGCAAAGGATTCCAATTGATCCTGCAACTTTGATCAATCTTAAAAGATTATCAGCTGAAGAGGAATTTCCAAACCTGTCACGAAGTTGCACCAACATGGCAAAGGTTCTTACGTTGCAAATGTACAAGAGGCTGAGAGTCAAAGCTACCAAGAGTGGCTTCACATTAGATGATATCATCCAGCCTGGTGTAGACAATCCTGGTGAGTGTCACTTCAATAAATGAAATACTTGGGATTTAATCTATTAAGGCTATAGTTATCGCCAGACACACCAGTCATAAAATTAATCAATGACAAAGTTTTCATAGCTTAGGATACTGTTTGGCTATGTGTAGTATTTAATGTATCTCATTCACCCTTGAGGAATGCCAACATCAGTTGTAACTGCACTACGAAACCCACAAGAGCATTTGAAGAGAAATACTTAAAAGGATTTTAGCCTTGTGTTTCCGGGTAACTAGTAATTTTTTGGTATTTCCTGTGTTACTGTACTGTTAGTTTGCTAGGTTGAATCAGACAAACTGTCACTGGTGCTCCAATCATTGGAGTAATTTCTAAGAGATAAGATATGTAACAAATGACTTGCTTTATTTATTAAAGATGAAAGTACTAAAAGATGCACTTGGATCAAGGCCAACTTGAATTGTTGCTGGAGTAGAAGGCCTTAGAAACTACACTAATGATGATTTTTGTGTCTGTGACAATAATGTAACTTATCAGGTCACTTTCTGACATGAATCCATATCAGATCCATTACATTCATTGCAACTCCTGTTAGACCCCAATAATTAAAGTGACTTCTGATTTATCACTTCTTGTGTGTGATCTTTAAACAAATGCCAGTTGATCTTGCTAAAATACACCACAAATCATTTCTGTCCAGTTTCCGTATATCTTTTGGATGACTTCCCAGGAAGGCTACTTTAAATGAAAAGGATTCTGAGAATCATTCGCAACAACAGAGCATAATAGACTTCACCTGTCTGGCTTAAAGAGGTGAAATACATGACATACATTTCATTCAGTCGGTCTCTATCAGACAGAATGTTACACACATATTTAATCGATTGTGGAAATGGGGTTTTCCTAATAGTGTGTAACAATGCTATTTACTTAAACATTTTCTCATACAATAATAAAGAATTGATTTGTCAGGTTTATAATCGATACAGTCATCGTCCCATCTCCCTGTCTGCCTGTCACTACAGACAATTTGTCCGGTAGAGCTGCAGGCTGTGTGGCTGGAGATGAAGAATCGTATGATGTTTTTAGAGAGTTCTTTGATCCTCTCATTGAGCTTTGTCACCCTGGCTACCAGCAAATTAAAATGCACAGGAGTGATATGAATCCAGAAAACTTCAAGGTAACTTTTAAAAATTGTTTCAACTTGAAACTTGTTTCAACTGAGGGAAAGAGCATAAGGAAGCTTAAAAAAAAGAAACTTTAGTGAATAATAATGTTTGCATTTGATATCGTACCTTATCGTGTATTTGCGATGTCTCAATGCGCTTCATTGGATTTCACTATGAAGTGTAGTGACTGTGTATTTGTGGCAACCAATTTGTACATAGCAATGTCCTACAAACAGCCCTAATGTGAGTAACCTAGGGTAGGTTTTGCAATGGTAATGGAGGAAGTGTGCTTTTATGTGGTCAGCTGGGTGTATGACACATACAGACCCATGTTTGATCATGTTTACCAATGTCCAAATCAAACTAGGATTAGGTTCAATGAGCCTTTTATGCTTTTTTTTTTTTTGCGTGTTTTTTATGCGTTGATATTCTGGGGACTGTTATTCCTGGGATCCATTCAAACTATTTAAATGGTTAGCCTGTAAGGTGTGTGCACTTATTTGATTGATCTCTTCCCACTGCAGGGTGGAGCTGACTTTGACGAGCAGTATGTACTGAGTTGCCGAATCTGCACAGGACGCAATGTGGAGGATTACTCGTTCCCACCACACTGCAGCCGCGGCGAGAGGCGAGCATTGGAAAAACTTGCCATTCAGGGTGATTGTCTTTTAATTCATACCCTTGATACATGCTCAGCCTAGCACTGGAGCCAATTAGAGCAATGAGCAAGGTCCCCAGTGTTAAAGGAATGAGTGATGAGCAACAATTAGACAAATTAGACAAACGGCTCTTCAGTCTTGAGAGAAGATGGCTCAGAGGGGACCTCATAGGGGTGTATACAATTGTAAATGGGATTTTTGTTCTTTAATCAGAATTAATTAATTAATTAATTAAGTTTAATCAACTGGAACAAGTTGCTAGGAAAGGTGGTTGAGACCAAGACACTGGATTCCTTTAAAAATCAGCTCGATGCTGTGATGGGAGGATGGGAGGATATTCTGAAGGGATCTGAATATAGATTGGATGAAGGGGCTTCTTCATCTGAACCAATCTTGTGATGTTCTGTAACCTTTCCTCAAACGTTTACTTTGCTGCTCCCTAAACTATCCAGCACACTGAAGGAATCATATCACCACCTGGTGGGCACGTAGCAGGATAAAAGCTGCAGCTGTTTTACATGTCGCCTCGACAGAGAAGACAAAAATGTCTGACAGAGGGTCTGTCAGCAGTTACTTCTGAAAATAACTCACATTTTTATGCTCTATTTTTATCAGCTGCCATTCGGACGGACAGTTAAGCTGATGTACTCCCTCCACCTGTGCCTACCATTTGTCAATCTCTCATTCCATGCAATCCTCATTTTACAGATTTAGATCAGCTTTTCAAAGGCTCATTATCATCGGAAGAACAAAATGACTGGCCGAACAGAGTGTTAAATCTGGAGCATTTAAACAATCTTCAGACCAAAGTTTTTATATTACAACTCCATTGGAACCGAAAACCTGATAGAGATATTTAAAATTAAGAGTTTCTTTTTGACAAGAAGAATAAGGAGAGACTATTCCCACTGGCCAATGAGTGAGTAATTAGAGGAAATATATTTCAAATCATCATCAAAAATAAAGGGAGAAGTTAAGTTTTTTTTGTAACACACAAGGCTAATAGGACTTGGAGGGGTGGAAGTTCCACCTACATTTAGTTTTACTCTATTTTTCTAGTATTTCAGAATATCCAGAATTTCTCAAATTCTTAAACACAATTCTTTACGTACTACAGAAAACCGACTTAAAAGACCAAATTCAACAATTTCCAATGTTCTGATGCTCTGAAGTGCTATGAAAATAGAGTAAATCTTAGACATAGGTGGAATTCCCCTCTAGAAAGCCTTACCAAAAATAGTGGTTGAATCAAAATCCATAACCCTTTCAAAGGGAAATATTTTTAAAAAGAAAATACAGTAGGTTATGGGAAAAGGGCAAGGCAATAGATAACTTTTTCAGAAGCTTGTGAGTCCAAGACTAGAGAGCATAAATATAAGAAAGCTAGCAGTAGATGTAATATGGAGTTTAGGAGGAACTTCCTCGGGCAAAGGCTGGTGAGATGTGGAACTACCAAAGCTGTAGTTGAAGCAAAAAATGTCAGTTTATTTAAGAAAAAACTAGATGCACACTTGAGAGAATAGGAAATAGAGGGGATATAGGAGAGTGGATTAGGAGAGGGTGAGGCTTGTGTGGAATATAAACTGATTTAGACAAATTGGGTCAAATAACCTGTTTCCGTGTTGTACACTATTGGGTGATATGTGGCAGACACAAGCAGATGCATTGAATGGCCTCCTTCTGTGCTGTAAAACTCTGAAACCGTGTTCTTTAAACTAAACTGATAAACTGGTGGCTTTTAAAACCATCGCTGCCAATTGTCAAACTGGAATTTTCAACACTTGTGATTTAAGTCATACACCAATGCTTCTCATCACACATCATCTATACATGAGGAACACACACTATGTGGCCATAACTTGGTTTATTTATATAATTAACCAGCATTGCACCAAAGTGAAACCTGTTTAAATAAGACCAGATTCAAAGCTTGGAATAATTGGGATTTTCTAATTGTGAAGCAGAAGATTGCAGCAAAAACAAGATTATTTGCTTGTTTGCTAACCAATTAAATCCCACAATTAAATACAATGAAAATGAGATGAGTGGCACAGCGGTAGGAAAAGTGGGTAATTTGTGGTCAGCTATCAGCTGCAGTTCCTTCCAAAGAAAGTCACACATTTTTCCTGAATTCAATTTTGTTCCAATTTGTGAAAATAAAATATCTGAAGGCATTCTAGTTACCTTCCATTTACCTGTTAAATACATGATGTACCACTGATACTTTCTTGTTCATTATAATTTAGTAAAAGAGGCTCTATCATGTCTATTTCTCTACTTTTTCATTTCTACTGCTGTGCTCTTTTTCATGCATTTGACTCCTTCAGTAACACAAACTTTGTTTTTGCATTAAAGAAAGCTCAATCATTCAATTCAATCATTATAATAATAATTGTTGCATTTGATCGAGCACCTTTCACAGTAGGAGGATGTATGAAAACTCTTCGCATGACGTAATGTAAAGTGTAGTGACTGTGTATTTTGTCAGTGAATCTGGCAGCCAATTGTTGGCAAGGACCCTGAGAGAAATTCCCTTCTCTTTTCAAGTAGTTTCATGGAATCTATCGTCTGCCTAAACAGGCAGCTGTCTTGGTTTTAGTTTCATCCAAATAATTTTTGTTGATGGTACAAATGAATATTAAATTAGATCTCGTACCATTTTAGAATTAAAAAATAGTTGCAGAACGTGAGGAGGCCAATCGTAGGAGTTGATGATAGGCCAGGGCTATTAATCAGCGAGCTGAACTCAGGATTGTGCAGTGTTTCCTTGCAGAGCACAATTGCTCAGTCTTGTTGCCGCTAACTGGTGTTAATTGTTAAGCTGTAATTATATAACATTGTGCCATTATTTTATCTATCATTTAGGAGTGAAAATAAGAAATTTTACAACGGTTTCTATCTGTGAACATGAACCCCATGGTTATTGCTCTGTGCAGTACAGAGGAGGATAGTATTTGTTATTTATTTTAGGAATTGGTTGTTTCAGCAGCTTTTTCTACTAGTTTTATTTATTATTTTTAATTTTCCTTTTTTTTCTCTACACCCCTGGTTGCAGTCTTTTAATCTGTCCTTTATTTTTAATCAGTCCTTCTCTTTTCTATAATTATTCTCTCTATTGTTGAAGATGATAGCAAGAATAATATTCTTTGTATTTAATACAGCTCCTATAACAATAACAACAAAATTACATTTTATAAAGTCAGAATGTTTCAAAGCATTTCACAAGTAATTGGTCTGAGAAGCTACCCTGCATGGAGAGCGCTATATAAGTGCAAGTTGTTGTTGTAACTGTAGGGCAACCCAACAACCAATTTATGTGCAGCTAGATCCTCCGAACACCCACAAAATGAATAACCAATACATCTGGGGGAATGTTAACCTGGGATCTTTGGAAGAGAAAAATTGATTTAGATAAGACAGTTGAAACATGAGGTTCTGTATGGAGTTCTGTGCACGTTGCGACTGATCTGATTTGTTTTCACACCGCTGCCACTATTTTTATCCCAGTCAGTCCCCCCCATCCCCCCCTCCCGTGTATTCTATGCTGTTTGCCATCAGGAGCCTCGAGAGGGTGTGTGTCATGATGTGAGTGACCTAGAGACTTGCTAGTTTCCTTGCAGTGCACAGCAGTGCCTCTGACAGCTCAAAAGGCAACATCCATTCCTATCGCAGTTTGTGGCTTTGTGACTCCACTGTTGCTGCAATGATGACACCAGCCTTATTGTGAAGCCTGGAGCTGAAAAGAATAGAACACAACCGTCAGTATCATCACCTTATCTTTTGGTTGCCTGCTGTAAAATGTAGAGACCTTTCCGAAAACATCAAGGTTTAAATCTACTGGTGTGTGAGTGTGTGGGCAGAGAAGTAGGATTGTGATATTTTTAAGGACATGTTGGGGTATCTCAATTTACTTTCATCAGGATGTCAGAAATGATACTTGTATGAGTCAATACAAGGATGCTGCAATGTCAGAGGTGCCATCTTTCAGATCAGGTATTAAACTGAGGTCCTGCCTTCCTGTTCAAGATAGGTATTATAGATCTCATGACACATTTGGAAAAGAGAAGGAAGATTTTCCTGATGTCCTGACCAACAATCCTCCAGATTAATTGGGCAGGTCATTGACCTCGTGACTGTTTGTGAGATCTTGTTGGCACAAATAGATGGTACTGCTGGATGCAAGTTGTGGTAATTACTTGCGTTTTGAGACATTTGGACTCAGAAAAGTGCTCTAAAAATGTTTTTTCTTTCTCTGCCATAAATACTTGGGCTTCTGCTTAATTTCTTTCAACAAACCAATGTCGTTCATAGCCCTCATTGAGCTGAGTAGCGAGTTTAATGGCACTTATTACTCACTGAATACCCTGGGTGAGGAAGAACAGAAGAGATTAACCAGCGCTGGAATACTTCACGAGGATCCGTTGTCCCCACTGATGGTCTCATCTGGTATGGCCAGAGATTGGCCTGATGCTCGTGGAGTCTGGTAAGCAATGAATCACTCTTAAACTTCAAACAGTTCAGAGCACAGTGCAGAGGCCCAACATCAATGTGCAGCGTTACAGTTTATTTCCCCTCCTCAACACCGCAGACTTCCTGACCTTAGATAACCTATGCTGATGAGGGAGGTGCTAAGTGGGAGACCAGAAGTCAAGAGAAGATGCAAGGCAAGGGCATTCCCAAGGTGTCAGTTCAAAGCAGGAGCAATGTTAGTCATTTGACAGCAGGATATTGGGCAGGAAATCTTTTTTTAAGTGTACTTTGACCCGGCTTCATGCAGAAGTGAAACATCACATTTAAGTATTTAATATTCAGGCATCATATATGCTTTATATTGCTTATGTTCAAAGCAGAATAACACTGATGATGAACTGGCAGATCTGCAGAGGGATTTAGCTGAACTGCAAAGGATCATTAAGTGCTGCACACGTCCCTGTGGATTTGGATGTGCAGAATTATTGTCCCTTCCAGAGCTTATGCACACTGTAAACAAGATCACAGAAGCATATTTTTATTACTTGTGTGAAAGGGGGCATCGCAGAACAGCGGGATCTGGGCTCAGCATATCTGCTGGAAAAGTTGAAAGCACCGATCAGGATTTGATGTTGCAGAATTGAAGAAATGATTATGTTTGGAATCGTTATATTTTATTTTCGTGTAACATTGATATATATTTTCTTTTTTATTATATTTCTATTCTGTGTTTATATAATCCTACTATTGAAGGATACTCTGAGGTATGTTCACCTGTAAAAGTCATTGCACTTTACACCAATTCCTATGAAGAGCTTTGAGACGTCTTGACAATGATGTGAGGCACTATGCGAGTATTATTATTATGAATATTTATACAGGGTTAGGAGAAGGTGCAGGGCATAAAATGTGGAATAATCTGTGATGTAGCGATTTTGTGGGATCATAAAATAAAATCACATTTATATTGTTACACTCTGTTCGTAAAGAGTCAAAGAGATGAACAGTATTTCTTGACTTCTCCCTCCAACTCCCCAGGTCTTCCTAGTGTTCCCAGACTTCTTCTGCTCCTCATTTCTGATGTTTGCACTGAATTAAGAGATGTGCAATAGAACATAATAGTGGAGTCAGTGGTTAGAGCACTCGCTTTGCAAGCGAGAGACCAGAGTTCAATTCCAGGCAGGGCAAAACCTTGGGCAAGTTTCCTTACTCCACACGCCTAATAATAATCCCTCCAAAACAAAAAACAATAATAAATTGGTCATTTTCAATCTATGACTGTTTGTGGGACATTGCTGTGCGCAATTGGCTGCCGCGTTCACCCACAAATATACAGTCAAATTCACTCTACAGTATATTCTGTGAAGCGCTTAGGGACGTTGAGAAGATGTGAAAAGCTCTATATCAAATGCAAGGATTATTATTATAACACCTCCCTTCCTCCCCACCCAGTGCGACCACCACCCCTATCTCAGCCACTTTGCAGTGAGGCCTGACCCCTCCCAAGAAGATGATAAGAGGAAATATCAGAGGCAGAATCAGCCTTAGATTTTTTCAAGGACCTGAGGACTAACCATGGTCAGTCTGAGATATCCTCTTTATTTAAGAAAACAACAAAATCAAACGTTTATATAATCAATTTTATGAATAGTGTGCTGTGCTGAAAAAGTGTATGTTTGTGTGTTCACGCACATACACATACACTCAGCATGCTGTACATTAGTGCAACAGAAGGTGGCAACATTGCATGAAATGCCAAGCCGAGATCTTGTGCATTTGCTCTGATGCTTCAAGTTGAATGTTAAAGATCCATTTGCCAATATTTTGAAGAGGAGCAGGGAGTTTGCACACTGTTCCCTCATCTAAATTCACTCAAAGATATATTAATTTGTCATTAATCCTATTGCTATTAATATGATCCTATTAATCCTGCTCTTTCTGGTCCTTCCATTTACCTAAATAATGGTCACTGCAATATAATCCATTACATTTATGCTCTTTGAGATGTTTTGACATGATATGCAGCAATATTCCAATGCCACTATTATTTTGTTTCATGTTACATTTCTCACATTGCTTTCATGACCTGTGGGACTGAACTGGCTTGGAGGAGAAGTATTTTGAAGTGCATTCTCAATGTAATGGATATAGGGTGTCTGGATACAGAAACTACACTGATAGTGATGGAGAACTGTGTCAGTAAAGTTGAGATCACAGCAAGACTTCAACATTATCATTAATTCCTAGTTGATCAGCAGAGACCACATGCAGTGCTTTGAAAGATTAATGCATTTGCATACAGTGAGCATGTTGTTTTTCTTGTAGAAAAACACAACTGACTTTTTACAGATAGGGTCTTTGTCATGCTCCTGTTCTATCATTATTTATGTTGCCAAGTGAGCTTAAATTAGTAGTATATCTTGCGCTATATCGAAGGAAGTTCTGCGCTCCTCACATGATTCAAAATTTACTTTGTGTGCAGGCACAATAATGATAAGAATTTTATTGTGTGGGTCAACAAAGAAGACCATCTCCGCATTATTTCCATGCAGCAGGGAGGAAATATGACCCAAGTTTTCCAACGCTACTGTTTTGGTCTTAAAAAGGTGAGTTGTGTTAGTCATGCTTTCAAACATTTAAAGCAAAGATGATTATTCCTTTTTCATTTACTGCCACAAGTGATAATTTGTTCAACCAATGTCTGTGCTGACTGTGTTCCACCTCTAGCCCATCTGGGTAATTCCTATTTAATACTGAGGATATTTCTAAATTTTAGCTGCATGTGGGATGATTCAACAAATAACGTGCATTACTTGATTGTACACAGAGAGATTAATAATTTAAAGCAGGCAGGAAAAATTAGAAGAAAATTGATTTCTTAGTGTGTTAATGAGCATACAGCTTTGGAGGATTATGGAACTAATGCAGATTGTTTTCTCAGCTTGAAGAGATATATCGGAAGAAAAGGCACCCCTTCATCTTCAAATACTATCTGGGCTACGTGTTGACTTGTCCATCTGAGCTTGGTACTGGTTTGCGAGCAAGTGTCCATTTGAAGCTGGATCACATCAGCAAACATCAGAAGTTTTCTGAGATACTGCAAAGGTTACGTCTGGAGAGACACTTTATCGGTATTGTATCAACACCAAATATTTCCCTCTCACAAATCGAGTTGACTATTTGCAATTAAAAGATACATGAATGGGGTCAGTCTTATTGCAGATATTGGCTGCTCTACTGCAATTTTCCTTCCTCAAAGGTGCCTTGGGACTTCCTCTCGACATGAAAGGCACTATATAAATGTAATTTGTTGTTTGTTGTTGCAAAGCACAACGTTTCTCTTATGAAAAAAGGGTTTCTGCATATATCTAGCTGACGAGAAAAAGATAACGACTTACGTCACTTGGTTTTGGAAATCCCTCTCTACAGCTCAATCACTTAATGTAGCGTTTTGAAGTGTAATTATTTTTAATTCTTCAATTGTTTAGCCTGCATTAACATATTTATATAACACCTTTCACATACAAGAAACATCTTAGTGTCTTGCAGAATGAGATTATAGCAGAGAGCCCAATTTCTGCTGTAGCTCAATGGTTAGAACACTCGCCTCACAAGCAAGAGATCTGGGTTTGATACCCGGCAGGGTGAAATGTTGGGCAAGTTTCCTTACTCCACATGCCTGTTTACCTAGTAGTAAGTAGGAACCCAGTTGTTAGTTGATTGGTGGATTACTTTTCCAGTGGTAATAATTCTTACGGAAAAATCATAATAATAATTCGTTCAATTCAATTCACGACTGTTTATGGGATATCACTGTGCACAATTAGCTTCCGCATTTCGCCCATAAAATATGCAGTTTACAGTATATTCCGTGAAGTGTTTTGAGACGAATCAAAGACGTGATACGGCGCTATATCAAATTATTATTTTTATAGTCTCACTCCCCATTATGGCTACGCATAATGTGAAGATAATACATCATTAAATGCATACGCCCAACTAAAACATTTTGTTGATATCACTGCTGTGTGCGGCTAAAGAATGGTTTACTGTATTTAGAAATTAGGTGAATCTTAATTTATAGGCAAACACCAGTTTACTTGTGTAAGCAATGTCCACCATAAATTCTACTGAAATGAGTCCTTAAAGTCCAGGTGAATCATTTCACACAATATCAAGAATGTTGCTCTGTACTTACACACCATATACTGTATTATATATAAGTATATCCTTCTCCAGAAGTCAGATAAAAACCCAAACTAAATTGTTCTAATACAAGTTGATAACATATTAATGTACTTTTATTTGGGAGCCTTTTAACAAGAAACATTTCACCACAAAAAGTTTACACCTAGTCACAGCCCCACAAATACCTAAATTCCAGAACAGCTCTTCGAGTAAAAGTCATGCTACAGTGAATACAATTAAACTCTCTAACATTCATTTTGACTCACGTGGTAGCACTCTTGCTTCTGGGTCAGAAGGTTGGGGGCACAAGACCCACTCCAAGATTCAAGTTCAATGAAAACCTGAATTCAACATAGGCTAAGGTCGCAACTGCTTATCCAGGTAGATGTTAAATAGACTATTACATAGTACTATTTTGATAAAGAGTAAGGAGTTTCCAGTGTTCTGGCCAATAGTGTTTCCAAAGCTAAATTCATTAAAGAAAAGATAGCTGGTAATTTATCTCATTGCTGCTTGTAAAAGGTGCAAAATACAATAGTTACTAAACCTGCATTTTATTCACTTTTTGTCTTGTAGGTGACACACATACATCTGCTGAAAAGAATATCTACAGTATTTGCAATTCAGACACAATTGGTTTCACGGAAGTTGAGCTGCTGCAGATGGTGGTTGATGGCATTAAACTGCTGATTACTATGGACAAATGCATTGAGCAGGGAGCAGTGGTCGATGATCTTATTCCTGCTCAGAAGTAGATATTATAATCAACAGGATAACATGTCTGTATATATAAAGTGCTTCAAGACATTCATCTTATATATGAAAGGCACTAAACAACGGCTTGTTGTAGTACATGTGAAGTGCTGAAATGGTCTATATTTTACCAACAATAGACTGATGTCCATAAACATTTTTTTGAATTACAAAGTTGTGTCTTGTTAAGTCTAACTATTGGCTTTAAAACAGCAGTGTTTTGTTTACACGTCATTGGCTTTGTACAATGTTTTTTACAGGGCACAATAGGACAAGTTTGCCTATTATCATCATTTTTCATAACCTATGGTTTTGAAACAAGTACAACACGAATTGAGACAGTTGCTTGCCAGGTCCACAGAAAATCCAATAAAATATTATTTTGCTGAGAATGATATTTGCACAAGTTTACAGACACATCTCTGAACACAAAATTCCACAATTGTATACAACAGTAACTTACATTGAAGTTTCAGTACCAAGATCTGCATCAAATAAAGCAACGGATATTGAGCCCTGCTCTGATAAATATCAGCCAAAGACAAATCCACTGCATACGTAATTCAAATGGGTCTTTTCCAGTTGAGAGAATGAAGACGTATCACTACACAGAATATTTGTACCTTGTCCACAAAAGCTTTGACAAGACAGTTGTACTAAATTAAAATTTCAGTTTCAAAAGATGAACACTGGTGCACTGACACACCCCGTACTAAAAACAAAACAAGACTTTAATGACTTTTACACTTTAATTAAAATGATCAGACTTATTTAAATAAGTTACTGACTGACAGTGAAACAGATTACAACAGCTATAGATTGCAAACAACTGTATCAGGTTAAGTGAGGTAAAGGACAGAATGGGCCTCAGAATGCAAGATAGCCACTAAATGTAAGAATTTACAGACAATGTGGCTCTACTGACCAGTTCACACTAGATAAAGGGTACAGTTTAATGTCTCACAGCCTCCACTCAAAAAGGCTTAAGTATAGACAAACATTGCCTGTTTGTCAATTTAAGATCTGCCCCACGTTTTGGTAACATTCAGGTGCTGTAGATGTTCTTCAATGCATTTGTTTTCTGGGAATTTTGCTGCTCTGGCGATCTTAAAGGCCTCCCATCGCTCTGCTCTGCGGACTGCTGAGTGGCCCTTTTCCTGTTCAGAGCTCATCCAAGGGCGGCTCAGCCAGTATTCGTTCTCCCTTTCAATCTCCAGTCTGTTAATCATGTTGCGTTTCATTTGCCAGGTAATCGGCCTCGGACGTCTGTACTTTCCTAGCCATTGTTTTCCGGGAATCCCCTTCCTTAGCAGAAAGGATGTTAGAAACATTTGTCTGGTAGCTTAACTGTGAAAGAAAGAAAAAATATATATTCAGCATCTGACTTGTGGTAAAAAAACAAATCGCCTAGATATAATTATGCTGTTCCTAAATGTATCCCAGTCCTGAGTTACCACTAAGAAGGATTAAACAACAACAAATTACACTTATATAGTGCCTTTCATGTCGGAAGGAAGTCCTTAAAGAACAGCATAGAAATCCTGTTTCATAGCTCTTCCTTGAACAATATCCTTAACAACAAGTTTTGGACTAAACACTCTTTCCCCTACCTTCTGGATAATAGTTTCTCCTGAAGGCTTTTTACATTTTAAACAGAAGCTCTTTTTAAAAAAAAGTTAGCAAAAGGGCCTAGGACTTTCATTCCCAATGGCTGAAAAAAGTACTTTTAATGTTAAAATACATTTAACCCAGTATCTAGCAAAGACATTTTTTAAATTACCATTATTAAAAGCCTTTGCAATCCTTGTTTGCTGAAAATTATTTTTTGTGGTATACACATTCTTAGACTCATAGAATTATATACAGCACAGAAGGAGACCATTCGGCCCATCGTGTCTGTGCCGGCTCTTTTAAAAGAGCTGTCCAAATCATTCCCACTCCCCGCGCTCTCCCCATAGCCCTGCAAACTTATCCTCCCCAAATAATTATCTACTTCTCTTAAAAGTTCTTATCAAATTGGCTTCCACCACCCTTTCAAGCAATGCATTCCAGATCCGAACAACTCGCTCCATGAAAAAATTTCTCCTCACCTCCCCTCTATTTCTTTTAACAACTACTTCAAATCGGTGCCCTCAGGTTACCGACCTCCCGCCAGTGGAAATAGTTTCTCCTTGTTCACCCTATCAAATCCCCTCATAATTTTGAAAACTTCTATTAAGTCTCCTCTTAACCTTCTCTGCTCCAAGAAGAATAATCCCAGCTTCTCTCGCCTCTCCTGATAACTGAAGTCCCTCATTCCTGGTGCCATCCTGGTAAATGTCCAATGCCTTGACATCCTTCCTAAAGTGTGGGACCCAGAACTGAACACAGTCTCTAACTGAGGCCTAACCAGTGTTTTATAAAGGTTCAGCATAACTTCCTGACTTTTGTATTCTGTGCCCTATTTATAAAGCCTGGTATCCCGTATGCTTTTTTAACAGCTTTATCTGCCTGTCCGGCCACCTTCAAAGATTTACTTATATGAACCCCCGGGTCTCTCTGTTCCTTCACCCACTTTAAGATTGTACCATCAGCTTATATTGCCTCTCCTCGTTCTTCCTCCCAAAATGCATCAGTTTGCATTTCTCCGTGTTAAACTTCATCGCCACGTGTCTGCCCATTTTACCAGTCTTCCCATTTCTTTTTAGAAATTCAATAATTACACATTCAATACATTTGTTAAATACTCCATTAGATCCAAACACTGTCAAATAAGAATTAAGACACTTAGATGCTTAAATATCACAAGACAAATTACACTCCAAGTAACTTTTTCCTGTTGACAGAAACACAATGGAACTTTCTGAAATACAGAGCCGAAAGAACACGATTCTCCAATTCTCTAAAGAATGATAAACCAAAGCACTGCTGCCGATATAACTACACAAGAATGCAGTGCCATTAAGGCATTGACTGGGGGAGACTCAGTGACAGGAAGACATTGGCTGGGGGAGACCCAGTGATACTGACTGGAGGAGACTGAGTGACAGTGACAGGGGGAAACCCAGTGACAGTGACTGGAGGAGACTGAGTGACAGAGACTGGGGGAGACCCAGTGACAGTGACTGGGGGAGACTCAGTGACTGGGGGAGACTCAGTGACAGTGACTGGGGGAGACTGAATGACAGTGACAGTGACTGCGAGAGACCCAGTGGCAATGACAGTGACTGGGGGAGACTCAGTGACAGTGACTGGGGGAGACTGAGTGACACTGAGTGGGAGAGACCCAGTGACAGTGACTGGGGGAGACCCAGTGACAGTGACTGGGGGAGACTGAGTGACAGTGACTGGGAGAGACCCAGTGACAGTGACTGGGGGAGACCCAGTGACAGTGACTGGGGGAGACCCAGTGACAGTGACTGGGGGAGACCCAGTGACAGTGACTGGGAGAGACCCAGTGACAGTGACTGGGGGAGACCCAGTGGCAGTGACTGGGGGAAGAGACTCAGCGACAGTGACAGTGACTGGGGGAGACTGAGTGACAGTGACAGGGGGAGACTCAGTGACAGTGACTGGGGGAGACCCAGTGACTGTGACTGGGGGAGACCCAGTGACAGTGACTGGGGGAGACTGAGTCACACTGACTGGGGGAGCCTCAGTGACAGTGACTGGGGGAGACTGAGTGACAGTGACAGTGACTGGGGGAGACCCAGTGACAGGGGGAGACCCAGTGACAGTGACAGAGGGAGACCCAGTGACTGGGGGAGACCCAGTGACAGGGGCAGTGACTGGGGGAGACCCAGTGGCAGTGGCAGTGACTGGGGGAGACTCAGTGGCAGTGGCAGTGACTGGGGGAGACCCAGTGGCAGTGGCAGTGACAGGGGGAGACCCAGTGGCAGTGACTGGGGGAGACCCAGTGGCAGTGGCAGTGACTGGGGGAGACCCAGTGGCAGTGGCAGTGACTGGGGGAGACCCAGTGGCAGTGGCAGTGACTGGGGGAGACCCAGTGGCAGTGGCAGTGACTGGGGGAGACCCAGTGGCAGTGGCAGTGACTGGGGGAGACCCAGTGGCAGTGGCAGTGACTGGGGGAGACCCAGTGGCAGTGGCAGTGACTGGGGGAGACCCAGTGGCAGTGGCAGTGACTGGGGGAGACCCAGTGGCAGTGACTGGGGGAGACCCAGTCCCAGTGGCAGTGACTGGGGGAGTCCCAGTGGCAGTGGCAGTGACTGGGGGAGACCCAGTGGCAGTGACTGGGGGAGTCCCAGTGGCAGTGACTGGGGGAGACCCAGTGACTGGGGGAGACCCAGTGGCAGTGGCAGTGACTGGGGGAGACCCAGTGGCAGTGGCAGTGACTGGGGGAGTCCCAGTGACTGGGGGAGTGACTGGGGGAGACCCAGTGGCAGTGGCAGTGACTGGGGGAGACCCAGTGACTGGGGGAGACCCAGTGACTGGGGGAGACCCAGTGGCAGTGGCAGTGACTGGGGGAGACCCAGTGACTGGGGGAGACCCAGTGGCAGTGGCAGTGACTGGGGGAGACCCAGTGACTGGGGGAGACCCAGTGGCAGTGGCAGTGACTGGGGGAGACCCAGTGACTGGGGGAGCCTCTCCTGTCACAGGCTGAAGCGCTGGTTCCTACAGGGGTCGAGTCTCTGAATATCCGGACCGCTGTTACTAACAGACTGGTGTGCGCCCTCTCACTGTGTATAATATAATATGAACTCACGAGTATATACAATGTTGATGATCGCCGCTGTCCTCCGATCACACACTGACCTCTCCCCTCTGCTCAGCGCCTCACAACTACACGCGCTCTGATTGGTCGTCACATCTTCCCCAACTAACGGCCGTTCCTATAGGCTGCCGTGCGGGAGCTCTGTGTGTAAGAGCTGTTCCTATTGGTCAGCCAGACCCCGAGTGACGATCCCGGCCATTGGGCAGTGACGAGACCAGCATCAGAGAGCAGAGAAACACCAGCAATAATATCATCAGCAATAATAACATCAGCAATAATAACATCAGCAATAACATCATCAGCAATAACATCTACAGCAATAATAACATCAGCAATAATATCATCAGCAATAATAACATCAGCAATAACATCATCAGCAATAATAACATCAGCAATAATATCATCAGCAATAATAACATCAGCAATAATATCATCAGCAATAACATCAGCAAAAATAACATCAGCAATAATATCATCAGCAATAATAACATCAGCAATAATATCATCAGCAATAACATCAGCAAAATAACATCTACAGCAATAATAACATCAGCAATAATATCAGCAATAATATCATCAGCAATAATAACATCAGCAATAATAACATCAGCAATAACATCAGTAATAATATCATCAGCAATAATATCATCAGCAATAATAGCATCAGCAATAATATCATCAGCAATAATAACATCAGCAATAATATCATCAGCAATAATAACATCAGCAATAATATCATCAGCAATAATAACATCAGCAATAATATCATCAGCAATAATAACATCAGCAATAATAACATCAGCAATAATAACATCAGCAATAATATCATCAGCAATAATAACATCAGCAATAATATCATCAGCAATAATAACATCAGCAATAACATCAGCAAAAATAACATCTACAGCAATAATAACATCACCAATAATATCAGCAATAATAACATCAGCAATAATATCAGCAATAATATCATCAGCAATAATAACATCAGCAATAATATCATCAGCAATAATATCATCAGCAATAATAACATCAGCAATAACATCAGCAATAATAGCATCTACAGCAATAATAACATCAGCAATAATATCAGCAATAATATCATCAGCAATAATAACATCAGCAATATCATCAGCAATAATAACACCTACAGCAATAATAACATCAGCAATAATAACATCTACAGCAATAATAACATCAGCAATAATAACATCAACAGCAATAATAACATCAGCAATAATAACATCAACAGCAATAATACCATCAGCAATAATAACATCTACAGCAAATAATAACATCAGCAATAATAACATCTACAGCAATAATAACATCAGCAATAATAACATCAGCAATAACATCAGCAATAATAACATCATCAGCAATAATAACATCAGCAATAATATCATCAGCAATAATAACATCAGCAATAATATCATCAGCAATAATAACATCAGCAATAATATCATCAGCAATAATAACATCAGCAATAATATCATCAGCAATAATAACATCAGCAATAATATCATCAGCAATAATAACATCAGCAATAATATCATCAGCAATAATAACATCAGCAATAATAACATCAGCAATAATATCATCAGCAATAATAACATCAGCAATAATATCATCAGCAATAATAACATCAGCAATAATATCATCAGCAATAATAACAACAGCAATAATATCATCAGCAATAATAACATCAGCAATAATATCATCAGCAATAATAACATCAGCAATAATATCATCAGCAATAATAACATCAGCAATAATATCATCAGCAATAATAACATCAGCAATAATATCATCAGCAATAATAACATCAGCAATAACATCAGCAAAAATAACATCTACAGCAATAATAACATCAGCAATAATATCAGCAATAATAACATCAGCAATAATATCAGCAATAATATCATCAGCAATAATAACATCAGCAATAATATCATCAGCAATAATATCATCAGCAATAATAACATCAGCAATAACATCAGCAATAATAGCATCTACAGCAATAATAACATCAGCAATAATATCAGCAATAATATCATCAGCAATAATAACATCAGCAATATCATCAGCAATAATAACACCTACAGCAATAATAACATCAGCAATAATAACATCTACAGCAATAATAACATCAGCAATAATAACATCAACAGCAATAATAACATCAGCAATAATAACATCAACAGCAATAATACCATCAGCAATAATAACATCAACAGCAATAATACCATCAGCAATAATAACATCTACAGCAAATAATAACATCAGCAATAATAACATCTACAGCAATAATAACATCAGCAATAATATCATCAGCAATAATAACATCAGCAATAACATCAGCAATAATAACATCTACAGCAATAATAACATCAGCAATAATATCAGCAATAATAACATCAGCAATAACATCAACAGCAATAATAACATCAGCAATAATAACATCAACAGCAATAATAACATCAGCAATAATATCATCAGCAATAATAACATCTACAGCAATAATAGCATCAGCAATAATATCATCAGCAATAATAACATCTACAGCAATAATATCAGCAATAATATCATCAGCAATAATAACATCTACAGCAATAATATCAGCAATAATAACATCAGCAATAATATCATCAGCAATAATAACATCTACAGCAATAATATCAGCAATAATAACATCTACAGCAATAATATCATCAGCAATAATAACATCTACAGCAATAATATCATTAGCAATAATAACATCTACAGCAATAATAACATCTACAGCAATAATATCATCAGTAATAATATCATCAGCAATAATAACATCTACAGCAATAATATCAGCAATAATAACATCTACAGCAATAATAACATCAGCAACAATAACATCAGCAATAATATCAGCAATAATAACATCAGCAATAATAACATCAGCAATAATAACATCTACAGCAATAATAACATCAGCAATAATAACATCTATAGCAATAATAACATCAGCAATAATAACATCAGCAACAATAACATCAGCAATAATAACATCAGCAATAATAACATCTACAGCAATAATAACATCTACAGCAATAATAACATCAGCAATAATAACATCTACAGCAATAACATCAGCAATAATATCATCAACAATAATAACATCTACAGCAACAATAACATCTACAGCAACAATAACATCAACAGCAATAATAACATCAACAGCAATAATAACATCAACAGCAATAATAACATCAACAGCAATAATAACATCAGCAACAATAACATTACAGCAGTAATAACATCAACAGCAATAATAACATCAGCAATAATAACATTACAGCAATAATAACAGCAACAATAAGATCTACAGCAATAATAACATCAGCAATAATAACAGCAATAATAACATCAGCAATAATAACAGCAATAATAACATCAGCAATAATAACAGCAACAATAACATCTACAGCAATAATAACATCAGCAATAATCAGCAATAATAACATCAACAGCAATAATATCATCAGCAATAATAACAGCAACAATAACATCTACAGCAATAATACCATCAGCAATAATAACAGCAACAATAACATCTACAGCAATAATACCATCAGCAATAATAACAGCAACAATAACATCTACAACAATAATAACATCTACAGCAATAATAACAGCAACAATAACATCTACAGCAATAATAACATCTACAGCAATAATGACATCTACATCAATAATATCATCAGCAATAACAGCAACAATGACATCTACAGCAATAATAACATCTACAGCAATAATAACAGCAACAATAACATCTACAGCAATAATGATATCTGCATCAATAATATCATCAGCAATAATAACAGCAACAATAACATCTACAGCAAAAATAACATCTACAGCAATAATAACATCTACAGCAATAATGACATCTACATCAATAATATCATCAGCAATAACAGCAACAATAACATCTACAGCAATAATAACATCTACAGCAATAATATCAGCAATAATACCAGCAATAATAATATCTACAGGAAATAATAATATCTACAGCAATAATATTAACAATAATAACATCTACAGCAATAATAACATCAACAGCAATAATAACACCAACAGCAATAATAACATCAACAATAATAACATCAACAGCAATAATATCAACAGCAATAATATCAACAGCAATAATAACATCAACAACAATAATAATATCAGTAATAATAACATCAACAGCAATAATATCAACAGCAATAATAACATCTACAGCAATAACATCAACAGCAATAATATCAACAATAATATCAACAGCAATAGGAACACCAACAGCAATAATAACATCAACAACAATAATAATATCAGTAATAATAACATCAACAGCAATAATAACATCTACAGCAATAACATCAACAGCAATAATAACATCAACAGCAATAATAACATCAACAATAATAACATCAACAGCAATAATAACATCAACCGTAATAATAACATCAGCAATAATAACATCAACAGCAATAATAACATCAACAGTAATAATAACATCAACAGCAATAAATACATCAATAGTAACATCAACAGCAATAATATCAACAACAATAATATCAACAATAATAACATCAACAGCAATAATAACATCAGTAATAATATCAACACTAATAATGACATGAATAATAACAATAACATCAACAGCAATAATAACATAAACAGCAATAATAAATCAACAGTAATAATAACATGAATAATAATAAAATGAATAATATCAACAATAATAATAACATCAACCATAATAATAACATCAATAGCAATAATATCATTAGTAATAATAATAACATCAACAGTAATAATAACAACAGTAATAATAACATCAGTTATAATAATAACATCAATAATAATGAGTAATAATAACAATAACATCAATAATAAAAACATCAATAATAACAATAACATTAGTAATAATAATAATAACATCAATAATAATATCAGTAATAACAATAATAACATCAATAATAATATCAATAATAACAGTAACAATAACATCAATATTCATAATAACACGAACAATAAGAACATCAACCGTAATATTAACAGTAACAATAATAGTAACTAACAATAATAACAATAGTATCAATAATAACAGTAACAATAATAATAGCAATAATAATAAAAAGGATAACAATAATAACAACTTGCATTTATATAGTGCCCTTCATGAGGTATAGTGTCTCGGAGATCTTACCACTGAGAGTACTTAACCCTGAGTGAGGGAGATAGAGGAGGTGACCACAGGTCGAAGTGGAAGGTCTTCACGTGTGATTTGACGATGGACGCGGTGGGGGTAAGGCAGAGGGAATTAGGCAGAGAATTCCAGTTTCGGCACATAGTGGCTGAAAGCACAGAAGCCAAAGGTGGAGCAGAGGTTGGAACCAACCGAACAAAGGGGACAGGGAGTGGAATGAACAAGTTTTAAATGTGAAGATATTGAAATCGATCCATTCTGCAATAGGGAGCCAACGGAGCCGGGCAAGGACTGAGGTGATTGGGGGAGGTGGAGTTTAGTATGGATAAGGATATGAGCAGTGGGGTTTTAGATCAGTTGGATTTTGTGGCTGGCGGAAAAAGCTCCTCCACAATAGCTCCACCTCTTCTTTAAAGGATAGAACAATAGCCCTTGTGATTGGCATAATAGTAATTGTATTTGGTATAATAATAATCCTTGCATTTGATATAGCGTTTTTCGCGTTTTCTGGACGCCTCAAAGCGCTTCACAGAATATACTGTAAAGTGAATTGACTGTATACTTGTGGGCGAAATGCAGCAGCCAATTGCAGACAGCAGTGTCCCACAAACAGGCGTGGATTGAGTGACCAAATCATTATTTTTATTTCTTTTTTTCTTGAGGGATTATTATCAGGCGTGTGGAGTAAGGAACCTTGCCCAAGGTTTCACCCTGATGGGAATCAAACCCAGGTCTCTCGCTTGCAAAGTGAGTGCTCTAACCACTGAGCTACAGAACTCCACTGAACTAATTGTACTTGGTATAATAACAGTAAGCTTTGTATTTGGTATAAAAATGATTGTCAGATTAATTACCAAATACAAAGCTGGGATGGGATGAAAGGTGCTGTACAAATGTAATTTGTTGTTGTTGATTGTATTTGTTATAATAGTAATAAGCCTTATATTCGGTATAATAATGATATAATAATAATAATAATAATAATAATCCTTGCATTTGATATAGCGCTTTTCACGTCGGGAGGACGTCCCAAAGCGCTTCACAGAACACACTGTAAAGTGAATTGACTGTATATTTGTGGGCGAACGCGGCAGCCAATTGCGCACAGCAATGTCTCACAAACAGTCGTAGATTGAAAATGACCAATTTATTATTGTTTTGTTTTGGAGGGATTATTATTAGGCTCTGTGTGGAGTAAGGAAACTTGCCCAAGGTTTCGCCCTCTGCCTGGAATTGAACTCAGGTCTCTCACTTGCAAAGCGAGTGCTCTAACCACTGAGCTACAGGACTCCACTATATATAATTTTGATACAATAATAGTGAAACTCAGATAACTCGCCCCTGGGATGAGTCGTCAACCCCACATAACTCATCACTCACTCAATATTCCAGGTGTTTCCCATAGGAAATTTTAGTTATGATCCTCTGATAACTAATCACTCTGGATATCTCATATGTCAAGTTTGTTGCACTTTTAAGGCAGAGTTTCCATGTAAAATACTTCTGATAACTTGTCAATGGACAAAGCAAATCTGGAATTGCAACAAAGTATAAAATTCCCAGGACTACACTTACTGATTGGATGGCAAACAAAGATAAGATTCTTTATGTCTGTACTCATGTTTTGCTAAGCATAGCAAAGCAACATGCTTTGCAGTTTATGTATCCATGCAGTTAATGTATACCAACCACCACAACAGTATCTTATATGCTTCTGTTATTCAGTTTCTTGCAATGTGTATGAGTTAAAGATTTATGAAAGCACTCTGAAAAAAAAACTTACATTTAGAAACTTTTTCCTGGACTGATTCGAGTACCTCCACATGCGTTTGGTGGGTAATACATTATAATAATATCTAATTTTATACTCAGTTAAATATCTTATGTAATTGTATTGGATATTCAAATCATTGTCCAATAAAGTATATAACAACAACAAATTACATTTGTATAGCACCTTTCACACCAGGACGTCCCATATATATATGTTACATGATAAAATATTTATTTATTAGTGACCATGCTAATTATTCAATGAAGCACTGTTAGAGAATGGCCCATTTACAGTATGCCTAACAACTGATATTTAGATAACTCATTAACTCTGATGTCATGATTTGAGCTATTTCAATTGGGGTGACAAGTTATCAGAGTTTCACTGTAATTGCATTTGGTAAAATAATAAGACTTGTATTTGATATAGTTAGCACCTTATCACATCATCAAATTGCTTCACAGAATTTGCTGTAAAGTGTACTGCCTGTGTATTTTGCGGTTGGACACAGCAGCTAATTTGTACACAGCTACGTCCCACGACAACCATGAAATGAATGGCCAATTTTATTTGGGGGATTGTTGGCGAGGACACAAAGGAGAAACTCCTTTCTCATTTCAAGGAGTGCCATGGGATTTTTAATGTCCCCTGAACAGGCAGAGAGGACCTGGTTTTAACATCTCATCGAAGAGATGGCATCTCCTACAATTCTGCCAATCCCCCAGCACTGCATTGGAGTGTCATCTTAGACTGAAGAGTTCCTAGTCCCAATGTGGGGTTTAAACCCATACCCTTCCGACTCAGGAATGCTACCAACTGAACCAGGTTGATGCAATAAATACTAAACCTGTCCTCACATCACTATTCCTAATGAAGTAGAATGCTTAAAAAATAAGATGTTAGGAAGTAAGGGAATTAAGGGGCATGGGAAAAGGTGGGGAAATGGAATTAAGATTTGTGAATGGTCTAATAAATTGCCAGAACAGCCTAATGGAGGTGAATGGCTTCCTGCTGTTCCTATGACAGAAGAAATTGCAGACACTGAAAAGTGTCGATTTTCACAAATAAGAATCTGCCATTTTCAATATTCAGACACGTGATATTAATACAAGGCTATCAATTATTAAGTCTTGAGTGTGTCATTGTTTAAGGGTACAGAGCAGGGCGGGGAAAACCATTAGGCAAGTTTCCTTACTCCATACGTCTGTTTACCTGGCAGTAAGTAGAAACCTGGTTGTTAATCAATTGGCGGATCACTTTTCCGGGTGTAATAACTCCTTCAAGAAAAACAAATAATTTGATCATCTCAATCCACGACTATTTGCGGGGACACTGCTGTGTGCAACTGGCTGCTGTGTTTTGCCCACAAAATATAAAGTCAATTCACTTTACAGTATGTTCTGTGAAGTACTTTGAGACGTCTCAAGGACATGATAAGGCGCTGTATCAAATGCAAGGATTAATACTCTCTTGAATAAAATGAAATCAATTTTACATTTGAATAATTTAACTACCTTGTATTTCCCAGCAGCTGACAAGTCTTTTGAGCTTGCAGTGGTTGTTCGGGTTGAAGCTGTCAGTCAGCTAGAATGCTCTCAGAACTAGTTCCGGCAATGTCAGCTGCTGTCAGTAAGGAGTTAGGTAGGCAGTTATTACCAGTGGAGAGATTAGATGTTACTCACCTTACAGGAACATGAAGCAAATAAGAAATATTATGAAATAGAAATCAGAAAGCTGGAAGTACTACTCAGGAGAGATCAGACTCTGGGTACGTTTAAATCTATTTGGCAGGCAAAGAGCAAACATTTACTCATTCAAGTGAGGAAAATTGACACCCGAAGTGGGTTGATGGAAGGTGCAGGAGAAAGACCACTATTTTAACCACCTACCTTATGTGAAGGGCATTTTATAAATGTAAGTTGTTGTTTTCTACACAACAGTAAAAGGAATGCAAATCTGTGTTGCTTGTCAAACAACCACAAAATTCATACAACAAAAGTGCCTTTCATGACAGGAAGAGGTTTCAAAGTGCTTCACATAGCAAGGGGTGCAGGAGGCTGAGGAGGATGAGGTGGCTGAAAGCTTTGGATCTTAAGGCAGAAGGCAAGGTGGTGGGACTCCAGTTCTCTCAGCAGACCCAACTCTCAACATTGAGATACTTATTGTTTGCATAGCTTTCATTATGAGTGTCTCACTAAAATCACATTGCTGACTTAATTCAATTTCAGCATGTTGTTTTGCACCGCCAACCTGGATTATGTCATTCAAATCATTTGCTCCTAAGAGCCATATTGTACAGCAATAAGGGTGCAGTGTTTCATTAAGTATTCCGTCTAACTTGTTACTTATTAGTAAATCAGAAATACTAATCTTTCTCAAGTAAACCACGTAGAACAATTCAGGATAAAGTTCGCACCTTAAATTGAGGTTTTACAGGAACATTTACCGAAGCTATTATTTTCTTAGGATTGAGTTTTAAGAATAATAATCTTTGCATTTGATATAGCGCCTTATCACGTCTTCGAGACATCTCAAAGTGCTTCACAGAATATACTGTAAAGTGAATTGACTGAGTATTTTGAAATGTCCACAGTGAATAATACAATTTGTAAAGGGGAAGAAAAAATAACTGGGGTAGTAAATGCAAGCTTCTAATTAAAAAGCACATCAATATCTTTGACTTTTTAAGAAAAACAGAAAGATTACAGTGATCATAAAAAGCATTTTCTTGGAAAGGACAAAATAAAACATTTGTCATGATCAGGTCATTTCAAGTTTGTTTTAATATTGTGCACCAGTGAAAATGTAATCAGGTGACTTGCACTGAACTCTGAATGAACATCAAGTGTAGGGGGCAAGTAGGACTTTCCAAGCATCCTCTAACGCAACAAAATTAATGTCATTCTGAAACACAACCGTCACAGGAAAGAAGCTACATCACAGAATATTTACAGTCCAAAGCTTCAATCTAATGCTTTTGCATAAAGTTTAGTTCACCTTTTGATCATTATGGTTTCAGATCTGATCATAGCATGTACACCGACAGATCTAGTTTTTTTTTCTCTCCAAATTTCACAAGAGTGCAGACAGGGTTAAACGCTAATATTACAATAATTACAACATGAAGTACAATTGCACAATTAACCTACATGGTTAATTTAGTACAAAAACAAGTATTAGATGTACCAGCACTAGTGGTTTTACATAGTATATCACTAGTTATAAAGGAAAATATTCCTTTCATTGGTGAAGGCCTAATAATTACAATGCTGCACATTACAGGTATACTGTCCTGGAATAAATACAAGAAATCTGGAAACTATTCATCAGCACACTTTGATTACAGTGGAACAGGAAACCACACAGCCATTTAACATGTGAGCAACACCATTTTTATTGTACAGATGTTAAATGTGAACTCGATAAATCTTTGTCAGCTACATACAGCACGAGGAAAGGAAAAGAGGGCCATCTTTCTCAACAGATGACAAACAATTCCTGAGACTGCTTTCCAAAAGCTATTTTGTGCTATTAATTAAAACACTATTGTATGGAGGGAAATCTCTAGATACCAAGATAACAACTTGAAATCACCAAGTGGGAGAGAGAGGTTTACTACAAACAAAACAACAATGAGGCAAATAATCTTAATTCATCCAATATCCAAAAATTGAATTATTATGGAAAAAAGTTTAAAAACTCAAATTATGTTTTTTTTTGTTGGAACATTAAATGGGAATTTCTGTACATAGATCAGGACACAACTATACAAGACCTGTAGATGTTAGCTGTTAATCTTTATTGTACAACTGTATGAACATAAGCTGTGACAATGCTCAATATACTTACCTGTACAAGTGGGAATAAGATCACAGTTCCTTAAAGCTAATTCACAATAAGCCATACAGACCTGGGTTTTACAGTTCAGAATCACAATGTATATAACTTTATTGCAACGGAAATTTCTAACCGCTTAATTTATGGGGGGGGGGGCGGGGTGGAGGGAAGGGAAGAGGAAATGGGGTCAGTGGCCAAATACACACATTAGCAATAATACCAGTACATTCAAGAGTGAACTGTACATCACGCAAGAAACATCCCTGATCCCCTAATTACAGTTTCTGTTTACAACTTCAGCTCGTTGGCTATTTTAGATGCAATGTTCTTGAATGCTATAGATGTCCCGGATATTCGCTTAAAACGAACACCATTTAGAGACAAACGTGGCAGCTTGCAGACTTCCATCTCCCACTGGACCAGGTTGTCCTGGCGAGCGTCCCCATGAACACAGAACAAGAGGAACCTTTCCCGCTGTTCATAGTCACAGTTATTCGCATCCAGCACCTTCCGGATCTCTCGCATCATGTCGTTAGGATCCATTGAGCTGGTGGTCTTCATACTCCACGTGAACCTCAAAGATCTTGGCTTTGAATCTTTACTCTCATCCCTCTCTCGGTCCTTTGGTTCTCCAGACATGCTCCTGAAAAAGTAGGGGAAAAAGTTCACGTTATTCAAAAACACTGAAATCTATGGAACAATGGGAGGGGCAGAGGGGTATAAATAAATACAGATCAGCTATGAGCTTATAGAATGGCAAAACAGGCTCGAGGGGCTGAATGACCTACTCCTGTTCCTATATTCCCATAAAAATTATAAACTACATTTGATACGATTTTCACGTCAGGAGGACATCTCAAAGTGCTTCACAGGATTTATTGTGAAGCGCAATGACTGTTTTTTGGAGTAGAACTTGGCGGCCAATTTGCACACAGTAATGTTTCACAAACTAAGTGAACGACCAACTCTATTTCTAGACTGGACGTGAAAGGCGCTATACAAATGTAATTTTGTATTGTATTGCTTAGTACATTTTTTTGTAGAATAACTCTGAATTTATTTGTGTGTATAATTGTTAAATAAAATTTAGGTAATAGAATAAAGGCAACTTCCTTCATTAAGGATCAATTTCCTTCAGTAATTCTGAAGTAATTCTGGCTGCAGGGAAATAAAGGTACGCTGACCAAGTTTACCAACAAACTTAACCTGGGCTTCTTTATACTTTTTGGAACACTGCATGCACATTTATATACCATCACTCAACTGTTGAAAACATGTCCTTTTAACAAGTGGCCCATTTAATTAAAAAAAGGTTCGGACACTCCATGCTGAACAAAAAGTGTTAAGTAAACCTTTGTTTGGGAAGGTGGATGTATGCAGTGCTCATCAGATTTAGCTTGTGTTTTGATGCCAGGTACATCAGTGCACTGGATGTTCAGTAAAAATAAAGGCCACCAAACATTTATATACGTGTTGGTGCCCTTTTTCACTTCCTTAGATTTTTTTGGGATGGAGAGGAGTTACACAGAACACATTTGCTTCCACATTTGCTTAGTACATATTCTTTTTCAAGCAACCTATACTTTCAAATATCTTGCCATCGCATACCAACATTATACTATTCAATAAAATCATGAACATCCTGAGAGATAGGATTTTGAATCAATATTAATGATGATTCCTCACCTTGCGGTGTCAGCTCTGTTGCTACCTTCAACATCAATAGGGCCCCTCAAAAGCAAATCAGAATTAAGATTCAGTGCAAATGCAGGAAATAAAACTACAACGTGAACAATGAAGCCAAAAGAACCTAAATTTTAAATTACATGACAATAAAGCAATGAATACGTAACTGTTACAAAAAATACACAAGTACAGAAAAGCACATTTACTTCAATTTAAAGAAATAACACTTCTGACTTTGACTATGTGCCAGGTGAATTATTAGGGTTCAAGGTTAAAGATGCAGGGTTTTGTACAAACAGTATGTTTAGAAGAATTATGCATCATAGAGTACAGTACTTCCACTATCACACTAACCAAGAAATATACTCTTATTTTGGGGGGGACTGGAAAACAAAATAAGTAGATACTTTACAAGAAACACAAGTTAAAATATATATTTGTTTGTAAAACTTTAGTATATCCTATAATTACAATTATTATCAATATAACAGCCTATTGTAAGCACCATTCGGTTATAAGTGGAACTGCTGAGCCGGACACATCACAATATTAGCTGCTATTTGTTTTTGGGAAGAGCATATGTGTACTCCAGAGAATGAGTGTCAACAGGTTGAGAGACTAATGGGTTGGAGGGTGGGATAGATGGGGAAGAGGTCACAGACAGAACCAGTCCTGTCCTTACCCAATGCCCATACACATGCACTTTCGAACAAAAGTCATTGGATAACGATCAAAAGCGGGCACAATAGCCTGATGTTTCCCCCTCCTAAAACCAACCAAAATTTAAGACTTCAAGATTAGTGTGACAGGGTACACAGAAAGGGTGCTAATATTTAATACAATTTAGAACATTTAAAATCCTTGTATGAATCAAGGGCTTTTACATAAATGTAACACGTATGGATTTTTTTTAAAAAAAGAGTCACAACAGTCTGTTCTTCACAAATGAAAAATCTTACAGGGCTGGTGTAATGGATATCTTGTTCACATAGTTTATAACAAAATGGTAGGTCAAATTACTTTCACACCCAAAGACCAAGCCTTTGTAAAACTAGAATGCGTAAAACTCATGCATTTATTTTGCTAATCCTTTGTAATAATATCGGCAGTGATGCTCCCTGTTCTTGTCAGGATACACATAGCTACATAGAGTGATACGGCATGGAAACAGGCTAATTTGGCCCAACCAGCTCATATCAGTGTTTATAATCCACCCATCCTATTCCACTCTCCTCCCAATACCACATCCAAACAATCTGTGTAAAACAAAAAATCTTGAGGTAATAATTTTAAACTGATGTCATTTAGCTACTAACTAGTGGTAAGCACCTCCACATAACTTGATATCAGCAATGAGTATTTATATATATATATAAATATATATATATCAAACCTGACATTAACAAAAGCTCTTTTATAAATAGGCTGTTGGTATTGACTCTATAATGACTTTAGCAATGAATACTTCTATAATAACACTTCTATTAAGAGTGAGAAACTTTATGTCCACTATAGCCTGATATGAACTTTGTCAATATAAAACTACTTGCACTTACTTAGCACCTTTCATGTAGGATGAATTTCTGAAAGTTCTTGTATAATTGTAACTATCTTCTGCAGCTGTCGTGCAGTTAGATATGTACTGGTTTTGTGTGTGCGTGTGCATTCACAATTGTTTGTTAATGAATAAAGATTATTTTGGGACAAAAAAAATCTAGGGAGCTGGGAAGGGAAAAACAGACTTAATCACCTTTATGTAGCCTGATATTAACAGTGAATATCTATCTCTGTATAAACTGAGCAATGAGCACTTCTATATAGATTGAGATGACAGCCTCACCAGCAAGTCAGTCAGCCCTGAGATTGCCCTTTCCTCCGAGCAGGAAGAGCCCGAGCGTGGTGATCGCACCAGACATTAAATCACCAAATTGAGGGAGAAGGGAAAACATGTAATGTAGGTATCAGCCTGAGAAGAAGCCTCCACTTAATCACACATTTTCCTAATGCAATTCTATCACATAATTCTGTACTACAATGATCATGTATATCGTGTACTGCCAGTTGTTGTGGGAAAGGTTTCTTGAGCCTGCCATATTTCCTCAAGACCAGATTGTCTGACTGAGTTTATTCACAGATACTCGTCCTTTGTTGCAGAAAAAAGCCAGACAGTCACGTGACTAGATTTTGTAATAAGGACAGGAAGAAAGTGAAGTGATCCAGGATAATATAAAAAACATATAACGTAGTACAGTACTAGTTACCCAGGAAAGTCCAATCCCATCTGTTTATTTTTATTTGTAATAATCTGTGCATTTGATATAATGCGTTTCCCCCCCGTTGGTAAGATGTTTCAAAGCGCTTCACAGGAATTTACTGTGAAATGTAGTGACCCGTGTATTTGTAGGAAACAAGATTAATAGTTGGGGACAGTTGATAAAAACAAAAAACAATCCTTGCATTTGATATAGCGCCTTATCACGTCTTCGAGATATCTCAAAACGCTTCACACAATATACTGTAAAGTGAATTGACTGTGTATTTTGTGGGCAAAACGGGTGGAAACAGGTTTTGAAAATATTATCTACAGCAGCCATTTTCAAGTGCGACAACCCTAGAAATCCTATCCATCCCTACACTACAAGAGTTTCATTATTCCTTAAGGGAATTACCTGACAAAGAGTAAATTATTCATTTTCCTCACTATTTTTCCCATCCTCACCTGAAAACATTTTGAACCAATCCTTAATTCATGTATGAGCCTCAACAATCTCGTCAGGTTATTTGGCCACAACCTTGTCCTCACCCTACCTAACATTTACAACACACACACCTTCAGCAGGACTGGATAGCAAGCTGGAGCAGGAGTCAAGCTTTCATTTTGTTTTTCTCTACCCTCGGCCCTGTCACTAACCTTAGTGCTCCGAATGCCATCCCTGCTGAGGTCAGCTAACTGAGCACAGACCTGGAATCCAAACTGGCACATTCCTGAACTATACAGCTTAGCAACTCATTGAATAAACTTTCCGAAGCATCAAGGAAGCCTTTTGTTCTTTGATTGCTTCAAGAAGTTTGTCATTTAACTGTATAGAGAGAAAAATAACCCTTGCATTTTATGTAATGCCTCATGAGGTTAAAACTTCTCAAAAAACTTCATATAATAAATTACTTTGAAGCACTTTGACTTATGTAAGCAAATGCAGTTACTAAACTGTACCAGCAACATTCCATAAGCAGCAATGAGACAAATATCAAGTTAGTTTGTGCTTAGAGAGCAATCTAATAGAATCGACTTGATTTGGCTCTCAAGTTAAACATCCATCTCCTGTTTCCAGTAGCCCAATGGGATTCAGTTACTTGCTTGCATTTTCTCCCTTGGAAGAAAATCAAACACCATCAAAAACTTGCACTTGTATAATGTCTTTCATTTAGGATAACATTTCAGAACACTGTACAGACAGAGTCCATGGAGGGTAGGAAACGGGGAGGTAGGAGGGAGGTGGCTGAAGGTGCAGTCAAAGAGAGGTAGGTTTTAGAAGAGTTTTGAAAGCAGGGGGAGGGAAGAAGGGAGAGGGATTTGGGGGAGAGAGTGTCTGAGAGCAGACACTCAGACACTCATTGGTAAGGCAGAGACATTAGAAGGTGTGTAGCAGGCTCCAGTTAGCAGAACAACAACAACAACAAGATTCCATTTATAAAGCGCCTTTCACGTCAGGAGGACGTCCCAAGGCGCTGCACAGTTGGGTCATGACCCGAGCAGGGGGGAAATGGTCAGGGTGAGGGAAGGGAGGGAGCGAGGAGGGGGGAAATGGTCAGGGTGAGGGGAGGGAAGGGAGGGAGCAAGGAGGGGGAAATGGTCAGGGTGAGGGGAGGGAAGGGAGGGAGCGAGGAGGGGGAAGAGAGTCGAGAGAGGAGCTGAAGGCTCGGTCAAAGAGAAAGGTTTTGAGACCGGCCTTGAAGGAGGAAAGGGAGGAAGCGGCGAAGGCACTGGGGGATGGAGTTCCAGAGCCTGGGGGCTGAGAGGCTGAAGGCCCGACCACCGATGGTAGGGCGGTTGGGGCGGGGGACGTGGAGCAGACCGGAGCCAGAGGAACGGAGGGTACGGGCAGGTAGGTAGGGGGATAGTAGGTTGGAGAGGTAGGAGGGAGCAAGGCCGTGAATGGCCTTGTAGGTGAGGATGAGGATCTTGAAATCAATCCTCTGGGGGATGGGGAGCCAGTGGAGGCGAGCGAGGGTGGGAGTGATGTGGTCCCGAAGCCTGGTGCGGGACAGTACACGAGCTGCAGAGTTCTGAATGACCTGCAGCTTGTGGAGGGAGGTGGCGGGAAGGCCGGCGAGGAGAGAGTTCCCATAGTCCAGCCTTGAGGTGACAAAGGCGTGGACCAGGGTTTCAGCAGCGTGAGGGGTGAGGTAATGCCGTAGTCTGGCGATGTTCCGGAGGTGATGGAAGGCGGTGCCAGTTGTGGTGCGGATGTGAGGGAGAAAGGACAGCTCAGGGTCGAACAAAACGCCGAGGTTCCTGACTGGCTTTGAGAGGTGGAGAGTGCAGCCTTGGATGCTGATGGTGTCAGCGCCTGAGGTGCGGAGGCGCTGACGTGAGCCAATCAGGAGGGCCTCGGTTTTTCGCACGTTGAGCTGAAGAAAGTTGTCTCTCGTCCAGGACTCGATGTCGGACAGGCAGCTGTCAGGACATCGGTGGTCGTGGAGTTGAGAGTAGAGGAGGAAAGGTAGAGTTGGGTGTCATCCGCATACATGTGGAAGTTAACTCCATGTCTGCGGATGATGTCACCGAGGGGGAGCATATAGAGGGTGAAGAGGAGGGGACCGAGGACAGAGCCCTGAGGGACACCACATGAGACAGTACGGGGGGTGGAGGAGAAGCCATTCGTCGAGACAAAGTGAAGACGGTGAGAAAGGTACGACCTAAACCATTCAAGGACAGTGCCTTGAAGGTTGAGGTGGGAGGACAAGCGGTGGAGTAGGATAGCGTGGTCGACCGTATCGAATGCTGCCGATAGGTCGAGGAGGACGAGGAGACAGAGGGAGCCCTGGTCACAGATGGTCAGGATATCATTGGTGACCTTGACCAGGGCAGTTTCTGTGCTATGGGCAGCACGGAAACCTGACTGAAGGGGTTCGAAAAGAGAATGGGTGGAAAGGAAAGAGCGCAGTTGGGAGGCGACAACTCTTTCCAAGACCTTGGAGAGAAAGGGGAGGTTGGAGATGGGCCGGTAGCTTGATAGCTGCGACGCATCAAGGGAGGGTTTTTTCAGGGTGGGCGTGATGATGGCAGTTTTTAATGGAATGGGGACAGAGCCAGAGGAGAGGGACAGGTTGATGATGTCAGTGATATGTGGGGCAAGAAAGTGGAGCTGGGAGATAAGGAGTGGAGTGGGGATGGGGTCAAGGGAGCAGGTGGTTGGTTTTAGGGATAGGATGAGTTCAGTGACAGAGGGTGGGGAAACGGGTACGAAGGTGTGTAGGGGAGGATGGGTAGGAGTCGGAGTGTGGGAGGGAAGGGGTGGGTGGTGGGTGGAAGTTGGAGGGGAAGTGACCGCGGAGCGGATTCCCTTGATCTTGGATTCAAGGAAATCCAGCATCTCCTCGCAGTGAAGGTTGGAGGAGATGACCTGCGCGGGGTGGCGGGGGGGACGGAGGAGTCGGGTTGTGGTGGAAAACAGTAGCCTGGGGTTGTTCTTCGCCTCCAGGATTATCCTGGAGTAGAAGGACGACTTGGCCGAGGCTAGAGTGGAGCGGTAAATTTTGAGGAGGTCCAGCCAGATTTGTCGGTGGACCGTTAGGCCAGATTTGACACAGGTGCGTTCAGCAGCCCGCACCTGGCTTTTCAGTGAGCGGAGGTGGGTGGTGTACCAGGGGGAGGAGCGGGAGTAGGAGACAGTGCGGGAAGTGATGGGGGCAAGAGTATCGAGTGTGGAGGAGAGGGTATTGTGGAGGAGGGAGAGAGGAGAAGAGGGGTCGGTGAGGGTTGAAGGCCAGAGGGAGAGGAGTTCAGAGGACTCCAAGGCATCGGTTAGGGATTGTGGGGGTAACTTCTTCCAAGGGCGGTAGAAGATGGTGGTGGGTCTGGTGGAGGTGGGGAGGGGGGTGGAGGTGGTGAAGGAGATGAAGTAGTGGTCAGAGATGGCCTTGTCGGTAATAGTGACATCCGAGACACTGAGGCCCCGGGTGATCACCAAATCGAGTGGGTGGCCGTGACTGTGAGTGGGGGAGTTTATGTGTAAGGAGAGGTTGAGTGAGGAGAGCAGGGAAGAGAAGTCTGTGGAGATGGAGCAGGAGGGTGTGAAGTGTAGGTTAAAGTCGCCCAGGATGATGAGGCGATCAGAGGAGAGGCAAAGAGATGTGAGGAGTGTTGAAATGTCAGAGATGAAGGTGGGAGAGGTTTTAGGGGGCCGGTAGAGGAGGATTTTAAGGGAGAGGAATGAGGGGTGGGAGAGGGTGAGGTGCTCAAAGGAGGGGAAAGAACAGAGACAGTGGACAGGAATACAACTCTGATCAGAAATGCACCATTGTTTATGGTATTTTTAATTCAATATCCAAGTCCTTAACGGCTGTGCTGCATCAGAGAACACAGTCTCCTTTTTATACCATATTCTTTTAAACAAACATGGAAAGAACGAGCAAACTGCCTGGGGACTCGTGAGACACAACAAAGGGTGAACTGTCCATCAGCAACAACAACTTGCATTTATATAGAGCTGTTCACACAAGATAGTGTCACAGAGTGCTTAATAATGAGAAAATCTGACGCTGAACTGGGGAGAAACATGAAGCCACTATAGGCATGGTTGAAGATGATAATCTTGACTTGTGACCTGAAGACGGGCAAAAAGGGAGCAAGACAGTGGGATTGAGGCATTAAATAAAGCAATTCATTGAGTTAGAGACAGCCAATTAAAATGCCACTCAGACACATGACATACTAGTTCAGTTCCAACACTGGAAGCATGCAGTGCCTGAGGTTTGAGGGAATGTAAGGGAGCTTGCAGCTACAGACCCCAACTTCGCTTCGGTGAATCTGGAGTTCCTCTTACACTCTTGCCACTCACCACCCCTTGTCTTTAATATGTGACATTGAGCTGCAAATCGATCATATGGAACTGCCCACACAATTCAATTCCAGATGTTTTGGAATGTAGCCCAGCCGAAACTAATGTGTAATCTAGTTAAACCAGCTTAACTTTCTCAAGCACACAGTCTCCTTTCTTCAAGTGTTCTGCAGGGTAAACTGCAGTCTATCCATGTGTTGAGCAAGTCTGTTAATAAGAATTAATGACCAATGCTTGGAGCAGAGATCTCACAGGTCGGTGTGATCATATAGCTATGCTTACTTTCCAAGAATTCCTTATTAAGGAATTCCATTACAAATTGGGACAATTTTGTACACCATTGTTAGATGTCAAAGTCTTGGTAAGTCTACACTGGGGACATCCCTTCTATAAATCTCTTTCCTGATCCAAAATCAAGTCCTGAACAATTCAAGGAACAACTAATCACTTTCACAAGAGGGTATGGACACAAACCACAAGAGGAAAAGTAAACAGATAATGTAGATACAATTCTGTTGCACACAGAGAGAGGAGAGTATAAAGCTGACCTCTTCTGGTTTAGACATATAGATCCCTAATAATATCTCAGTGTTACACATACACATATGCACATGGGTGCTGTGTATCTACTTGCATATGCTATACCTTAGAAACATTAAAGCTGCTTCTAAGTCACCAGCATTCACAAACACACTGCATTCTGGATTGCAGCATCTGTCTTTATGGAAGCACCGGTCTTAATTACACAGATACTATCTAATTTGTATCACGATAGAATTTCCTGACACATGTCAACATGGACAGGATTCCAAACACTGCACAGGTCCTGGCGTTATTAGACAGAGATGTTATGAAGACTGTTAAGAGCATTATTGGTTATCTTACAAACTATAGCAGCAATAGCCTTTTTACAAGGGAAATTGCTTGAGGTGGTGGGGGGGTGGGGGTGTGGAGGGAAGGGAAGGCTGAGGGTTGGTAGCATTACTTAAACATGGGCATCAAGGACAAGTAACTTAAAAGTACAGGCCAAACAAGGTTAGGTAGATTCCATTCCACAGTAATTGGGGAAAGTGGAAGCAAACATACAACATTTGCTCCTACCTTCTGGGAAACCTGAAAGACAGGGTTCTATAAACAGAAAAACACACTGTAAGTCTGGCATAATCCTCATGCTGCAATGGACAACAGTTCAGAATTTGATAATTAAGATAAGCGCACATTCAATACCATTACGAGTAGTAACATACTGTATTTGCGTGAAAGATTTTACATTAACACGTCAACAGTTTTGCACTGAACTGTTAAAATATGATTTCAATATTTTCTTTGAAAGAAAAAAGTAGTTTTTGACCCTAACAAGTAGGAATATGCATTTGGGAGATAAAAGTACAATTGATTTAAATATTAGGAATGGCCTGTGGATCTGACAGTTTTGCTGATGAGCTTTACAAAAGGTAGCTTCAGCTAGATAAGCAGCATTGAGTCAACTGTAGAACAAGTTGAATAATCCTAACCTATGATCTTCAATTGCACATTATTCTGTGTACTCACTCTTAGTGATCTACTGCACATCAAAACGCTCCACATGTTTTTATAGCAGTCTTTGCTCCCCCAAAAAGGAGTTTACCTATTGTCACAAATATTTAAGAGTGGTTTAGGACAACTGACATTTTTTACGGTAGGTGAGCTATGAAAAAAGAGTACTACGCGAGTGAGGTAGAGCATTGTATCCTGTAAGATAACAGAGGGAATAGGATATTTAGAACAGGGCATTTTCAGAATGAATGTCAGTGGCAACATTGCGTGACTGCTCCGTATCTTCACTGCAGATGAGAGTTGCGTGAAGCAAACCGATTTTACTCCATAAGAACACATAGTCTCTGTGAGCTGATGTCACTTACCAGATGAGGTTTAAATTGTTCATGCACCATTTCTCATTACTGTAGAACCTATGTTACTGTCAACGGTGTCTGAGAGAACACATTTGTTATCTAATAGACAGCGACAAGTTTTTTTTAAATAAAATTATCATTTTATAAAAAAAACTTGCATTTATTGAATCAAGATGAAGAAGAGAGCTTGGGCTACCAACCTGCGGGCGAATTTGGATGTGATCTTGCTTATTAACCCGGTGGAGGTCCCTCTTCGAGCTTGTGAGAGAACGCCGGTGTCATGTGACAGCGTGGGGGAGGCCGGTGGGCCATTGTAGGTGGCTGTGCGGCGTTCCCGAAGCTGAGCACCATGGAATGTGCTTCGGCTGGAGCTTCCTCGAGGAAAGTGGGTCCGGTCCGGGGTAGTCGTGCTAATACTGTGCGCAGAAGGAGAAGCAGCGGGTACCCTTTGTGCTGCCGAGCTGTATTAGGAAAGACAATTTAATATAATGATAATCCTTGCATTTGCTATAGCGCCTTATCATGTCTTTGAGATGTCTCAAAGCTCTTCACAGAACATACTGTAAAGTGAATTGACTGTATATTTTGTGGGCAAAATGTGGCAGCCAATTGCGCACAGCAGTGTCTCACAAACATATTGTGGATTGAGTAAACAATTATTTTTTTTTGAAGGAATTATTACCCCCGGAAAAGCGATCCACCAATCTACTAACAACTGGCTTCCTACTTACTACTAGGTAAAGAGAGGCGTGTAGACTAAGGAAACTTACTCAACGTTTCGCCCTGCCCGGGAAACAAACCCAGGTCTCTCACTTGCGAGTGCTCTAACCACTAAGATACAGGACTCCAATTTATCACATTGACTCATCTTGTGTTCCTACACGTCCTTCATCTCTCTCTCCCATATTGTTCCACTTTCTCCCTTCCTTCTCCTCCCCTCCCCGCCCAGTAACTTTGACAAAAACAAGTCTTACCTATTTATCCTCTGAAAGTTCACTCACTCTCATAATTTCAACATTATTATGACAATGAAAAAAAACTCCAGGTTGGTCTTAAAATAAGATTAGAATTGTGTTGGGTGATGAATAAGAGTTTGTGGCAGTAAGCATGGTTCAAACCTTTTTCATCTAAATGGATAGAGTACAAGCTAACAGAAATCTCCCTTAATAAGGAGCATTCCTTATTACAGCTTTGAGACCCTTATGTCCCAATTTTGTCCCCAGTTTTCTTTTCAAAACTTTTTGACTCCCTTTTTGTTTCTTGAATCAAAATGGTGTCTATTCACATCTTGACAGTGAACGCTATTATTGCTGTTCAGCACCAGGAGGCATCAGCTAATCATGTCCTCACTTTAGATGGACACACGCATGCAAGGGTGCCTGGATTATCCTCTTTTCCACTTACAGACAGGTCAGGATGAAGAAGGCCCTACCCAGAATTCCCACCAAAGCACCAGGCTGTTCCTTGTCTGATTCTAGTGTCCTAGCCTCAATCGTTCCTGGTAACCCAGTTCCATTGATTACATGCTCTGTGAAGAAATACCTCCTGGTGTGTGTCCAGAAATTGCCTTTCACAACCTGTGGCTCTCTGTCTTGTCCTCCTGCCTTGGCGCAACACTCCCACAACTCATGGGTTGCAGAGATCATTTAGACTGTCCAAAAAATGCTACCAAGCTGAGATCCACCCAGTCAGCAAGCCTGCAATATTCTGGTTAGTATACATGTGTTAGTGCTCTGGAGTCCTGTAGCTCAGTGGTTAGAGCACTCGCTTTGCAAGTGAGAGACCTGAGTTCAATTCTAGACAGGGCGAAGCCTTGGGCAAGTTTCCTTACTCCACATGCTTATTAATAGTCACTCCAAAAAAAAAAAAAACAATAATAAATTGGTCATTTTCAATCCACGACTGTTTGTGGGACACTGCTGTGCGCAATTGACTGCCGCGTTCGCCCACAAATGTACAGTCAATTCACTTTACAGTATATTCTGTGAAGCGCTTTGGGACATCTAGAAGACGTGAAAAGCGCTATATCAAATGCAAGGATTATTATTATTATTATTATTTTTCACTACCTGGAACTTTCCCCCGCTCAGTGAGCAGCAGCACACAACCGACCCGTGATCAGGCTTTCAGCACATTCGCCCTCACTCTCTGGAACTCCATCCTGGAGTCCCTTCACCTTGCCCCTTGAAGGTTCGTCTCAAGACCTTCCTCTTTGACTGCACTTTGGCCATCAATCCCACCCAAACTCAGGTGCGAACCTTAAATTGTCCATTGTATTGGAACGCTTCTATAAGTGTAAATTGTATTGTACACTTTGGAATCAGCAGAGGAAATCAAACCTTAACCACATGAGCATCAAGTGGAAATGAACATCCATGGACATTCCTTATCCCTGCCTAGCATAAACAGGTTTTAATGGATGCATAAATATTTAGCAATACCGTTTAGCTATTGTACACAGAACTGGGAGATGCATAACTGTTGCACACTTTAACTCACTCAGGACGGAAGGGTTGACTTGCTGTGTTAAAAATAAAATGTGTTAAAGTGGGAAGTATTCTAATTTGACGGAAAGTGGTAAAACTCTCCAAAGCTCTTAAATTCCCCTGAAATTATATGGTCTAGAATTGTCTTCAAAAATACGGTTATTTGTGGGTCACTGGCAATACATTTCAGCAGAATCTCAATTTATTAAATATACCAGATTTAATCAGCAGCTCTCATGGACTCTATAAGGAGCTCTGTGATTATGTTTGATTAAGACCCAAATTACTTGAAGGAACTGGTGACCGGAAAATAAGTGCTTGCTTAACATGCAGCTTGAAACCAGAACACTGCACACTCTGAACCTTGTCAGCCCTTACCTGGATCGATAGCCTTCGCTGCCGTCCTCAATGGGAGGCAGTGTAACCTTGATGGGGTGACCAGAGGCAGACATGGATTTCTGGTGTCGAGGCCGGGCTGAGGCTACTACTCCAGTGGAGGATGTTGCAGGACTGTTGGCAGAAATGTAAACATTATTTGCACAAGCAGGTACTTTAAATAATAGACTAAAATACACATGGGCCAAAGCCAATAAATAAAAGAAGGCAGGGCAAAAAATCCAACTTTCAACGTTTTACACAGGAGCCTGACATGATGTTGATTTGGGACAAACAAAAGTTCATTTCTTTCATTGTTCACATTTTCAATAAAAGGCTCCCATCTCTCGTTTCAACAGATGGTGCTTGGCTGCCTGTATATATTCACACTGCCTGTATATTAAATGAGTCATCTTAGCATATTATTATGAATATTCTTACATTTGGTATAGCACTTCTCATGTCGGGAGGATGTCTCAAAGTGCTTTACAGGATTCACTGTAAAATGTAGTTACTATCTTGTGGATGAATCTGGCAGCCAATTTGTGCACAGCAGCGTCCCGCAAAACAGCTATGAAGTGAATGATGAATTTTATTTTGGGGTTTGTTGGCTAAGACACTGGGAGAAAGTCCCTTCTTCCAATGTGCTGTTTCAATTTAAAAAATGTCAGCTATCTGCGCTGCTGTCTACCTAGCTCTCAAGCAGTATAAATAGAGGTGTAGAGCGCACCGAGACGTAGTTTATAAAATTGTTTGCCCCTAGATTACACAATGGCAGGCTGCTCCCTAACTGCACTGCATAAACATGGGCATCGCTCAACATTTACATTGGCTTTCCAAATGGTTTCGAAATGCAGTATTTTTGTGCATTGTAAATTTTATGAGGGGACGCTTTGTGGAAAGGGAGAGTGGAAAATATGCAAAATTACGAATTGCATCCTGCTATAACCAGGGACACTATAACTCATACATTTAATGCAATTTAAATAGAAGTTAGTCCTTTACAGTATAGTTGACCTTTTCAATTAAGCCATGTTAGAGCCACGTTTAGACTATGTCAGGGATGAAGATAGTGACATTTAAATTTCTTTTCAAGAAACATTTTGAAAATTTTAAGTAAAGCCCTGTTAAGTCGCAATAGCAACAGTGCATGTTTATGCATTCTGAAATGTATTGCATCTGCGTGCATTGTATCTGCATGCAAATATGAAGACACTAGATGTTCTCAGTCATTAATCTATCATTATCCCTTGAAAACCGTGCTTTTAAGATCCCTGATGCTTTACTCAGCTAGTGCAGGGCATTCTTGGCCTCGCCCTACTAAAACTATCCTTTATTCAGCAACAAGTCTCTGCTCTTATTTGGTTGAGCCATCTAGTTCTTGTTGCCGCTATTGTGGTTTTCCATAGCTGTTGTGCTTATCTTCTGGTAGACGATCCATCTGGGAGTAGAGTTCGCACTTTCCAGACAAACTGAACCCACAAATTGGGCACTCTTAAAGCAAGATGATGGATTTCTGCATGATGTCGAACACCCGGCTGACCAATCAAAGAAACAAAGGGTGCTCAGCGGTCGCCAGGCTTTGTGATAATCATCCTAGACAATCAGCAAGATACCAAACTTTCCACTTCTCACCTGCTGTCTTTTCCATTCTGTACAGCAGAGTAGCCCGTGGAGCGTTCACATACGTATGTGTTCCGTCGGGTCATGCCACCTCCAGGAAGCACATTGTTCTGAAACATTAAACGAACCAGCACAGTTTGAAATTAGATAATTGTTGCTCTCTTTTTTTTAAAAAAAAATCTAATTTTAGCTTGAATAATTCACACCAACATTGCAACAATTTCAAATCTGTCAGAATGTTATTAAGTTACTGTGCTGGTGAATAAGATAAAACATGCATGAAAATACACCTGCTGCTAACTTTCATAACATAACATGTAGGAGCAGGAGTAGGCCATTCGGCCCTTCGAGCCTGCCCCGCCATTCAATCATGGCTGATCTTCTAATCTAACTCCAGCTAATAACCTAACCCTGCCTTATCCCCATATCCCTTAATCCCTTTTGCAATAAGAAATTTATCTATCTCAGTCTTGAATATGTTCAAGGACTGAGCGTCAACAGCTCTTTGGGGTAGTGAGTTTCATACATTCACCACCCTTTGAGTGAAGAAGTTCTTCCTCAACTCAGTGCGAAAGGGCTGGCCTCTGATTTTAAGGTTGTGACCCCTGGTTTTAGTTTCTCCAACCAGGGGAAACAATCTCCCACTATCTACTCTATCATGCCCTTTGATAATCTTATAGGTTTCTATAAGATCCCCTCTAATTCTTCTATATTCTAGAGAATATAGGCCCAAATTGGTCAGCCTATCCTCGTAACTCATCCCCTTCAACCCTGGTACTAACCCAGTAAATCTACGCTGCACCCCCTCCAAGGCAAGTACATCCTTCCTTAAATAAGGAGACCAAAACTGCACACAGTATTCCAGGTGTGGTCTCACCAGGGCCCTATACAGTTGCAGCAAGACTTCCCTACTCTTATACTCAAATCTTTTCATAATGAATGCTGACATACCGTTCACCTCCCTAATTGTTTGCTGCACCTGCAGACTAACTTTCTGTGATTGGTGTACAAGTCCCTCTGGACGCTAACACATTCCAATCTCTCCCCTTCTAAAAAGTAACCCGCTCTACTGTTTTTGCTCGCTCGGTGCATGACTTCGCACTTCCCTACATTATACTTCATCTGCCACCTACCTGCCCAATCACATAACCTATCTATGTTTCACTGCATTTTTTTAATGTCGTCCTCTGTGTTGACACTTCCTCCTAGTTTTGTGTCATAAATACTGACATCAAATGTGGCACTGTTTGTCATTTAGTAAACGAGGAAACTGACAACTAGGATGAAGAGAGCCAATGTGAATTTTGCATCAAAACACATGCAGTACTCAAGAATCATTGAATATTGCTGCACTTATTTAAGATAATGTATTTGGGCTACTGTGCCTGTGCCTGTTATATCCAAGAGCTACCTGTTGAATCATACTCCTCTGCCTTCCCTTCATACTCTTTTATGACTTTCCTCTACATGTTCCAATATTTGTCTAATTCCCTTTTAAAAAGCTATTGTGGATTCTGATTAAAGGAAACAGTGCAATAATAATTGCCACAGTTAGAACAAGGCACTTTCAGGAAAGACAAAGTACTAGAAAATCTATGGGGGTATCTTGAAGCAGATTACTGGAAAGAAAAATCTGTAACCATCGATACAATCAAACAGCCTAGGGCAGTGCATTAATTTCAAGTGTTGGGCTTCTGTCAGTTCCCAGATGGCCTGTTGACGTAAGGGATAGAACCCTCCTCCCAGGGAGAAAATGGATAGCGATACATCTTATCCATCTCTTCTTAGCTAAACTAAATATGATGGTGGAGATGTGGAAGAATCCGTTCAGAGGTAAGAGATTAAAAAAAACTAGCAGAGTGGTAGTGAAAGGGAACATGGGGGAGATAACACACATCATTATGTGCTTTGGAGGGTCACCAGTAAAGAGCTACCTATTCTCTCCCATATCCTTCACTCTGCCAACTCTGGTCTTGTTGACTGCTTAGTCCTTCCTCCCTCTGCCCCCCCCCATCAATGTGAGAGGTACTATGGTCACGTGAGTAATTGTAGCTCACATACTAAAGTGGCTAAAAGGACCTTTCCAATCCACTTTTATTGAAAGCATCTGCAGATATAGAATTGCAGTACAGAAATGGATGGCACTCGGCCCATCAACAATAACAACAACAAAATTACATTTGTATAGCACCTTTCACGTCCGGAGGATGTCTCAAGGCACTGGACAGTCAGAGTTTCGGATCCGAGCTGGGGGTTGGGATTAGGGAGGGTGGATAGCAGGGGGGGATCATGCCTTTATTTGCTCTTTGAAAGATTGACTGATTTAGTCCCATTCCCCTGTTCCATCCTCATATGTTTTTAGATTTTTCTTTTTAAAATACTGTTTTCAAATTTTTATAATTCTCTATTACAGACCTCATTTCCAAAAATGTGTTTTGATAGTATCAAATTAGATTTTTCTTTTAAAAAAATTGTTTTAATACAAATTATCTTTCAAAATCAACATCATTCATTTGTAAACTGTTTTTCTGCTGTACATTTTAACACCACCAAACTGCAGATCTCTTAACAAGATTCCTTTGATGTATCTATCTTGACTTCTAATAACCCTGAACCCTATTAGTCAACTGATACTTGTCTAGGTTTTTTTCTAATTCCCCCTGGAATGCTTTCAAGTTTGCAGAGAAAATCAGATATACTATCAAACAAACAGATCACTTACGCTTGGTCCAGTTCCGGATTTCTTCCTCTCCAGACCTGAAAGCGGACTTGCTGGGATATCCCCTTTGGAACCCACAGCAGTGCTGCTCAGTTTGCGAGACAATTCTCTGTCCCAATCTTCTTTCTGTTCACTTTCCACGCTGTTGGCCTGAGCCCGTTTAGTGTATGAGACAGCGGGTGGGATTGATGGGCCAGCTACAAAAGGAACAGAAGCAAAGTCTAATGAACATCCACCAAAAGTATTTCCTTTTGCATCCAAGCACACTTTAAAGCATGGTGAGTTCACTATGCCTGGACACATGACAGCATCCATATCAGAAGCATATGAGGCAGCAGATAAAGCATCAAGCAGAGGTTTGTCGAGCATGAGATTAACTTCTCGAGCCCGGCATGAATCAGAAAGGGAACAATCGAAAATGAACGGCGAGGCAGATGGCAACATCACATTTCCGCACTGTTTCAGTAAGAGTGCTTTAGTTTTAGCATTCTGCAAAGCTTGTCATCTGATAAAACTGTACAAGTAAAGTATCCCTGCAAAACGTGTCCTCTCAGAGTTGCTCTGCCAAATCAGTGCATTGCGCTGTGAAGCGGAGATTACTCTAGGAAATAGAAAGCAATTTTTTCGTCTTTACGCTATTAAATTAACAAGACCTCGCCAGGCCGAGAACAATAAATGAAATGACATGTACATGTGCCGCCCATGTGAAACCTGCGATAAGATTTTGGGGCACTAGACTGCTTCCTCTTTCTCTCAACTATGAAATCGATTGAGAAATCCTCAAACGTAATAAGAATCCTATAATCCTTGCATTTGATATAGAGTTTTATCATGTGGTCGAGATGTCTCAAATCGCTTCACACAATATATTGTAAAATGACTCTGTGCTTTGAGGACAAACGTGGCACCAATTTGAGCACAGCAATGTCCCACAAACAGCGATGGAGTGAGTGACTAGTTTAATTTGCAGAATTGTTGACGAGGACAAATGGGGAAACTTTAACGTCCACCTGAACAGGCAGACGGGACCTTTTCTTGATGTTCTCTCCAAAGGATGGTATCTCCAATAATTCAGCAGCTCTGTATTGAAGTGTCAGCATAGACTATAGACAAGTCCTGACGCAGGGTTTGAACCCACAACCTTCTGACTCAGAGGTGAGAATCCTACCAAACTTCTATAGTCCTGAGCCAGGCAGATAAGATCACAAGAGGAAAAAAAAAACACCTCAGCAAAATTCAAATCCTGAAAGCCTGTCACTATTATTTCTGATTGAATTTAAATTTGGAAGAGTGAAGCAAATTAGATACACCCTGAAGTATTTACTATTTCCCACTGAAGAACGCCAACACTGGCAGCTCTGTCACAGACCCCAGGACTTATTTGAATCCACTCCAGGCTGCCGCAAAGTGCTTTGAGGGTTTACAAACTGCGACAACAAGAGTGATTTTCATTAACCAACCTCCCTCGATTAATCAGACAAGACATCTGGATGGCATTTTTGTGAGTGTAAAGCAACGTGTCAAGAGAAGCGTTTCCTTAGAAACTGCAGACTGTGAAATTGCTCTGGCAACCTTATAATGATCACCTCTAACACCTATAAATGTCCCCAATTTCTGTAGCACAAATCGTTTAATATATTCCAAGTTATTTTTTCAAGAAGTTTCCTTTGAAATGATGGAAACTGATAACCATCCATGAAGCCAGCGTAACAGTTTCTCACTCACACTTGTATGGGGATGCTAATGTTACACAATGACATAAAACTGAAAGAAAGAAAATGAAAGAAAACTTCACCTGACCCAAATCATGCCAACCCTCCATTGTCAATGCCCCGAAGCCACAAAAATCCCTGCCTCATGATCTTAGCGTTAATATCATTATTTTATATAATAAACCATGCATTTGATATAGCTCCTTATGCCATTGTTTGAAATGTCTCAAAGGGCTTCACAGGATTTGCTGAAAAGTGTAGTGACTGTATTTGTAGGCGAATGCAGCAGACAGTGTGTGCACACCATTATAAGATGCAAGACTCTGCGGAGCTTTGATTAATTCCTAACTTTAGTTTGGAAGCCTGTTTTTCATAAGAACTGCGGAAATCACAGCTTCCAAATTAAGTCTAAACTGCCTGTTCTGCACAATCATAAATTGTGGGAAATTCTTTTAATTTGGAGGTCAATTTCCACAATTCTTAAGCGAGAACCCACTTCCAAATCAAAACTGAAGAATTTTCCAAAATTTCACTCATATTTTAAAACTGCAGTTTTAAGGCTCAGACAATGTTATGCCTCAAATGTTATACATTTCCTTTTGTTCCTTATTTTCTTCTTAAGTATGAAGACAGATAAATCGAGCAATTTTAAAGTGAAGTCTTCATATGCTCCAGGGTATTTCACGGTTTAAGGCAATTTAAAGAACTAGAGTGATCCATGCAGAAAATAATTTCACACTTTAACAGCAATAGATTTTTGAAAGAGAAACACAGGATAAAGAGAAAGGAAAACAGAAGGCTTAACATAGCGACCTCAACTCAGATCTAATTTGTGAAATTACTGTTCCGCTAATTAAATTCACCATCTAAAGTAGTGGCCAAAAAATTATAAAAACAGCATTGAACTAGTCCAGACATGCATTATCTTGACTTATGAAATCTAATTTTTTGCTTTTCTCTGTTTTTGCTCACGGGGCTGACTCACGTTACCTGTCCTGCTGCACCTCTCAAGTGGTTGTTCTTTGTGAGCAGGTCTAGACAGTGCGTGAAAGTGAGCTGCTGAATCATTGGGTTACAAGGGGGAAGAAATCGCAGCCAAGCTCCCATCCTGTCCTTAACTACACTTGATAGCAATTACCTGCAAGGTACTTTAAGATGTTTGACATGATAGGCACCATATAAAAAGTGAGGATTATTGTTATTGCAAATCCCATTTCTGAATGGACGAGATTATTTTGAGCGCTGCTGCATTAACAGCACCAGACGTCAGACCCCCACTGGGGAAAGATTTCACGTCAAGCCAGCAGGTACGAGCCAAACTAAACCTGGAATGCAAGCAATGCAAAGACTGCTTTGAAAATCAACCAATTCAATAAAACCACACACACAGAACGCAGCACAGGTGCAGAGTGTGGAGCAGCACAGTTCACAAAAGCACTGCACACTCATGGCAGAATAGTACGTGTAACTTTACTTGTTTCATTATCATCCCCACCATGATCACTAAACCGCCTCTGCTTCTGATTTGCTGAGATGCTGCGCTGGACCTTGGAGTGCGTGGGAGATTGCGTGGAGCTGTTGTTGAGGTCGCTGTTGGGTCTTGACCGCTGACACAGGTTGCTGCTGGACTGCGATTCACTGCCTTCAAACTAAACATTGGCAAAAGAAACAAAAAGAAATGTTACAAAAAAATAGCTTATGGAATCTTACACACTTTCAGCCCCACATTTACTGGCTTGGTATCACAATCTTTTTCTTCTTACCCACACAGCCATCCAAAACACCAAACTCACCAACAGTTATTTAACTACACACAGACTTTCAGACACCACAAACATATCCAAACTAGACCTGCCACCCAAACACATATACAATGAACATTTATAAAGGCCCTTTCACATCAGGAGGACGCTCAAAGTGCTTCACTGGAGGTGGCACCCAAGGGGGACTGGGGAAGGAAAAGATGAGGGAAGCATAGTCAAAGAGGTATGATTTGAGACGTGCTTTAAAAGAGGGGAGGCAGGGAGAGAGTCAGTAGGAGGGACTCTAGGATGGATATCCAAGCACAACATACATAGATGCAGGCGCGTACTGGCACACACACACAAATGACATACATTACAATTATAATTATAATTGGCAGCTGCATTTCACCCATAAAATATACCGTCAATTCACTCCACAGTATATTCTGTGAAGCGCCTTGAGACATCTCAACGGCTTGATAAGGCGCTATATCAAACGCAAAGATTATTTATTATTATATAGACACGCATTGCACATTACAAACAGACACAATGTACCCCATTCAAAAAACACAATATACACCATCCATTAAACTGCACGCACGCGCACACAATACGGTAATCTATTTCCACAATGAGAATGGATTATAACACTTGCATCTGGAGGTTTTCTGCCTAATAGCAGGTAGCAGGCCATGATTTCATCATACTTCTGTCCCACTAAAGATTCAGTAGCTTCTTCTTTGGTGAAACCCATTGTGACCATGACATCTGTAAATAGTAGAATTCAAACATTTCAAAGGTGACCAAGTTCACATTTTCAGTTCGCTTAACAAAGTTGCTTTATGAGGACTTAACATTTTAAACTAAAATTATCCTGATGCCAGTGGAGTGTAAATATTCTCTATTAACAAGGCAGTGTGTGCTAACCAGTAATATATCTAGAGCAACCTTACTGCCTCACATTGGGGGGAGGGGGGGTGAAGATTTGAAGACCCCTGAAGCTACTTTACTCTAAATTATCTGACTTGTGAGTTAAGCCTAATAAGCTTCAGTAGCTTCGGGTCCTCAAATCTGAATGTGCGGAATCTGCTTCCATTTTCTGACTACAAATGGTTTGAGATCACAGCCCGTGTGTACAGACAAACAATGGGATAGCTGCTTTCACTGTGCAGGTGTCCGACTTGCTGTCTGCCCATGACATGGTTCCCTTGTTAAAGAAAAATATCTCTCAGACGAGTCACCCAGTCACTGCAATATGCGACATCAGGGTAGGGTGACCATATTTAGTAAACCAAATCCGGGGACCTGCATTAAAAAAATTGAACTCGCCACAATCGCTGATGCTGGCAGGACTGGAGAAGCTTGTTAGATTAATGGCTGTGTTTCTCTGATGAGTGTATCTGCTTTAGAATGTTATTGTTCTTGATCAATTTGTTGCTGAACTCAACATAGGGCACATTTTGCCAGGAATATAATACTCATCCAGCAACTTTTCCGGAAATCAGAGACATATAGTCACCATACATCAGGGGTGATCTAATAACTCAGTCATCAGAAATTTTAGTGTAAAGCCAGCCAATATCCAGAAAGCAAGTGTGGCTGGCTAGTTGTATGAGCAGTGAATCGGATCCACAAAGAAACAGTATAACGAAATGTATTTTAATGGGCTGGCGAGATACAAATTTGGCAGGCAAAAAATATGTACACTCCTTGGAAGTAAAAGCATCAGTAAAGCTAAATCCAGGTTACTTGTATTACAAAGTGATTAATTACCTATTCTTTTCGGATCATTGTAGTCCGGTTCCGGTTCACTGTAAGGTTTCAATTCCTCTTCCTCAAAGCAAACATTCATCCATCGATCCTTCATGATTTGCTGTGTAATAAAAAAAACACTCAAGACTTAATTAAGTTATTGCGGGAGGAAGAATTGTTATTTTTATACAAATTGGAATTAAATAAAAGGCTTAATACAACCAAGACAGTACTGGCAGAAAAAAAAATACAGGAACAAATCTGCACTTACTTCCAAGCTGCCTCGTTTGACAGGATTTAGTACCAAGAGTTTCTTTAGCAAGTTTTCACAGTCTGTTGACATGTAAAAAGGAATACGGTATTTCCCCCGCAACACCCTTTCCCTCAGTTCCTGGAGTGGGGGAAGTGGAAAAAAGAGAGGAGAGAAGGAACCTTATTACGTTGCATGCACACACACATACACAGACACACACACAGCAAACGGGAAGTGTAATCTGACTTGAAGCTGACATTAAGCACAAGATGTTATTAAGCTGAAACACCAGTGCTTACAATGGAGTTGACAAAAAGGGGGCTTTGCAGTGGAATGCACCAATAGTGACTCAGGATTGCCAACGGTGAATCCAGACTGGGAATTGGCAGTGTGTCACAGCAGGCTAATGGGGGCATCGATACATCTCCGGCAAAATTCCCTGACAGAGACCCTAATGGGGGTCCTGTACCCCTACCCCAAGCAAAAACTCCATCACATTCTTCCATCTCAAATGTCACCGCTATTCAAAACTGATGTCCACAGCCAGTATCTCTTCCCTCTTCAACCTCGTCCCACACACACAATTCCTAACAGTTCCAAACAATGCCTGTATTCCTCATTGGTAATTCAGAGTAGCAGAAGTCTGAGAGCACAACAATATGTCTATTTCTCAATTGATGAGCAAAATGATACGCAAAAGAGAATGCAATTTTTTTAAAAAAATTACCTTTAAATTTTGGCCATCAAAAGGCAACGAGCCACTAACTAGAGTGTAAAGGATAACTCCCAGACTCCAGACATCCACCTCTGGACCATCGTATTTCTTTCCTTGGAAAAGCTCGGGTGCAGCGTAAGGAGGACTCCCGCAGAATGTGTCTAATTTATTACCGATTGTAAATTCATTACTAAAGCCAAAGTCCGCAATTTTTATATTCATATCTGCATCAAGAAGCAAGTTTTCTGCCTGGAGGAACGAAGGAAGGATGCATTAGTTATTTGCTCACACACAAGCCACAATGTTTCCACAAGTACGTGGCGCTAGAGTTATAAAACTGGACTACTCTCTAAATGTAAGTTGGTTTTATGCCCGGCTTCTGGCATGGACTGGTTAGCTTCCTACGCACAGCAAGCTGGGCAGACCATGCCAAAAGAGAAATCAGGACAACTTGATGCCACAGAGGCAAGACCAGTGGTCTTTTTTTTCTGCTAACCGGTTATAACACCGACGTCCAGTTTTAAGCGCTCTGAAACGTCGCCCAGGGTGGAGGGCGCTATATAATAGAAAGTTGTTGTCGTCTAGTTTTGCACAACCAAAACGCTGCATTATAAATGGGTTGTCCTGAACATTGGTAATGAATTACAACCAGCTACACTAAACAAAGGAATGCCAAAATGTTCCATATGCAAATACCTTGAGGTCCCTGTGTACGATACACTTCTGATGGCAGTACTGCACAGACGACACGATCTGCAATAGAAAGATCAGAATCAATCAACACCACTTTGCGGCACATATGGTGCAATGTCTTTCTGTCTAAGCGTCAGTAATCTATAATTTATGTATGGAAGCAAATGAGATGGAGCAGCAGTTATTCAAGTCCTATATGTGCTTTGTTCAAGGCTGAAGAACCTTAGCTTACATAACCTAGTTTTTTCTCTTAGCTCATCTCCCCAATACCAGGGACAATCCTTTGCTTTGCCTCCAAGGTGTGGGCAGCTCTTTTATATCATGATGACCAGATGTGTATATATTATTCCACTTACAACCAAAGCCAGAGTACAGCACAGCTTAAAACACAACTTTCTGGAGACATGGACTCAACTGATTTGCAATCCAGTCCACGATCCTGTCTGTCTTGCTCGTTGACGCCTCATACTGTTTTCACATGGTAAACGGAGAGTTGTATTAATTTGAAAAGCTTTGTTTTGTACCAGTTTACTGTTTGCCACAGCTGGTGCAAATGGATTGTTAATACAGGGGACTCCTTACACCACCAAAGGGCAGCACAAAACAGCTGGGGCCATGGGAAAATACAAGCAGTAAAAACAGTTTAAGCAAAGGTGAAATGGAAAGATTAGATTAGAATGCCGGTCATAGTCTTCTCTCTTCAGAAAGAATCTAACGTAAATTCACAAACTGTGAAACACCCAAATCTAATTTCTAATTGTCCAAAATAAACAAGTCCCAACCAATGGTCGACTCTGCCTCGGATACTAAATTGCCTCTGCTTACCTGTCGAAACTTTGCTCTTGCCTCTTTTTCTTTCATTCTTCCGTGTGCAACTAAGTAATCAAATACTTCTCCTGTAATGCAAGAGGTCAGAAAAAAAAGAAAGAATACCATTAACCGACAATGCAGCCTAAAGTTACACTTCATCTTACGCACACTCCCAAAACCAGGATTGTGGCAATTTTTTTTACATAGAATTACATGGACTCTACAGCACCAAAACAGGCTGTTCAAACCAACTAATCCATGCCAACATCTAAACTCCACACTCTTTGTTGAAAGTGTGGAACTCACATGCAGATGCTCATGAATGCAAAGACTGTCACTGAGTAACACAATGGGAAGTGCTCCACTTAGCCTGGGCACTAAATCTGCAATCTGAGTAAAAATCTAAGCTCATGGGTTTAAATTATGTGTAATCTATTCTGAAAGAATAATCCTAATAGCAAGCAGGTCACTCAAATACCGCAGCTGTAAGCAATTTAGAAGCACAGTTAAACAGCACTATAATAAAGTAGTACTGCAGGGTTTAATTTGTTTAATGCACTGAAACAAACAAAAAAAGAGAATTGCAGAAACATAACAGGAAAGCAGGATGTGTCTTTACCGTGCAAAACTGAATGGGACCGGAACACAGCAGATTGAGGGGAGAATACTAATTGAGGTATTTAAATATATGAGGGAGAAATTATTTCCAATGGTCAGTAAGTCAGTGACTAGAGGGCATCAATTTATGATGATTACTAAAGGAGAAAAGTGGGAGAGAATTTATTGCAGATAAAGGGTTGTTAGGATGTGGAATGCCTTGCTGTGAGCAGTAGTCGAGGCAGAATCCATATTTGCTTTCAAGAGGGAAATAGATATCTAAACAGGAGTCATTTTCCAAGGGATGGGGAACGGAGGAGGTAAACAGACTGAATGGATTGATCTTTCAAAGAGCTACCACAGACACAGTGGGCGGAATGGCCTTCTTCTGCGCTGTAAATATCGATAATTTTATGCAAGAAAAATGGTACGTTTTTAATAATGCCTGACTGCTGTAGATAAAATTTCTGAATATTTAAGAGTAGTTTTCATCAATGTACTTGGTAAACCTGAGGTTAGTTACATACAGTCAGATCAAGTTATAACACTAATGTTAGATTCGTGGAGTAAAAACACCGGCACAGACCAGTTAGGCCGAATGGCCTGTTTCCGTGTTGTACATTCTATGTATCGCAAAGGTTAGTTCAGTAAAACCAGATGCATTGTTACAATGAGTCGTGGTTGCCAGCCTGATAGCCCCAGAAGCAAGAAGCATACCACAGTGAAGCACAGTAATGTAAGTATTACGACAACAACAACCACAAAATTACATTTGTATAGTGCCTTTCACATCGGGAGGCTGTCCCAAGGAACTAGTCAATCAGTGTTTCCAACCTGAGCTGGGGGTTGAGAGCAGCAAGGGTGGGGGGGGGGAAAGAGAGTGATCGAAGGCACAGTCGAAGAGAAGGGTCTTGAGACGGGTCTGAAGGAAGCAAGGAAGAGGGCGAGGCAGAGGGACTGCGGAATGAAGTTCCAGAGGGTGAGGGCAAAGAGGCTGAAGGCCCGCCCACCAATGGCGGAGAAGGACGTGAAGTAGCTGGAGCCTGCTGACTGTAGGGAGCGAGCAGGTTGGTAGGGGTTTAGGAGGTTGCAGAGGTAGGGGGGGCAAAACCATGGAGGGCTTTGAAGGTGAGGACCAGGATCTTGAACTGTATCCTCTGTGTGATGGGAAGCCAGTGTAGTCGGGTGAGGATGGAGGTGATAAGAGTCACGGAGCCTAGTGCGGGAGAGGACGCGGGCTGCAGAGTTCTGGATGATCTGCAGCCTATGGAGGGAGGAGTTGGGGAGACCGACAAGCAGGGAGTTTGCTTAGTCAAGCCTGGATGTTACGAATGCATATATGAGGGTCTCGGGGGCCCAGCTGGGCGATGTTGCGGAGGTGCGGGAAGGCAGAACAGGTCATGGTATGGCTGTGGGGTAGAAAGAATAGTTGAGGGTCAAATAAAACGCCAAGGTTCCTGACTGAATTAGCGAGGTGGAGTGTACATCCTTGGATGGTGATGCTGTCAGCGCCTGAGGTGTGAAGCCAATCAGGAGAGCCTTGGTCTTGTTGATGTTCAACTGTAGAAAGTTAGCTCTCATCCAGGACTTGATTTCTGACAGACATTCTGTCAGGACAGCAATGGTACTGGAGTCAAGGGTGGAGTCAAAGAGGTAGAGTTGGGTGTCATTCGCATACATGTGGAAGTGGACCCCATGTCTGCGGATGATGTCACCAAGAGGGAGCACGTAGACGTTGAAGAGGAGAGGACCAAGGACAGAGCCCTGAGGAATGCTGCACGAGTCAGTGCAGGGGATCAAGGAGAGACTGTTTGTGGAGATGAAGTGGAGATGGTGTGAGAGGTAGGATCTGAACCATTCAAGGACAGAACCATGAAGGTTGACTTGAGAGGAGAGGCGGGAAGAAGGTAAGCGGAGGAGAGGGAGGATAGAGTGGACAACAGTATCAAAGGCAGCAGAGAGGTCAAGGAAGATGAGGAGGCAGAAGGAGCCCGAGTTACAGATGAACAAAGTGTCATCTGTTATTTTGACCAAAGCTGTTTCTGTGCTGTGGGCAGCACCGAAACCCATTTGGAGGGGTTTGTAAAGGAAGTCGTGGGAGAGGAAGGAGTGAAACTGGGAAGTTTCCAGGACTTTGGAAAGGGAGGCTGGAGATGGGGTGGTAATTTGAGAGCAGGGATAGGTCCGGCTTAACGATAGGAGTGATGACAGCCATTTTTAAAGGGGTGGGAGTGGTGCCAGTGGACAGGGAGAGGTTTATGATGTCTGTGAGTAGAGGGGCAAGAAGGTGGAGCTGGGAGGTAAGGAGAGGGGTAGGGTTGGGGTCGAGGGAGCAGATGGTCGCTTTCATGTGGGCTATATTGGCAGTGAGAGAGGAGGGGAAGACAGGTTTGAAGGTAGAGATGGAGGCGGGTGGTAGACGGAAGGGCTGAGTCAGCTCGACCCGTTATAACAATGTCAAATAAGAAAAACAATGAGGTCAATCGTGCTCTGCTGAAAATACCCATGTTTAGTTACTTCACAATATAGTAACCACATAATTGTTTTGAAGTAAGAAATACCTTTTCGAGTCCTTAACATAACTTACCTCCACTTGCATACTCCATAATTAAATATAGTGTCTTCTCTGTTTCAATTACTTCAAATAACTTAACTGGAAGAAAAACAAAGGGAACGGTTTAATTATGAACGATAACATTTTATAGAACTAAATGGATAATGACAATCTCTGCAAACTCACAGGGCCTGAAGCTGCTAGTTTGCTAGTTATTCCTTTCAGGAAACAAATCTGACCAGGAAGTAAACTTCTTCTCTGTATGTTTCCCTCGACTATTGCGAATTATATGAAAGATGTTGCATATATAAATTATATAGTAATTTATATTGAAACATCTCAAAGCATTGCACAGGTGCAGCAACTGCATGTATAGGCAAACATGGCAGCTATACATGTCAGCACGATCTGACAAACAGCCATGAAGTGAAAGATGGGACACTTAAACAGAGGTCCCGGACATCTGCCTGTTCAGATGGAACTGAAGGATACCATGGCACTATTTGAAGGCAAAAGTTTCTCAACAACAATAACAACAACTTGCAATTATATAGCACCCTCCATGCCAGGACGGCGCCTCAGAGCGCTCAACAATGGTGGCATTTTTTTTCACAAGCGCTGTCTCTGTACTGTGGGCAGGGTGGAAACCGGACTGGAGGGGTTTGAGTAGGGTGTGAGGGAGAGGAGTGCACGAAGTTGGTTGGCAACAATGCTTTGGTTGGCACCAGAGCTTTGGAAGGGCAGTTTGAGATAGGGCGGTAGTGGCCGAGGTTGGAGAGATCGAGGGTAGGATTTTTAAGGAGGGGAATGATGACCGCAGTTTTGAGGGCAAGTGGGACTGATCCTGAGGAGAGAGACTGGTTAATAGTGTCTGCCAGCAGTGGGCAGAGGAGGGGGAGCTGAGTGATCCGCAGTTGGGTGGGGAGTGGGTCGAGGCAGCAGGTGGTGGTTTCATTGTTTCATTCTCCTGGTAACCTGGCCAACGATCCCCAATAAAATTGGTCATTCACTTCATGGCTATCTGTGGGACACTGCTGTGTGCAAAATGGCTGCCACGTTCGTCCACAAAACAATCGCTACACGTTTTACAGTACATCATGTGAAACGCTTTGAAACATTCCTCCCACCATGGAATGCGCAATACCAAAAGTAAGGGTTATTATTATGGAATAGGTTTAGTGGCTTATCCAAAAGGTGCCCCACCCAGTACTGTGTTGTCAGATCATCTCAACACAGCACTCAAACATAACTTCAGTTTCCTGCTTCAACTCAGTGTACTATTGCTTCTAATTGGTTTGAAAGATGGCTGAAATGTCTTAATTAAGCAAAACTTACACTAGTTTGACAAGCTAACAACAATGACATTTTGTTATTGTTATGAAAAGAACATCGATCACAAGCACCAGAAAACAATCTGCAACTTGGTAACGAACATGTTGATACTTAATCAAAAGAATGTATCATTTAAGAAACAAGCAGCGATGAAAGAGAATGAGAGGATTGCCTGACAAACAATGAGCATTTTTTTAATCCATTCATGATAAATGTAATTTTGGACTATCAGTTTCTAAAAATATGTTTTTAATTATGAATATAAAAAGGCAATCTTACCTATATTTGGGTGATTCAAAATCTTCATAATTCTTACTTCTCGAAAGAGCTGTTAAAATGAAAAACAATTGCAGCTTAGAAATGTGGGACTTAAAAAGAAATAAGATGATGAACCTTGCAGGGTCTTCTTCACTCTTATAATAATACTTGCCTTATATAGCGCCTTATCACATCTTCGAGATGTCTCAATGCGCTTCACAGAATATACTATAAAATGAATTGACTGTATATTTTATGGGCAAAATGGGGCAGCCAATTGTGCAGTGTTCCAAAACAGTCGCGGATTGAATGACCAATTTATTTCTTTTTTAAGGAATTATTACCCCTGGAAAAGTGATCCTTCAATCGACTAACAACCGGGCTCCTACTTACTGATAGGTAAACAAAGGCGTTATACACATGTGGGAAGGAACACAGCTGTGCACAAATTGGCTGCCGCGTCCACACACAAAATACACAGTTACTACAGCTGTGAAGCTCTTCGACATGTCCTCCTGACGTGAAAAGCACTAAATAAATTGTAAGGATTTATATATTGCGCATATCCTAACTCACACTAGTGGCTTTGGTTGTATGTTGTTCCTGCAAGTATAGCACGCAGGAAGTGACCTGATGTTGACCATTTTTTAAGTATATTTTTTGATTGCAGGCACAGTGATGAGAATGTGATTGGTGCAATCAGGATACGGAAGTGATGACCCGTTATAACACTGGTTGGGATTTTATGGATCCCCCATTCTCTAGTTATAATGGGACTTATTGCACATAGCTCCCACATTCCCACACTGTAGATTTCCAGATTCACTTCCCTTCCTTTCCCTCTCCGCTCCTGAAATTTGACTGCATACAAAAGTCGCAAAAATAACCACACCACTGAAGCTTTTAAGATTGCTGCGGACAGGTAATAAGTTACAGTGAGCACAATATATAAAACTAGCCAGTATTCACAGAAATCTAGGTTATTCAGGCTTCACCCAATTGATTGTGCCAGTGAATGGCTAAATTATTCCATTTAAAATCATTCCATTTAAGGGGAAAAGCATTACATATATTTTAAAAACTATCTGATGTTCTATTATTTAATGAGCTGAAATGATAAATAACTTTTGACGTGTGAGCAAGTTTGCCCAGTATTTACAGACTGGTTTTGTAAAAAATTCAGAGCCTGCTCATGGGTTTAATGATGGATGACAAAACACAAAACAAAAGGGGCTTAAAGTGATTTTAAATCCAGGCCGTTCGGTCTCTGCTCTCAATGCTCCTCCAAATCAGAGTTACTGCCCGTAAATTGTCATTGAGTTTACAACTGGTTTCCTTGATTTAGTAATCTGTGACATATGGCACTGCTTTTGGCTGAAATGTTAATGTAACAGTACAGCGTTCCAGATGATTTTCTGATCTGTCGCGAACTGCTATTATAAATTCAGATACTTTTGTTTAAACAGCTGGCGACTCTGTAAAAAAAAGTTCCTTGAGGTATTTTCCCCTCTCCCAACCCACATTCTCACATATACACGCACACTGCCCACACGCTACCTGTTGTCTTCGGCTCATACTGGGATCCAACACTCGCTGTCTGTAAACACTGACAAAGTTATATCAGTATTCACAAATAGCATTAATTACAGCCTCATTACAAGAGCAAACTGAAAGGTTCATTGGGTTTTGTGAAAATTGTGTTAGACCTTAGTATGGATGTATTCAATGTCCTGGCCTCAACCACCTTTTGCTGGCAAACTGTTCCAGTGATAAATTACCCTTATGGTAAAGAAAAGCTTCCTGGTATCTATCCTGAAATTGCTCTTTACAACTCTAAACCTATGCTTGTTCTACTGTCTTACTGCATCCTAAAGTATTAATCTGGGTTTACTTTTTCAATCCCATTTAAAATGTTGTACACCTCTATGAGGTTCCCCTCTGAGTTGCCTTCTCTCAAAACTGAAAAGCCGCAGCTTGCCTAATCTTTGCTCATCACTCTTAACACTAGGGATCATCCTTGTTGCTCTCCTCTGCACTGCCTGTAGGTGTGGGCTGTCCCTTCTGGTACTTCTCACTCTGGCAAAGAAAGGTGTTTTGGTCTGTGGTTGAGGGTTTGCAATTTGTCTCACACGGTTTGGTCCTGCACCTGACAAATGTTTCCTCTGTGCTGAGAGCTCTGTTAATTCAGTGTGTATCTGTCGCCATTGAGCTTCTTACCTGAAGCAGCATATTCTGTGTATGAACACAAATCTCATTGCCCGTTTGATATCATCCTTCCAGCTAACGAACTCGACTGTCTTTCTCATTACAGCATCAATACCAATGGCCTGGTCTTAACCACTTTTCCTAACATCCTTTCCAGCTATTGATTATCTTCCGTATGAAGAAATATTTCTCAGTCTCTCCTCTGGCATTGCCCTTCACAACCTTGAACCTGTGCCCGCTTGCCCTGCTGTTTTTTCTGATACAGGCTACACTCCACTGCTGTGCATATACAGTACGTGTTCCCCCGAACAAGCCACCGGACAACAAAGACCTCAGCAGCTGCTGACAGCCACTATTTAAAAAGAAACAAGCAAAAGAACGCTGCGTGTGCAGATGAACTGCTTGAATTGAAAAGACCTCCAGGAGGCTGTCAGGATACTGCAGTGCAATCTCGAGGGAAGAGGAGGAGAGGGCCAGGGCACAGGAAAAACAGTTCAGTTTATAGAGGGCTCTTGTACGGTTCATCAGCCTTTGTGGCAATTTTTGATTTGACAAGCCTTTGAAGTCGGAAATCCTCCTGCAATTTATTTGCACTTTCATCATGCAAAACAAAACACTCCGCATTTTTAATACCTCAGAGTTAAGATGATGTTCATAAATTGCTGCATTATTTTTCAGCTTATGGTACCATCTGATACCTTCAGTCGTTGCTCCCTCCTAGCTGTTCAATAATTAATTGTACAGCATGCAAGATCATTCTCCCCGTCAACATGCAATAAATAAAACAAGATATCGCTCCACTTTAAATCGTGTTCTTTGATCACAGGAACTTGACACATGAGACAATGCCAAAAAGTCACCAATTAAAAATTGGCTAGAAAACTCTGAAGTTAGCACTGTCTGGAGTGCTCTTGAAGGATGCGACATATCCTGGGCTTCAGAAGAGCAGCTAAATTGCTTCTGCAGTTTATCGCCTCATTCGTAACCACTCAATGCATTACTGCCTTGCAATACTCTCCAGCTGCCTACAGCACCATTCAAAAGGAGAAATTCCTTTTCCTTTTCGAATAGTGCCATGCGATCTTTAATGTCCACCTGAACAGGCAGACGGGCCTCGGCTTAACATCTTATGTGAATCACGGCACCTCAGACACCGCATTAGAATGTCACCCTAGACTTCGAGCTCAAAGGCACGGAGTGAGACGTGAACTCACAACTTTCTGACTTTGAGGTGAGAGTAGCTACCAACTGAGTCAGAATATAAGAATGTGGTTTCTCTCTCGGATGAAGCCTATCCAGGAAGAGCTTTAAAACCCTCATAGCTTGATGTCAAACTGAATCCTAGCAAGTGAAAGAATATTGAACTTAGCATAAGTGAACAATGACTTGTTGGAAACTCTGAAATCATACACAAAGATATGATTTTCTTTTTTGACATGCTCTCATCCAAACCCCAGTGGCTGGTTTCAGAATAGCAGTAGTGTAGGCATACATTATGGAGCCCAATCACAGTTACAATCCTAAATACAAATCCTGACATGGGGCTTGAACCCACAACCTTCTGACTCAGAGCCGAGGGTGCTACCGACTGAGAAAGGAGATTATCTCAATGTCTTGGCCTACAATCCCCCAGATAAAAGTGGTTATTCGGTACATGCCTGTTTGTGGGACATTGCTTTGCCTACAGGATACACAGACGCTACAATTTACAATATATCCTGGGAAACACTTTGAGACGGCCTTCCGACATAAAAGGTATGATACCAAATGCAAGGATGATAAGTGGTATAATAAATTGCAGAGAAGTTCAGCATCATGTGGGCATTACTGAATGTGAATAAAAGCTGAACTTTCCCAAAGTCAGGAGGGTCCAGATCAGCTCTCAGGCTAGTCTAAAACTCCCACCTCAAACTAACTCCACCCCAAACTAACTCCACAGAGACGCTTCACCTTCTGCCAAACGTACATCACTGGAGTGTTCCCAGTGCAGAAGCCCTAGGGACCCATGTACAATGTTTAAGTGTGAATTCTGCACTATTAGAACAGCATTGCCTACAAACACACAGTCACTACACTTGACAGCAGTTATCCCCGAAGCTCTCTGAGGCATTACATTTTGACATTATGGAAAATGCAAGGATTGTCTTTATAAAGGGTGCTGTTTCTCACGGTGGCTTACTATGAATAAAATATTCTATCTGGATTTCAGTTCCCGTTTCTTCTCTTCCCAATGACATGATTTCCTAGGATGTCAATACGACGACAGAGCTGTCCTGTGCCCAGCCACCAGGAGGTGCCCAAGGCAAACTTGAGATGGTATGCGTTCAGACTCACTTCTCTGACCACACCCTCTTCTCCCTGCCAAGCCCGGGGGAACTGCTGTGAGAATTCACAGAGGAAGAGAACCCAGTGCATTGTAAAATTCAAACAAGATTTAATTCCCTAAGCTTAAAACGCTTCTGTTTTTAATTACGTATTTAATAACTGTCTGTTCAGCTCTGACATTTCCACACCTCAGTGGATAGTGCAGTCAAGCTTGTTGTTAAGAGTGGCGTGGCTATGAGTCACTTTTGAAGGCTGCTGACAACAGCAAAGCATCTTCTTTGCCACTAAATTCAAGCTCAATTCCGACACAGCCACTACCCTGTTCCCACCGCCAGTCTAGTCCAGGCTGACACACGATTCCTGTGCTGGAGGAACGCTGCAATATCAGATGTGTCGACCTTAGGATGAGACGTTAAACCAAGACTCTGTTTGCCTGTTCAGGTGGACAGTAAAGATCCCATGGTATTATTTGAAAAGAGAAGGGAATTTCTCGTGGTGTGCTGGACAACAATCCCCTAATAAAACTGATCATTCACTTTA